ATTGCTTAATGAATGTGAGGGACACGAACGCTTATGAAAATGAGAGGAACCGAACGGCCGTTCAAAACGCAGACAGAGACATATTTCGTGCAGAAAACGTTTTTAGTACACGCGAATAAAAAAAATAAGCACAGAAAAGGTTCGCTTATTATTTCTAAAACTAAGGAAACACGAATTGTCTCATCAACCCACGAACAAATAAATATAGCATACAACTTGACGTTTAGAAACAAGAGCCAACAGATGCAGACGACACTCTGGGCTTCCACTCGGAAAGCCGATCACAGCGCCACTCCTAGCGCGGCGGCTGCACTGGCTCTGCGCCGCTGCTGCACGACTCCTGCACTCCTCTGTACTCGGACAGAACTAGTTCAGAACTTTCTGGCCAAATCGAACAGACCTATTGTTTCATGAAAGCGATAAGCCACCTTATCGGTCACGACAAGTTGCTTTGCTTTGCTGTGCGATACGTCGCTGCAAAACGTTCTAATCATGGGTGCGAGTCAGGTTAAAAAAACAACCTGGACAGAAACTACTCAACAAAGAGTGAATGCTTCGACTCGCTGTGATGCGAAAGTGACGCAAGTTTCGTCATTAACACGTGACTATCCGGCGACAAATGAGGGTTGTCCTTCCGGTAAGCATCGCGCATTTAGTTTCGGTATCGAGAGATTTCTGGAAAAAAAATGTGACAATGAATAACTTCAACTCCGAACTGGATTCAGGATTTTAAAAAAAGCTGGGCTGGCTTTTAACATTGATTACCTTCATTTCTTGAATATAAACATGTGCCGTAAGACATTAAAATAAAAAAAAAATTAATTTGTGAGTGTCCATAAATTAGTCATCTACTAGTCACAATTTCTCTTGAACATAATGTCCGCTTGGCCGTTTAACTCACTTGCGCAGGCCGTATCAATGTAGCTTTCACGGCATGTTTAAAAAAAAGAAATGGTATTCAATAAAAAATATGCTTTGCATATAGCAGTATCGCGGTGAGATGTGGCAGCCTACCGTAAAATACCGGGCAAGCGCTTACTTAAAATTTGGAGATAATCGCAAAAAGAAGGGAGATGGGTACTTGTCCGGTCATCAATTTTACATATCAATGTACTGTACATATTTTCTCAGATCTTAGGAATTTGGGAAGGGGCCCTTAATGTGGGATGGGCGGAAGCGTGGTATTCTACAATAGTAAAACGTTAGAGCTCATGAGTGATGAAGGGAAAATGCTGTAACGAGAATGCCCAAAACATGTGCACAAAAAACGGAATATAATATTAGCCCCCCGAGACAGTATTTCGCAAAGTTTCGAGCTCATACGAGCCGATACCAAGATGTGATTTATATAAGATCATTTATCCGTCCTTCGTGCTATTTATGTGTAATTAGGAATATCGTTACATCTCTGTATTTCTTTTTGCAGCATTGTATATTGGAGTATTTTTGAGAACACCATTTATTATCTCTTTTTCTGCACAATTTGTGTATTCGCCTTAAGATCTACCAGTGAGCACAAAGTCCTTTTTGAAATACCCCGCGACCCGGGGTTTCACACAGCCTAACAGCGAACAAAAAAGCATGTTTCCGGCGGCTCAAAAGCTGGCGTATTTTCAAGTGTTGTCCTTCCGTGTCGGTCTTAAGCGGTTATCCATGTGAACTTCATACAGTCAAATTCATTGATGCTAATAAAAATGTATTTGATTATTGACTGAAGATTTGACAACATAAAGGGCCGATCACCATTACTATATATGTCACAGATAAATGCACCCCCAAATTGTCTGAAAAGTTGCTCTGCCAATTTTTTCCTGACTTTTTTTATCCTGGATAGACATGTGTATAAGTGATTTGGGAGTTGGGAGGGCCTTAAACAAATATATTATTTTGAAGCTCAGTTATATAACTGTGTTCCTGACATATATATAACTTTTTGAACATTTGTTCATATGGGCCTGTTATTGCCCCTTTTACGTGTTGAACAGCAATTTTTGTATGTCTGTGGGCTGCTCAAAAACAAAGTACACAGGGGTATGTGGCGTAGCTATGACGATTATGCATGCAGACCGTCAGAAAGTGAGTAGATGTCATGTCGAGTAGAGGATGAAATACTACTTTATTCTATTTAACTAATATATTATTAATGAGCAAAGGTGATGTTTATTTGCAAATTGAATTTATCCGCATCTTGTCAAGAGCAAACTACAACAGCCAGGCTATGCCAGTTTATTCTGTATAAGAAAATGTTCACTTGGGTAAGCGCTATTTTAGGCCAAATTAGATCTGAATACAAAGATTCATATAGATTAGAGTGAACAGTCTTGGTCACTCCTTTCTGCGTGATCTTTTGCCAACATCACAATACTGAGTGCAGCTAATATTGGTTAGAAAAACAAGAGTTGATTGTTGCTTAGAGTTTCTGTAAAATGTAGACTGAAAGGGCTGGTCCTAAAACTTTCGTGACATTTTGAAAATATTATTGCTTTTATCTCAGATGCGGCATCATCAAGTGTATTGTGAAACATATTTCGTTAACTAATTTCACTGACACCACCACACCACGGTATATATTGTGAGGAGGTGCCCATCCCAGGATTTCATGCACCCTAATTCCTTAGTGCAAGAGTACAACTACGATTCAACTTCATACTGTGACGCAAAGTTGTACCAATCGCAGATATTTTAGTCGACCTACCACACTTTGTGACAACCTTTCGATTCAGGAAAAATATATGTGACTGACGGAACGAAATGAATGTTTTCTCGTATAAACACATTTTGTATGTCGATCTAGATTTATGTTTTACTGTTGCGTCAAAATTTATTTTGACGTAACAGTAAAAAAAAGTAATGCAATTTCTTATTTTTGGTATGTGAAAAAAAAAAAAGGATTGTGTGAACAATGAAAAAACTATACATTTACTCGTTTCACGGCGGTAATAGCACCTATTGCCAAAACAACGCGGTCCCAATTTAGCAGTTCAAACCGGAACTGAACTAAAAGCCATGCACCCGAACCGAACCAATAAAACTTGACACTGATGTGTAGTGCTATGTAGACAATTTTTGCAGAGATAGCGCAACATCAGTGAAGAGCATTTTTGCAAATCAGTTAACACCCAACTATGGTCATGTCATATCGGATAGTAACTTTCCACCTACCCTTTTACTGCACAAGCATTGCATTTTTTTTTTTGTGTATGCTTGTTTTTAGGTGATTTAAGTGGTTTTTAGGCAGCACCACAGCAGGTCTGGTGCCCTGTTAAATTTCCTGGTACCATTTTGCTCCTTTTTGTTTATTGGGACATATTTTCCTTTTGTTGCTTGTCTCCTAGACAATGTTAATTTGAGGGCATCTTTCTTGTTCATTCTCCTTGTCTGCTGTTGTACTGGACACTAGCAACAACCTAATTTTATCCTAAAGCACAATTTTGAAGTTTTCTTTATTTTTTACGCTTGTAAACTCGTTGTGTTTAGCTGGTATCATGGCGTCCGGGCAGAATTTGCTTTAAACGTGAATGTCTGCATATTTTTTCAGATCTGTTCTTCTGAACTTTTTGGGGTATTCCGAATTTCTGAAATGCCAGATTCTCTCGACTTGGTTTGGTGTGGCGATCTGGGAAACTATCAGGATAAGCTTTCGGGTGTGCAGATTGGTTGTGTAGTTAAGGAAGAATTTAAGAATTTTATCTTGCATGTAGTAGGTATATAAATTGTACTAAAAATTTAAAAATGAACTGTTAAGTTTCAAATTTCAGGATTCTTTGTGGGAGATTTTGGGAAATATTTCTTCAAGTTAACTAGATATTATTTTGTGACTTGCAGAAATCTGAAGCCACATCAGAATAATCTGAATGTTTTTGTGCGTCATGTTTAACGAATGTTTCTCGATCTATGGTTGATTTTACCGCCATTCTTGGACCACATAGCACTGATTCGTGTTTTGGTTCCGGTGCTTTTCTCATCTGCTCGTCATCAGATGGCAGCATCATTAGGAGTCTTCTGCCTTCCTCACCTCATTTGATTGCTGGTTTTGCATTTTGGATTGGAGAAAATACATCCATCTGAACATAAAAATAAAGAGCCTGCTTCCCGCACTCGCATGAAAATTTAAATAGCCTGAAACCTGAGGTTTGTTTTAGATTATGAAGATGCAGACTTTTATTTAAAAGTAAGGAATGTTCTTTCATTTCTGACAATCGTGCTGGCTTCGATGACGGGAGCATGGCGAAGTGTGAATTTGAAGATTGAAAGGTCATTCCCCACCCTTCTGCACATTTTTTGCTCTGTCGCACATTGATTCACTGCTTACTTGAAACTGTCCGGTGACCAGGAACCGGTATGAGAGCTTCTGAAACAGCAGAAGACAAAAACATTTCATTTGACGTTCATAGATTTTGCTCTTTTTTAAATGAAGCTTATGGTAGCTTCTCTGGAAAAATGTGGAATGCATAAACAGTAAACTTGGGAAGCAATGCATTACTTTCTCCAATAATTTTGCATTTGCCAAGTTACGTTCGTGGGGGAGTAATTGTCAATGTAATTTAATTGCCATGCATTTCTAACAAATCGCTTCAAAATTACTCGTTACATTTAAAAAGTATGAATTTAATGTGGAAATTAAAGCCCTACATTCGGTTGATTTAACAGGATGAAAGATAAGTAAATAATGGAATCTACCTATATATTCTAAGTAAAATTGGAGCCTGCAGTAGAAAAGTGATTGCAAGCAAGTCGCATGCAGTAGCAACTATGTGACCACGTTCCGGTGTAATTTTGTTAAACAACGTTTCATACTAATTTTGCATTTTTTTTCCTTTTTATTGTATTTAATTGCTATGTTTATGTCACAGTGCCCGCTCCTCTGTGTAATGCCTTTGGCCCCCAGCGATAAACAAGTTAAATGCTGGCCGGTGTCATATCGAGCGAGAGTAGTGATTGAGCCCAGGTACGATTCCTGCGGTGTACTGACGTGTCCTGCCACGGATACTCCGGTGCAGATCCTGTTCTGCACCCTGAACACGCACAAGGTGGACATGGCGCGGCTGCTGGGGGGCCAGATTGGCCTGGACGACTTCATCTTTGTGCACCGGCGAGGCCAGCCCAAGGAGGTGGAGGTGCTCAAGGGAGAGGACTCGCTGGGGCTCACCATCACGGACAACGGGGCCGGCCTGGCCTTCATCAAGCGCATCAAGGAGGGCTCCCTCATGGACCGCATCGGCTTTGTCCAGGTGAGGGCTGTTGCTCTTGAGAGTCATTAAATAAGCTACGCTTGGAGCACGGCCTCTCAAACTTTTTGATCTTGAGGAACCCGTCTCGGTCCCAGCATTGATCCGTTGAAGCGGTGCAGAAGCTTACGGACCTTGTAAACGCTACTGCACACGCCAAGGAGTGTTGGCCTTGTTGTTATGCATCGATAAGTGGCTTGGGCCTCCGAAGAAGGGGCTTGAACTGGAGGAACGCTTCGGGAAGAGACCGTCGAGAAAGTTTGGGTGCTTCAGAAGCCCAAAAGGTTGACTTTGGAGAATCCCTGGGTTCCTAGGAACCTGGACATTAGCTTAGTCCAGGTTCTGGACTAAGCTAGATACATTTCCAGTTTGATCACCGTTTTAACGGGCCTGAGCAATCTATCGACATACAACTACGAGCCAGGCACTCCCTATGGACCTTTTGCCAAATTGTCGAAGCACCAGGGAGAATGTTGGGAACGCAGGTACACATGCTGCACGTGCTCGTATTATCTCTATTAAGAGATTCCAAGTGCATGACCAAAATAAGGCATCTATGAATGCAAACACAAAGTGCCATTTGTTAGGGGTGCTTGTTCAGGGACGGCTACCGCTGCAGACGCCAGCACGTGCGGCACGTGTAACTGCGCTCGCGCACTCTCCTTGGTGCTTGGGTAGTTTAGAAAAAGGTCTGTTGCATGCATTATTGTTTTCAAGATCTGGAGGCTTTCTGCACTGCTTTGTTGCACCGATGCAGGAACTGGAAGAGCTTCCTTGACTACAGGGCAAACGGTGGTTTCCAGAGATAGAAAGGTTTGAGCACCTCTGGCTTAGAGTGTCGGCACTCCATTCCCCAGTTTTTGTGTGGGCGCCTCCATTTTGGTGCCTTGTGCAGAGCAGGCGTAATTGGTGATAGTTTCGATCCGAAAATGCGACCCTTCCCGAGTCTTGGGTGCAGCGTCGGGAAGCTCCAACAGTATTGATTTTCTCCGTCGCAATTCGTTTCAACGTTTTTGAAGGATGAAAAAGCGTTTCCTGCGATTTTGGGTAAGGCTTCGGATAACTGGCAACTTTAATTTTAAGCACTGAGGTGGCTGGAGTGTCTCTACTTCATAGCATAGTTTATTCAGTTACCCTAGTTCACCCTTTTGTCCGTTGCCACGGTGGCAGCCATTTGTTTGTGCGCATCATGTGACGTTCGTTTATGCACCGGCGGCTTGCGGGTGGTGCCATTTTGTTGTGGGGAGCCTCGCACAGTGGTGGACGACAAACTGTGGTTGTTGGCTGGATGTGCCAACAACCATGGTTTCCGACGACCACGGTTTGCGACAAACATGGTACGGACAACCACGGTTTCCGACAACCACAGTTTCTGGCAACCACGGTTTCCGGCAACCACAGTTTTCGAGTACCATGGTTTCCGACAGGCATGGTATCGAGCTGCTTTTTTTTTTGCATTTAGATCTGCGTTTGGTGCTTAATGTGCAACATCGTTTTGCTCCGTCGGGGGTCTGTCATGTTGGATGGGCCACTCAAAGCCGGCAACGAGTGACAGCAAGTGTCTTACGCAATGATATGGGGGGGGGGATGATTTGAGTAAACTGTGACTAAAAATCTTGTCATCTGTCGAGGATATCAACTTCATTGGCAGGAAACGAACGTGTTAGAAGTTTGCTGCTTGCATGTACTCAATGGCAACACACACAGCTATAACAATCGGTGAGTGCACGCTCTATGGCTCCTGTATAGTGTTGGGTAAAGTAAATTTCAAAAGTATTCGAAGTAAAGTACAAAGTTAATGAGAGGTCATGTACTTTAAGTAAAGTGGTAAGTACACCGGGTGCAATGTACTTCAAGTAAGATACTATAAATACAGTATACTCCCAAAATAAAGTACAAGTACTTTTTATCGCAATTTTTCACGATGCCCTTTCATTCCCCTATACAGTGATTGGTTCAAACTGGTGTATGCATTGCTCCCGGGGGTAATTGGGGGTGCAGCGGTTATTTTCGGAAATGGCGGTGAATATTGGATGAAGTCAAGTGGCCGCAGAACAGTTACTTTAATCTCGCTGACAAACTATTGAACAGAATCAACTTGTAAGGCACTTATTTGTTGACGAAGCATAATTTTGTGATGCAGTTTTGTGGGTCGCCTGTCAATATCGCCCAATCAGGCCGAGTTTAATTCGCCCCGAGGAAGCCACACAAGGGAGCGCTATCATGAAGAAAGGTTTAATTGCTACTCATGGGCTCGCTGTGGTCCGGGTCTTTCCTGGGGCTCGCTGAGGTCCGGGTATTTCTTGGGCTCGCTGAGGTCCGGCTCTTTGTGCGCTCCTGAGCACCGTCTCTTCCGTTGGTCTCTCCCTTGGAACTTCTCTGTCCTCGCGCACACACCACGAGCCTCGCCCCTTCCTCCTCGTCGCCGTTCTTGGCGCCGTCCCTCCGCGTGCTGTGCGGCTCATTGTCCCCCACAATTTTAACGAGACCAAATTTTGGCAATGTACTTTGAAGTCGGGAGTTGTACTTTCCTTGGAAATTACCGGAAAAATACTTCAAGTACAAGTATGTACTAAACAAATATTTTTCAAGTAAAGTACAAGTTTTCCAAATATACTTGAAGTAGTACTTTTAAGTCCTAACGCAGCTTCTGTTACACTTGAGGGACCCGCTTATCTAACACTGAGCTACATGATTCAAATAGGGCAAAAAGTTAGCTGGAGCTGGTAGATGGTTATCTTGATATAACAGGAAACCATTCAGAATGGCCTGAGAAGACTCTTGGTTTCTTTGTGTACCCTATCGGGTCTCTTTGCAAATTATTTGCTGCCAGTTTGAGGCTGGCCAGGAGGTTTATCTTCCTTCTTGCTTACAGTTGCCTCTGTGCTTTGTTTCAACTCCTTAATCAGCCAAACAATTTATTTTTTAGATCCTGTTTTATTGAACAAAAACAAGAATAATCTTTGTTCTAAAAACAATTCTGTTTTTTTTTTGGTCAGTTATCATCAGCATAACGAGGTGAAAGTGTCAACTGTGTAGAATTTTAGAAAAAATAGTGTTTGCAGAAGCTAAGATCTCCTGGCTAGATATTGTCTGCCATTTTCAAGCCCCTTGGAGAATCTCTCTTCAAAGATTTTAAAAAAAGTTAAGCAATTAAAAATTACAACTCTAGACATGCATTTTTAAGTGACAGCTTAATGCACTTTCTTTTTTTTTGTATTGGACATGTTTGTGCGTGAACCCAATATATAACATAACCAATTACAAATCTGTAAGTAAATAGTTCTCAATTTACAATAAAATGTCAGTGAGTGTAACTTAGTTGCATTTTTTAGTGACTGTAACTTAAGGGGACACACCCCCCAGGAGGGTCAACTTTTGAACCCTTGGCTTGAAATTAATGAGATTTACAGGGTAGGCTGGTGGTCATGCTAGGGGTGCATAGCAAAATTTCAGCTCTGTCGGTTAAGTGGGAAGGAAATTGGGGCAGCTTTTATCAGCAACACACCTACATTGTTTAGTTAATCCATCGTCGGAAAACTATCACAATATTCAAGATTTTTATTTGCTAGATATGTAGCAGAATGCCTAGGAAGTGCGGCTATGGAAATCTTTTTGTAAAAAGTCATTTATTTCTATCAATTTTCTCTTCTGCAAAATTGGTCAACTTTTTGGTCTTCTGTGTCTTCGACAAAATGTCAACATTTTATAAAAGGCATCCTTAAAGTGACAAAAAAATTCCATAACTGCATTCCTTATTAAATTTCAGTCAGGAAAAGTGAAGAATGAGCCTTCCCTATATTGCCATCATCAAACGATAGGTTGACTAAAATGAAATTTATACCAAAAAGTGGAATGTCGAAAAATTTGTTCAAAGTGCTCCAAACCCTACCTTTTCTTTAGCTTCGGTGGAGAGAAAATAATTTATAAAAAAATAACTATGCAGTGTAAACCACTGAAAATTTCTGGGAATACTCTCGAGACGTTGATGGATGTAGATATGTAATTATTCAAAATCAACATTTTTTGCAGAAATTTGTAAGCACGTAACTCGTAACTTGATTATATTTCAACTCGTGTAAATGTAACTTACCGTAAAATACTTTGTTCAAGCGCCCGCTATTAACATTTCCCAAACTTGGGAGTTCTGCGAATTATTCGTTAAACACTTGATTTGACTGGGTAAGCGCCTATGTCTAGATTAACCCAATATTCAGTAAAACTGGGCTACCCCGGTATTTTAAGGTAAGTACTCCGTACGAGCATTTTTTACAGCTCAGGCATGGACCAGATGGTGCACTGTTGTTCCGAGCATAGGGAAGGGACGGTCACCCTTCCTCTCTCTGTGCCCAGGTCGGAGACCACATCGAGCGCATAGACGAGCGCAGCATGGTGAACTGCCGTCACTACGAGGTGGCCAAGGCCTTGAAGGAGATCAAGAAGGGGGACACCTTCACCCTGCGCCTGGTGGAGCCACTCAAGGCTGGCTTCTGTGAGTGCAAGAACGCTCCCTGCCCAGTGTCCGGCCGCTCGTTCCCAGCTAGCTGCCCATTGTACGAGATGGGACTCTTGAATGCGTGGAGTAAAAGGCTCACTGCATAAACTGTGCCTCACCAAATGCTTGGTCTCTGCTCAGGTGCCCAAGTTTCTCAACGTTGGCCTTTGTTCAGTTCAAAAGTGATAGGCAATGGTACCAGTGGCACTAGCCATTCGTCTCTATGTGTTAGCAAGCTCTGTCAAGTATCATTTTCTTTTAAATAAATTTCTGGAACTCGGTTAAATTTTTTAATTTGGTAACGGCAAGCTCTGAAATTTTGCCATCTGGTCCCAACCACTAGCGCTACAGGAGGGCGAAGACTGAGTGTTTGGCGACGCCGAGTGTATTTTTGCAGTGGGAGAAATACGCTTATCTTTTCTGCTAAACACCCATTACAGTGATCAACCGAAAAGATCCTTCTGTTTGTTGTGCCCCTCTGTACGAGTGAAGGGGACACTAATTCATTGTGGTCACAAAAACAAATGCTCCGGTGCAATCGGAGGAGTGCCCTTGGATTTGGCCTGCCCTTGGATTTGGCTTGCCCTTGGATTTAGCCTGGCTATCCGAAAAGGGCTGACCTTCTAGGCTATGTTCCAAATCTTACCCGAGTAACGTTTTACCTACATCAGGGGGGTAATACCACGTGATATACCAAGTAAACGATCCACGACTTGATTTCGGAACAGCCAAGATTATCACCTGGATACTATGCGGATTAGCTTCGTCTTGGGCTACGGCAAAAAGAAAAAAATAGCAGCGATGGTGGAAAATGGCAGAAGTTTGCTTTTGATCATGGGGGAAGCACTCAGGACAACAATATTAACCGCTGCAAAGATTTTTTTTGACAGCGAAGACACTGTGTTTTCGGTGGTGGCTCCACTTGCTCACCTTCCTTTTGAGCTGTATATTGAGGTCACAATTAGTTACTCTGTTCAATTAGACAAAAAAATTTCTGTCATATTAATCAGCACAATCTCTAAGTAATCCAGGTGCCCTAAACGCGTACGTTCCAAGCACCGTAATTTGCACTGATTGCGTTTTGTGAAAATTTAGAATCCACTTTCACACGGTTTTGCAATGCAGCGCAGGGGGCTTTCTCAACAGTGATATGTACCATTACATTCGATTTGACACTAATATGATTACGAAATCGCAAAAAGAACTTTCAAACTGCTACAGGCATTTTCTTGGGGAGGGAGAGGGAATGGGGTTGTTGACTGATGATCATATACATGAAATCTTCGAAGCCTTCACTGCTTTACAAGCGTTGTCCTCTAATTATGCACACTCTGGGAAAAAATTACTTCTACATCATCTATACCCGTTTTCACCTCAATAACCATAGTAAAGATTAGTAGAAATTGGGAGAAATGAGTAATGCTCCTCACAGTACATTACTAATTTCTTCCTTCATGTTGATAATTAAGATATATTGGGTGCAATTTAGATCAGATGCATGTTATCTTGTCAAGACTTACACATTCCAAATGCCAAAAGCATTGCTTTTCCCTCCAACAACAACCAAATCTCGTAAGAACTACTTCGCGCCATGTATGAACAGTGTGCAAACCTTGCTTTTTTCTTGAGTTGAAGGCAGGTATAGAGCATTTGAACATCCTCAGTCTTGAACATAGCAATACAGAGTTCACTCTAACGACGAAGACGAGGATGCAGAGGAGCTCCCGTTTAAGCTCGCACTCTAATAATAACAAGAGGTACGCCTTCCTGCGGTAGGGACACGGTCTGGATGTGGTGCACAGTCAATTTGTGCACTGAAAACTGAGAATCACGCAATAACCATGCATAAATGGCTCCACCTCAATTTCTGCCATTTCGAACGTTTGCCACCAAAGCCAAACGAAGCAGACGAGCTTTGACGGCTATGAGCGCAGAAAGCAGCTGACGAACACACGGTGAACGGATCATGTGACGTCTTTACTCGATTTTTGTCCGACGTTACCCACCAATCGGAGGAGGGTAGCGTGAGTAATTACTTCGGACTAAACAAGCCGCTTCTGAAACGTGAGTTCCAACGTCATCGAGGAAGCGCAAGTATGTTTTGAGATGCCACGTTACAAGGCCTTTACTCCGGAGTCAGATCGAGTAAATTTTGGAACACAGCTCAGTATTGTTTTGCAAAGCTGAAAACGTTTCCAAACAGATTTTTCTTTTGTCATTGTCTTGACAAGGCTTGTGAAATAGCAAGGTGCAACCGGGACATGGTCAAAAGGAACATTTTATGTAAATTGAGATCTGTGTGACTTTAACCTTATCTCTACCACATGTTACAACTTGGCATTACTCCTTGAAGGTAATTTCAATGTTCCTCTTAAAGGCCGACCTACGAGAAGTTTTTCCGCTGGGTAGGAAAATCGTTTCTTGCCACCCTTCCCATTTCCTCCTCTCCCACTGCTTTCTTGACCGCAGGGCACTCCTTTTGTTTCTGCATCTTGGGACTGGATAAGCTGGTATATAAGATCCCCGCTCATCCAGCCCCAAGGTACAGCAACAAAAGGACCCCCCCCCCTCTTCTCCCAGTCAAGATAGCAGTGGAGAGGGGGGAAATGGGATAGGTGGCAAGGAGGATTCTCCTACCCTGCGGAAAAACTTTTTGTCGGTCGTGCTTTAAGTAAAACCCTGGAAGTGTACATACACACACATACATGTGAGACAATTTGTTTGAGCCAACGGCATTGTCTCGGGGGACACGACTAAAGGTGATAGATGCCTGACAGGGCCATGCCACTGCATCAGCTAAAGAGATGCCGCAAAAGAGATGCACCCAAAACCAAAACCGGAGAGAGCTTAAAGCAATAGTTCACGGTTTCTAAAGTGCAGTCCCTTAACACACATACCAATTAATGTAGCAAAGGACTGTTATTCTCATTTCCTCCATTAGTAAAATGTCATATATTGTTTTATTTATTTTTATTGCGAAATAATGCCACGCAACCTCTCTAATATAATGAGGTGTAGGTTTAATACTTCCGGTGGTTGAGAACTTAATAATCGTGGCGGGTAAATCCTGAAGCGCATCTTTGTCGTTTCAGCTCACATCGGTCCGCGGAGCGGTGCTGGGGCCGCCGGAGGTGCGGCCAAGAAAGGGGGCCTGGGGTCGGGCAAGGAGACGCTGCGGCTACGCTCGAAGGGGCCCGCCACCGTGGAACAGGCGGTGAGTGCCTTGCCATTCGCCGGTTTTGCTCGAGGACAGTGTACCTCATCCACTAGGGCAAATGGCTCTCGGAGTTCTTGGGGGACCTTTGTCTACCTTGAATGGCAGCCACGGAGCCGCCACCAGTCCTGGCAGTGAAGCAGCGAACCGGCGTAAAACTCCCTTATAAACTGTAATGTACACTTTAGTGAGTGTTTGGCCCTATAGTAAGGGATCGGCGAGTAGCTCAGACCCGCTAAAATAGTGCACGGGAAAAACGCTCCGCTCGGGGACAGTCGAGGAATTTTGGGAGGCTGAGGGACTCGCGAGAGTACTCTGGGTGACTCCTGGCTTCCCAGGGACCCAGTGTCAGAAAGTAACAGTCATGCCGTTTATCAACTTTCTCTGTCGGAGTCAGTTTCGATAGTGGCAAATAAACTTTCAGAGTGAAGCCCTCCAGAAAGTTTGCCACGTCTAGAGGATCGTGGGCCGGGTGTACGCCGATACTTGACCGACTGAGTTCAGAGTGCGAAGCGAACCCCAACGGGTTTCTGTACGTAATTCGTGCCTCGCGTTGCACCAACGTCGGAACGCCCGGGACTCGTGTCATCCGCTTCGGTGCATGTCTTAGACTTCTTCCTTTGTCGGTTACTAGAAGGCAGCCATTGGTGTGCCCCACAAGCCACGCGCTTGGACAACGAGAGCGATTAAAGTGGCCAGGCTGAACTTTAGAAAGGGTTTATTGGGCGTCTGTTTGTCAGCATTTCTCGGCAGTTGCCGCGGAAGTCCCGAAGTACCCAACCGATTTGAAATAATTTCGATTTTGGTCACGCAGCCCGACAACGTGATCCAGGCGGCGGTGGATAAGATTAACGCCCTCCTGGAGTCTTACATGGGCATCAACGACTCTGAGCTGGGTGAGTGGCGGAAGGATTTATTATTTTATTTTATTATTATTTATTTATTTATTGTACCCTCAGGGCCCGAGGGCATTACAGAGGGGAGTGGGTTACAAAGTAAAATCACTAAAAAACAAAATGACAACCTAAGAATAGAAACACGAACATAAGAAATTTTAACTTAGAAAAGTGGTTAAACAACGCTTAAACATGGTGGCATCTGTTACAGACACAACTGACGATGGAAGGTGGTTCCACGTGATTGTTGTTTTGGGGATGAATGAATTATAAAAAGTAGTGGTTTTACAAACAGGTAGACCGATTTTGTGTTGGTGATCGACGCGTGGCGAGACATATGAGGGAGGGGTTAGTAATTTTTGATGCAAGGAAGAATTGTGATGATAAATTTTATGAAACAGACAAAGACGGGATAACTCACGGCGTGAAGAAAGGTTAGGTAGGTTTAAAAACATTTTCATGGATGTTACGCTTGCACTACGGTGATAGTTAGTAAGAATGAAGCGAACAGATCTATTTTGAATAGCTTCGACTGCTGTTGTAAGTAAGTCAGTACCGGGATCCCATATAGGGGAGGCGTATTCCAATTTCGAGCGGACAAGGGTTTTGTATAGTAGTAGCTTGAGAGATACAGGGACAGATGGAAAATTACGTTTGAGAAAGCCAAGCATGCGGTTAGCATTGTTAGTTATGTAGCGAATATGAGGCTCCCAAGACAGGTTCGATGAAATATGGATCCCCAAGTACTTATACGATGATACACCTTCCAACAAAACACTGTTTAGATAGTAGAAAGTAGAGTGCGAGTTAAGACGAGAAACAGTCATTACTTTACATTTGTTAGTGTTGAGCTGCATGTTCCATTTGTTACACCAATTAGAAACACAATCAAGGTCAGACTGAAGGATAGCAACATCAGAGGTGTTAGTTATTTCTCGGTAAAGAACGCAATCATCTGCAAATAAGCTAATAGAGGACGAAACGCAGGAAGGTAAGTCGTTGATAAAAATAAGAAAGAGCAGGGGACCTAACACTGAGCCTTGAGGTACGCCTGATGTCACGGGAGCTGGACTTGAAGAGGTATTATTCACAGACACAAATTGAGATCGGTTATTAAGAAAAGCGCGAATCCATGAAAGTACATCCTGATCAATGTTAAGTTTGCTAAGCTTATGGAGTAGTAGATTATGTGACACCTTATCGAAAGCTTTGGCGAAATCAAGGAAAATACAATCCACCTGGGAACCATGATCAAGGATAAGGTGAAGGTCATGAGTGAAGGTGAGCAGCTGAGTTTCACACGAAAATGATTTACGGAAGCCATGTTGTGCAGGAGCAAAGAATGAATTGGATTCTAGGTGTTGAACGAGATGAGAAAAAATAATATGCTCAAGAATTTTACACGGAATGCTTGTTATGGAAATGGGACGGTAATTGAGAGGAGAATGATGATCACCGGTTTTATGCACGGGCACCACTTTACCCACCTTCCAATCGTCAGGTAAACAGCCTAGAGTAAGTGATTGCTCAAATAATTTAGACAGTATTATAGAAGAATACTCTTTTGTTCTTAGCAAAAATTTAGAATTAATTCCGTCAACTCCCGCGGAGCAGGATATTTTTAGCTGTTCAATTATCTTTATAATTCCACTTGTTTGAATTAAGATGGGATACATGGGCAGAAAAGCGCGTTGTTGAAGTTGAGGTAAAGTTGAAGAAATACAGTTTGAAAATGATTCAACAAAAGTAGAGTTGAAAACATTTGCACAGTCATCGGTGGAAACAGGTTCACCTGATAAAGTAAACAGAGACAGTGTGGTGTTTTTATTGCCGTTAATCGCCTTCCAAAACTGTTTGACGTTGTTGGTTAGTAGTGATGGCAGGGTGATAGAAAAATAAACTGACTTTGCATCCGCGATTGCACTTTTATAAGCATTGGCAGCCTCATGATACTCGAGCCACTTAACCTCCGAATTTGTTAACTTTGCTGCACGAAATTTGTGCTTCTTTTTATTGGAAAGTCTTTTTAGAGTGTTATTGAACCAAGGGGAATTCGAAACAATTGGGATGTTACGTAGCGGTATCTGTTTATTGGTTAGGAGCTCAACCTGCGTCTTAAACAATGTCCAATTTAATTCTAAAGAACGGTCAGAAAAGTGGTCTAAGTAATCGTTAAGAAAGAGGCCAAGGGCACCGTTAATAGAGTCATAGTCACCTCTACCATAGTCTCGTATTTTTTTAAGAGTTCGCTGTGCTGTTTTGGCTGGCACATCAAGTGAAAAATGTAGTAGCGAATGGTCGCTGAGAGCCGGCATGAAAGTAACAGAAGAAATAAGTTCAGGTGAAGTTGACAAAATGAGATCTAATACGTTTGCAGTTGTAGCAGTGATTCGAGTAGGAAGAGACACCAGCTGCGAAAAGCTGAAGTCATCACATAACTTTATAAAATCTTCCGCATCTGATGAGAAAGGGTTAGAGAAAATATGCGGGTGAGACCATTTTATTTGAGGATAATTGAAATCACCAAGGAGGAGTATAGGAGATGAAGGAAAGCGCACTATTATTGAGTTCAAAACATCATGAAGATTCGAAACAAAAGAAGGATTAGCTGATGGCGGACGATAACACACTGCTAAGATAACTTTTTGGAAGTTCAAACACAAGCAACAACAAACTATTTCTAACTCACTATTCAAACGCACACAGAAAGAATCAATGTGATCGGCAACTGCCAATAAAACGCCACCTCCATTTCGTGCACCCCTATCACAACGGTAGACATTAAAACGCTTATCACAACTAAACAATTCACAATTCCGAACATTCGATGACAGCCACGTTTCGGTTAAAGCTACTACGTCAGCGCTACAGGAATCAATAACTGAAGACAATTCATCACGATGACGTAAAATACTCCTTATATTGCTAAAAAGTGCTGACACATTTTTGGAAAAAGGAATAGCACCCACGCCCCTTGCCACATGTTATGGTGAAGAAGACGCTTGATGTGTGTTACGAAGCATGTTAACGTTATCTCCTTCGCGCCTATCAGATGAGGGCGTTTGATGCAAGTTAAGGGGAGGCCTGTTGACGTTATCACCTTCACTCCTATCAGGACCAGCACCGAGATCAAACACTTCGTCAGACACTGAGTTATACATATAACACCTCTTGTTAATAAACAGTTTATTGTAGCGTAGTTGAAACACATTTTTAGAGGCTTTTCCAAACTCAGTTAGTTTTTTCCTAGCTTGGCGGGTTGCTGGCGAGAAATCTTCACAGATGTAAATGTCACTACCTTTCAACTTAAAACGCGACGAAAATACATCATTCTTGACTTTATTGGAGGAGAATTTCACTATTGTTGGGCGACAGCGATTGGCACTAAAAGCACCGATGCGGTGTGAGCGCTCAATGCAGTCTGGGGGCACCTGTAACTCAAGAGAGCCAGAAGCAAGCTCGAGAACTTTTCTTTCAGTAACGGACCAAGTTTCGGACGGAGAATCCGCCAAACCATAAATAATTAGATTATCCCTACGTGATCGATCTTCAAGGTCGTTTAGACGGTCATTCAAAGTGGCATTGTCATAATTTAATTTTTCTGCGAGACATTTTACTGTGTTGAAATCTTGGTCAACCAATTCAAGCGCAGATACTTTATTCTCGACAAGCGTAAGTCGATTACCGATTTCGTTAATTTTTCTTTCGATTGAACTCTGACTTTCTCTTATTTCTTTCACACTGTCTAGTAAACTGTTTTGCCCAACTTCAGATTTCAAAGATCGTTCATTCATATCCCTCACCAGCTGCATCAAATCCGCGAATTGTTTCGCTTGAACGTCGCTCATGGGGCCGGGATTAAGTTCAATGTCGCCCGAAAGTGCTAGTAACGATTTTACCACATCATAACACTCAATGACCGTAACACAAATAACACTTGGGCATGGAAACAGCAGAAGAACGACGTTATTCGTTCGTCTAGTATGTAACGACGGAGAGGAACCCACCTGTACAATGAAGCAGAACGGATTAGAAGACTGCATCCTCAGGCTGTTTCCATGCCCACTGACAGAACTGGCGACGTTCCACGGTTTTGAAGCCTCGTTGATTAGTGTCGATGTCGATGGGGTAGCTTCCTTGCGCCGGGTAAAGGCATACTGCGGCCAGTACGCGAGTACGCCAAAACGTGCGTCGGATTTATCTTGAAAAACTGGAAATCCTTCCGTGGCCAGCGTTGTTGTGACGATGACTTGAGAAAACGGCGATGCCCAGACAGGCGCTGAACACAGGCAAAGCAGGATCTGTACAATGAAGCAGAACGGATTAGAAGACTGCATCCTCAGGCTGTTTCCATGCCCACTGACAGAACTGGCGACGTTCCACGGTTTTGAAGCCTCGTTGATTAGTGTCGATGTCGATGGGGTAGCTTCCTTGCGCCGGGTAAAGGCATACTGCGGCCAGTACGCGAGTACGCCAAAACGTGCGTCGGATTTATCTTGAAAAACTGGAAATCCTTCCGTGGCCAGCGTTGTTGTGACGATGACTTGAGAAAACGGCGATGCCCAGACAGGCGCTGAACACAGGCAAAGCAGGATCTGTACAATGAAGCAGAACGGATTAGAAGACTGCATCCTCAGGCTGTTTCCATGCCCACTCTCGTCGAGGTCGATGGCCGGGCCGTGTTTACCCATCTGGGTGGCTTTCAGGGGTCGTGCCTAGAAAGCCACGGCCCAGAAAGCTCGATAACTTGGAAACACAGCGTAGGGTACCCAAGAAAAAGAATGACGTTTGAAGTGAGAGGATGGGGTCGTTGGGTGCGGAAACGACTCCGGTGACTCAAACCAAATGTTTTTCGACCTCGGTCCGCAGCCTGATGCTTTAACATGGGTGCTGTGAAGTTTTGATGGTGTGCAAGTATAAATAAACTTTTCTAAACGCCTTTGCTTCTAAGGGTCACACGGGGCACACGTCTCGCGCATTGGCGCATTTGTTGCTAGTTACATCACGGGGCTTCAAATTATTTGAGTTGGCAGAACCAATTATATGCCTGGTGGCCGAAAGACGAAGCTGCGAAATGCGTTTAAAAAAAGGCTAGTTGGAGGAGGCGGTGTCGTACGACAGGTATTTCTGCTTTGAGCATCTCCTTAAATTATGTTTTTTTTTTTTTTTTTATTTATTTTTTTTTTTTGTTTTGTTTTTGCATTGCAGCCACGCAGATCTGGGAGCTGGGCTGTGAGAGGCCCAATCCGCACGAGTTTGTGACCGCCATTGGGGATTCAGATCTGGATGCCTTTGGCTTCACGGAAGACTTCCTCTTCGACATCTGGGGTGCCATCGGAGACGCACGCGCAGGGCGTCTGCCGGCAAAAGACCATGCGGCCCGGACCGACCTCTGAGGCTCGGAAGAGATGGGGGGAAAAGGGGTCAGGGACCGCCGGAAGTCACCTTGAAACGTGAAGCCCAATTCCTGTTCGAACGCCCTTCGATAGTTCTAGCCTGATTTCGGTTCAAACACCCTTTGGTAGTTTTAGCCAGATTCCAGTTCAAACACCCTTAGGTAGTTCTAGCTCGATTCCGGTTTGAACACCTTTTGGTAGTTCTAACTTGATTCTAGTTTGAACGTCCTTCGGTGGTTTTAGTCTGGACAACACCCGTGCAAAAACGTGAAACGTTTTTGTACTTGAGTCATTTTGAGAGCTAGGGAACAGCGTGTGGGAATTCTTAGTTTAACCTCTTGAAGTATGGCAAAGGACATTACGAGCCATGTTTGCCAATCAAGCGCTCCATTCATGTCATGTGATTTGGAGCTTTGCACCTCGCTGCACCCAACTGGAAGGTCATGTGAGGCACTCCGAGCTATGGATTGGCTCCGATTGCTCGTAGGGTTTATTGCAATACTTCTTCAAATGAAATGGAGTACTGCCAATGTTTTCACAAAGTTGGTGTATCGGCTCTAGCCTGCCTTCCTTTTGTTGGCACTGTTCTTCTGCCAACAGAATTGACGATAAAACTTGGTTTGGCGGCACATTTCATTTTTTTTTTTCCGTTCGAATGTACATTAGGTAGGTATTGCGTACATTTGGTGTACTCGAGCATCAACATCTAGGTTTGGTATTGCCGTTACGCCGCTTAGGAAGGCCGAGCTGCAGCGTGCGAGGTACCTGGCGCTCTCTAGCATTTTCCCAGGCACTGCAATACAGTGCTACTAAGAATGGTGGCAATTTTCAGCTGGATTCTAGCATTACCGCGCTGTAGAGTTTTCTCGGCTGGAAGCATCTAAGGGCGTTTGTCTTCACTCCCCGTGGTTCTGAAAGGAGTTGCGAAGAGCTCGTTTCAGAGCTCCAGATGGTCGGAACTCTGTAGTCGACTATTTTTAGTATTCTTTTTCCTGCGCTCCGTGAAAGATTGGTTGTGTCGAATTGCGCTTTCCAGGCAGTGATTTGCGTCTTTCGTTCGGGTCGTTCTTCACCTCATTGTGTTTCTCGTGATTGCCCGTATTTCCCCGGGTACCCTCTGACAGGTTGCGTTGATCGGCAGACCGCGGTTATTTTTGCTTTAGGACATTCCAACGGCGGCTGTAGCAAAGCAAATCTGCCGTTCCGGACGTTTGGCGATGCATCTCTGCAGAGTCCAAGGGTTATTGTGCAACTAGATACTGTGGCCTCTACTTCGCTTGGTGCCAGTGAGTTGCACTGTCAGCAACTCCAGCGAAGCAGTATTTTTGTATGTGTGCGACTAGCGGAAGTGGCATGGGGTGCCGACAGGATTCCCGCGTCGACATTTTAAGACGACATCTTTCGATAGGTGCTATACTTCGTGTTGCCACGTCCGGTGAGTGTAAAACATTCCAAACTGTCTCGGTCTTTGAACCAGCACGTTTCACGTTAGCGATGTATGAATTCACTCGTCTGTCAGCTTCGAGTCACTCCCGACTTGGAGAGTGCAGTCACGTCCGTGGGCCAACGACAGGGTAGTGCGATCCCAGTCACGGTTAGTGAATGTAGCATGTTCCGTCCTACAAAAGCGCACACAAAGGTAACTATATTTATGCATATTTTTGCACAATGCAGCTAGATTCCAGGCATGAGTTTGCAGGGGCGTAGTTTCTGCCTAGGGCTTGGGACGTTGCAAGTGCCTCGAAGCTTGGGGGATACCACAGCTGCTGACGCTGGATCCTAGAACGAGGAGCGACTTTCGCTGATGGAAGGGACGACAAGTAGGGTTTAACTAGATTGGATAATTGGTTATCTGGTATATTCTTTGCGGGCTTTGTTGTTGTTGTTGTTTTTTCCCCACTCACTCTTTAGGCTTTTACTTACTATTTCGAGTCTCTCGTGCTCACACGAATGAGACTCCGAACCTCCCATTTACTCAACAGTTCTTTTTCTGCTGGTTTTATTACATGTTTGCAGAAGTCCACTAGTCAGAGAAACCTTTTCTAAAGAAAAAAAAAAAAGACGAAGAAATGCCAGAAGACTGAACTGTAGAGGGTGTTTTTCTTGCGTGTTTTTGCGTGTCCCCAATTATTAATAAAGTATATTTCAGTTTACATGTCTGTGATGTCTGTACGAAGAGTTCAAAGGGCGCTACGACGGATTGCAGATGGAACTTGCCATGGCATTTCAACCTCTCTGTCTCGTAGTCTTTCAACCCGGTGTTTATAGTGTGGTGGGATTCACAATGTCATTGACCATCATTATCCTGTGCAACTGAATTATCTACCTGTATGCCGTTTGTCTACACACATTGTTACCCGTGTTGCAAATAATGCTGCAATTAGACTCCAAGGAAGGGATTTTGTAGAACAAGAACAAAACAAGCAAAGCATTCTTTGCACATGCAGTCATTAAAGACGCCTGGAACAAGGGAGTGAACCAGCCGTTTCTCTCGCCATTTTTTTCTAATTTCCAGCCTGTTGACCATTTGGCACCTGCACGAGAAGAAAGGAGAGAGGCGATGAGAAAGGCACAAAGAGGAGGAAGGGTTGTGGAAATGGAAACACAGACAGTACATTCAAATAATGTTGGACACAATTGTTAGCAGCCATAAGCAGTGACGGACACACTTGTATTTTGAACAGTCTCTACTTTTTTTTCGTTCTAAATACTCTGGGCCAGCATGCTTGGAAGGCGGCCACCAAAGTGCAAGACGAAACTGGGACGTTCGCAAAAAAGTCTCCGCACCACCTTCGTCGTCGCTCTCAAAAGAAATAGCTGCATGGACTCCTCACTCTCTGCTGAGCTGATTTTGCTGATTTCGTGCTCACACCTGCTTTTGTGCCTTGTTGCTTCCGCAGTTGCAGCGCTCTTCTGTTGGGAACAATTACGTGCAGGCATTCCAGGGGTCTAAAACTTGTCAAAACACAAAGTTGGGGCCGAAGTTCATGAAGCGCGCCAATTAGACTATCACAACAGTGGCTTCAATGATTACTTTTGTTGATGACGTCCAATCTGCACGCTTCACAAACTTTCGGCTCCAACTTTGTGTTTGACGAGTTTAAGGACCCAGCACTGCTTCAGGAGCACCTATTATATTGATGATTTTTACGATTGGCGGAATGCTAAGTATGACGTCGGCAAGGGATTTCTCATCGACGGAAAAAAAGAGTAATCTAAGAACTTCAGTTTTGACGGTGATGGCAGTGTTGGTATCGGAGCGCTAAGATTTTAAGCTTTCATTATGCTAATTACACACCATCAAACTTGTTATTCGCAAGGTAATGACATCACGAGAGAGAACCATAGGGAGGGTGCAACCAATACATCTCGCCGCTAATGCTCCAATTCTTGCTTGACATACGCTGCCAAAGCTACTGGCACAAGCTTGTATTTCGACTTCACTTTTGAAATGCATGCCGTCTCATGCAACTGAGACGCTACGAATCGCTTTGGAAAGTCGCCGGTTCAGGAGGTTCTGGTATGAACATACATGAACAATGCACAGATTAGGAAAGAGAGAGAGTGGCTTAGAGGGAACTTCTGGGCGAAAACATGAGCTACAATAGGGACAAAAAGAGACTGGGGTAGCTCAATCGAGGTCACTGCAGCTCAGTGGAGCCAGCTGGATCTTGCTTTCGTGGTCACGTATTTTCACATATTTGAGCACGTATTTTCATACCAGTTATTTCTAAAAAGGTGGATTGGCAGCATGTGCGAACTACAGAGGGGCACTTCTCTAGCTATCATCATCGTCATTTGTGACGTAGCCAGTAGAGAGAGCAGACGACCGCGCAGCTTCGTTGGCTCACTTCACCCATTCAGGTAACACGACGAAACCTATTTCACACTTTGCGTTTTCTTTGGTGGAGTGCTACTTGTGGTAAGACACTTTTCACGGCTCAAAGACATGGCACGCATAGTAGTCGTGCCATTCAAACATTTTCGGTGTTAACGTCGAAGCATTTTACCGCAGTACAACACCTTCCATGGTAAACGCTATCTTTTTTATTATCTGGGCGAGAGGAAAGTTGGACAGGAATGGTTAATCGGTTGAAAATGGGCAAGAACTCGAGAACCTCTCGCATGCGAACACTTCAATGAAAGCGACTTTGTGTACTTCGTTGGTTCCACCGTTTTCTGCGAGTGCTGGTTTCTTAAGAGATGAAAGTTGGTTCCTCCCTTGTTTTTTGTTAATGAGTAAACAAACGTTTTTCTCCGAAACAACTGGCTGGAAAAGGCCGTGGCTGGCTCCCGGAGTGGTCATCAACCTAGGCTTATTCGCCCGGTCAACGAGAAACATGCGGAACCACCTCTGCGATTGAGACCTGTAATATCAAACAATTCGGTCACACTTCAGCGTCCCAAATAGGAGTTGGACACCTGCTATAGATTACGAACGTTTGGGTTTGTTTTTGCAGACTCGAATAATTGCGCAGAACGTGTGGTTTTGCCTCTTGTGGGGATAATTTAAATTTATAATCAATCTGTAGCAGATATTTAAGAAAACGAATGAACCAATTGCCTTATTTCATCGGACCCCAGATGCTGTGCTCTGGCGAATCACTTTGTCACGTTTCCGGTGTGGAAAATGAACAAACGCCACTGCAAAAGAACAGCGATCCCTTGTACTCGGTCTACACGGTGTCGTGCGGGTGCTCGCTAGCGGCTTCCGTGTCGCATTTGGACTGAAGTTGTCTGCAAGCTCCATTAGCCAAAATGAGAGTGCGGCGTCGCACAACACAACAGTGCACACGTGCACAGCTAGAATTTGATGACAGCAATACGAATTTTCGTACAGGAGCCTCCACAGATCCAACGAAACAAGAATCGGAGATGCCAAGAATGGCTACGACGCAAAAGGCTCAACCTGTCATGTCGAGCTCCTGGCTTGATTTCAAACATCATAAAGGTTGTATCAAACAAAGAGACTCGTAGGTGCTGTAACATTACAGAGAGAACTTGCAAAAACCTTGCGCGCCTTTTTAAAATTAGATAAATTGTTTTCAATTGAAACGAGCAAGTTAGACCACACTGTGCAACTACATGGCGCGTCGTCTGCTATAATCCCATTTGCTACGTCTGAGGAGTGCACCCACAAGGTGGCGCCACCGAAAGCTCAAGAAATGTAGGGTGCGGAAGAGTCCTTTCTAAAATACGTTAGTTGCATTTTAAATTGGAAGATTGGTGCTCCAAAGATGATCTTGTACCCTAGCCAACATTTCTGTGAAGAATGTAGTGGAAATATTTCGTTATAGTATTGGTGTAATACTGTAATGTGCTGTGGTTCCGTCGCATAAAAGTTTTGAGTGTCGCGTGTTGATGGCTTTGAATATGCAGTTGTAGCCAATGTAGTCCTGCTTGTGGAACATGTTCACTTGTGAAAACACTGGGAACCTAGGTGATTCTCATGTTCTGTTTTCTCTAATCGAATAGCCTACAGCAACATTTTCTCACTATGGTATGAAAAAGAGTTGATTCGCATCAGTCTATAGAAAAATCTTGGCCTTGTGCAGCCCTTAACTCTTCACATCATTTTTCTTTCTCCCCTCAGTTTCCTATACAATACTTTCATAAACCTCATTGGAAAAAAGTGGCTGGCACATCAATGTCAGCAGCTAGCACTGAATGTATTCTCTGGGGATTTTTTAAGCACCAGTGATCTAAAAAGCAAAATTCCTAAGCATGTAAAAAAAAAAAAAAGGATGCAGTTGAGTAAAGAAGTTAACTAATTTGTAATTTCTTAAAGATTTGTTGTTTAGGATAGAATCCAAAAATGTAATGAGAAAAACTTTTCCTTGTTCTGGAGCAAAATTGAAGGAAATTAGTTGATGCATTCAAGACCTGTGCTATTCAAGAATACTTCAAATGCCTAAAAGGACACACAGCAGTAGAATGCTCAATTATTTCAGTTAAAAATTTCATTATTTTCGTATTAAACCGATGTCAGACCAGCGATCTGCTGGGTGCTGCAGGCTTTTACAGCAAAGCTGCACATGACTTGTTGGTCGGGTTATTTCATGTCCGTCTACAGAAAACTATCGCGCGCGCCTTATGGACGTTCTTGCGTGCCTTATCTGTCATGTGGTTTTGACACTTGTTTCAATAAGAAAACCACAAGTGTCAAAACCACATGATAGATGATAACGCACACACTAACAATGCAAAGCACATAGCGCTCCCCGCAAGCGTTTCTCGGTAAAGATTACGGCAGCAGGGTTTGAATTTAAAAGTTCAATGAAAGCGATCTTTGCGGTGCAGCTCTTTCTGCGGTTGGTTCATTCTCGCATCCCCCCAAGTTTCGCTCAGTTGTGCTGCCCCAATAAATTGACGTAAATACAAAAATGCTAAATGAGGAGACAGTCTAGCAATCATGGTTGGGGAGCTTAGCAACTAGAAAATGGCATCTTCCTTCCGCCATCTTGTGCTGTCGAGACGCAACGGACGAGTCTTTCGATAACGTGCCGTATTGCGTCATCGCGAAGTAGGTGTGTCACCCACAGCTTCGGGAACGTAGGCTGTGGGGAGCCTCGAGCATTTTATTACCACTCCACAGCCAACGAGCTTGCAGCATTAGCCGACGAGGATGTAGCAGACCAGAAGCTCCGCCCATCGGCCACCCTCAGTTTTAAACGGCTCTTGCTCTACCATGCTGGTTGTTCAAGTGTGGCACATTTTTAAGCAGTTTTTCTCCGACGTTTGTCTAATAAGGCGGGCGAGCACCGACAAGTCGCAAGAGAGATCAGCTATACAGACGCTATTGGTGTCCTTTTATTGGCATTAAGAAGGAACCCCGACAAAAGGCGTCGCGGCCGGACAATCCGAGCCGCCGTGTTGACCTTTCTACGCGCAACGGGGCCACCGGGCAAGAGAGGTGGGCAGTCAAGATGGGCTCCACGAACCCCACAATGGCCGCGGGCGTCCAGAAGAAATGGGTCGAAACGAAACGTACGATGTTTAGATGCGTCGAAGAGGCCCGACAAAACCACTCGCGCAGACCGCCTGAGTGGGAAGGGGCCTCGAAACGACAGTCTGCCATGCCGGGAAACTTTGTACACCCCTCCCGATTGTCTCGACGGCATCCTCCGATGCATCGCGGCACGAACCTTGCGCATTACGTCGAGAATCTTCCGCTACAGGCATCATTCCGCACGTTTTAGCTATGTACATCGAGGCGCCTCGCACCGTCCCGAGCCAGCACGAGTGTTTTTCACTTCCGCCGCTTGCTCGAGTTTGCGATCGTCTTTATGGAGTTTATCGTATTTACAATAACAACAATGATGCGAAGAAAAAAAAAAAACACTTCAGCAGAACGGAGAAGCGGTGGGGTCTTTCGTCTTGAAAACGTCCTTCAGTGACTTGATCGCTTGGTCCGCGTCGCACAGCAGCGCATCCGAGATGATCGCGGACTGCGGCGGCATGATCTGCGGGGCGGGGTTCGGCGTGGGGACCACGGGGCTCGGCAACGCAACCGGCAGAGGGACTGCGACAAGGGGCGGCGCATCGACCGGGGCGGGAGGAACGGGCGGTCGCGGCTGCGGTCGCCGCTGGTAGCTGCTGTAGCCGCTCGGCCTGTCCCCCTCGCTCTCGTATGAGCTCAGTGGCGAGGCGTAGTCCATTCGATTCTTGCGGGCCACCAGTCCCCCTCGCGGATTCCGGACGCTCTTGCTCTTCTGCCGCGGATCCCGCTTCGGCGGAGGCGGAGGCGGCGGTTTTGTGTCGATGGGTTCGGTGACTTCCATCTCTTCATCTTTCTTCACGGCCGGACTACTAGAGTCCATCGTCGTCGTCTGCTGCTGCTGTTTCTGCTGCATCTGCTCCAGCCGTCTCGCTAGGCGCGGGTCTATCCTCACGATGGGAGGGACGGCCGTTCCTCCATTCGCGTGTGTAGAGGCTGCCGCCATTGCAGCCGCTTTCCGCGGATCCGTTTTCGGGGCCATCGGTTGTACCTGGGGCGGAAGCCGATGAACTTCAGGCGCAGCAACGGGGGTTTTCTGTGGTTCCGCTGCGACGACTGTCCTTTTTTCCGGCGGGGGGTGCTGCTGCTGCTGCTCGAGGTGACGCGCCATGCGCGGATCTCTTCTGCTCACACCTACGGGCTTGGGCGGCGGCGGCGGGGGTGGTGGGAACGGAAGCTCCGAAATCGAAGGCTTCGCGACGGCGGGCTTTGCGACGGCGGCGGGCTTAGGCGCTTCCGGCGGCAAGTTGACGACATACTTGGCGAAACGCGGGTCGCTCCGGAGCTTGGACTGGGGCAGCGAGCCGCCTCGCGCGACGTCGTCGTAGTTTGGCAATGCTCGCAGGATCGACACAAGCCGGTACGGCGCGTCCCCGTCCTTTGACTCGACGAACGTGACTTCAGTCTTGGGAGGTGGGGGCAGGGGCAGCTTTTCTCGGAGCCTGGGGTCTCTTGACGACTGCGGCACATCCGTCGGCGCTTTGGGAAGCTGCTGCGCTTCGGCGCGGGCGCGCCGGGGGTCGCGGCTAGCGGGTGGCGCTGGGGTGGGCGGCGTCGGGACGGGGGCGGACTCGACGGCCGGGGTCGTCGCTGACGCGGGCACTGAGGAGAAGAGGTGCTTCCAGAAGTTTGTCTGCGATTGGCTGGGGACTTGCTGCTCGATTCTGCTCATCATCTCGGCGAAGTTGATGGTTCCCGGGGACGGGGCTGCAGTGACGGACGGCGTGGGCAGGAGCGGTGGCACTGCCGTGCCGCCCGGGCACTTGGCAGGTGCGCTGCTTTCCTCCACCGGCTGTGAAGTGGCAGGGGCAAAAAAGAGGTTAGAATCCTTCTATGCAACAAACAGTAATTAAAAAAATATATTGCTCCGAGCCTACATTTATTTTCTCTCTCTGTAAAAAATGCAAAAAAATGCAACCCAGTCTCAGGTGGTAAAAAATGGTAAACTGTTTTTTCATTAATGCTTAACAAAGCGTTTAAAAAGATTTTTCGATTCACCGACCAGAGCGGTCGAGATGACGGCAAAGAATCCATTCGACAATGCAATCATGAGGCATACCATAAGGTTCACAATGATAGTCCGCCTCCCAAAGGCTGCCTATCCTGCTTTTGCGGTTAGATATTTTTTGACAAAAGACCCCCAAAAGGGGCGCATGGCTGCACTCATCACTGAAACGGGTGGCAGCTTTTGTCACCCAGCCCCTAGCGGCAGGAGCACGTAAACTACAGTAAAACCTCGTTAATTCAGATCTCATGGGACCGGCAAAAATGGCCAAATTATCCGAAAGTCGAAATATTGAAAGGACAAAGAAAACAGCGCGAAAACGTTTCCCTGTGACATACCTTTATTTTAAGAAATCTGTTATTACCGCCTGCTTTCTGGACGATACTTGGGTGGAGACGGCAACTTTCCTTAGTGCAGTCGAGTGCTCCACCGCACTCGCACTGTCGGAGCTACGCATCCCGTGCGCGGACAATATAGCACAGCAAAGCCTCTTCTAGTTTCGGGTGCACCACCTTCCAAGGCCGCTTTCTTTTCGCGTTGAACTTCTCGCTCTCGATATCGGCCAAACTGCTTCTCTTGACGTCGTAACTTTCCGTCACTTGTCGAGAGACGCCGTCCTTCAAGGCCCTCAGTATTTCCCCTTTCATCGCTAAATTCTTAGCCTAGTACAGCTGCAACGGAAAACGAGTAGCACAACGAACCAATAATCAGAGCGGCGAAATCGCGACACCCGGCGCTATTTGTCCCAAGCGCGCCAATAGCGAGAGTGCCTGTCATGTTGCATTTTTCAACGCGGGGGTGGCCGGCAAAAATTGAGGGATAAGATAGCTGTTAAAATGGCGGGCTTTAGGATCCCCGCGTTGAGGCATAAAACGTGACTGCCACTCGCTATGGGCACGCTCGGGAACAATAGCCCCGCGTGTTGGGATTTTGCCATTCCGGTCGTCGGTCCCTTGTGCTACCCTTTTTCCGTTTCAGCTACGCTTCTGCCACCTCCATGCAAGAAGAGTAACGTGCTGAAGCACGGCAATACAGAGCAAGACTGGTGCGAAACACGGAGAACCGGAAGAGCGAAGAGCCATGGGAAAACTGGAAAAACCACGTGTGCACCTCCGATGGATCCTTTCGAACGTACGGTAGCTAGCGCCACCTGCCGAATTTGTCCGAATTAACCATGGTGCGCCGCGTTCCCTCCGAATTAATGAGCGTTTGCTGCCATTGACTAATGCATACGTTTGACGGGACCGGATCGGCAGTTCAAATTATCCGAATTTCCGAATTAGCGGGGGTTGAATTAACGAGGTTTTACTGTACCTAATAGTGCGGGCATTTGCTTGCAAAGTGGCTGGCTATTGCAAACAAAACCAATAGCTGTGCAAACACCTCGTTTGCAAACTGCATTTGCTAACAAAGTGTGTGGGAGCCACTTCCACGACTCCATCATACACTTTGTTGTTGCAGCACCTTGCACCAGTCTACGGTTTAGATGCGACTTGGCCGACTGCAGCGAAATAAATTTTTGGGTAGTGCCTCTACACTGCAATCTAGTATTTTGCGCGAAAAACGTACGAGTTCTCCGGGACATCGGCATCTTTACAAGCCACGGACGACCACCCACCGTCTGCTCCTGCAGCTTTTTGAGCACGGCTGTCAGCGGCTGGTCGTCGTCGTAGTCCTCGTCGTCGTCGCTGCTCCCGACGTCTGCAGCCACAGCCGCCACGGCTTTCTTTTCTTCCTCCAACACCTCGGTGCCCTTCGACCCCTGCTCCTCCTTCTCTGCCTCTGCCGGATGGCTCGGAGACTCCGCGGCCAGAGCCCCGCCCTCTTCGGCGGCCCGCTGCTCCTTCTGCTGTTGCTGAATCCGGAGGAACAGCTGGCGTTGGCGCCACGGCAGGTTTGGCGGGAGACCCTTCCGCTCTGACGGCTGCCACATCTCGTCGTCGCTGTTGTTTGCGTCCTTCTCTGCGTCGTCGCTGCCGCCTTGCCTCGACGGACTCTGCGCCGAGTCTTGGTCGACCAGGTCCAGTCCCGGGATGGCGGTCTGCTGGGGAGGCAGCGGCGAAGAGCGGGAACCCTCAAATTCAGTCAGTGTTAGGCCAGGGATGGACTGCTGTTGGTGTTGCGACGGCGGCGGCGGTTGCTGCTGCTGCTGCTGGGGGGGTGGGCTCATTGACTGGTCTTGGCTCGGATCGAAGAAGACTCCCATCTGGGGCATGCCATCGGAGCCCATGGAACGGGGATCGCCGATAAAGGAAGGACCTGCAACGCAAACGGCAAACTGCAATGAAACTTATTGAGCGTTTGGAATGCTGAAGGTAAGTGAAGGACTGCTTATAATCAGGGTCCTGGGTTTTTCTTAAATACCGATGATCCCCGAAAATTAACTCCCCGAGAAAGTTTAATCAAAACTGGGGAATACAGAAAAACCCCGAATTCAAGTATTCAGGTCATGTGCGGGGAAATCTCCTCCCAATAGCCTACCATAGATTTTTTTTTTTTTACTCCTAAATTTGGTTTTCAGAATTACCGAATTTGTGGGAAAAAATAAATCTTCAAAAAAACACACCCAAATCTGTAGAAAAAAAAATTGTGGTGGCTTAGCTCGGCTATGCCAGGATATACGTAGCGTGAGCTTATGCGCACAAAATGAGAGGCGCTATCAAGCGGCTCTGGTGCAGCTTCAGACTTGGCTACTGCGCAACGAAGGCGCACAGCTGGGCACGCGGCGGCGCCAGTGCGTCTGCTGTGGCTATGACGTCACTCCTCTGGAATGCGCAGACTGGTGAGGCAAGCGCGGCGGCGGCAAAGCGCGCGGCAGCGGCGGCTCCGGCGCGCCAGCTGTGCGCCATGAGACGTCACTGCTCCTCACGCATGCGCAGCACGGAGCACGGCTCATTATGCGAGCCATGCGAAACTGCTCAACCTCGGCCAGTGTAGCTCACTCTACAAAATAAAGCCCGGACAAACACCCTCAAATTTGTGGGAAAAAATAAACACTGAAAAAACGCTCCCTATTTTGTGGGAAGAAATAAATCCCCCCAAAAAACATCCCTCAATTTGTGGGAAAAAAAGAAACACCCTGGAATCTGTGGGAAAAAATAAACCCAGAAAAAACACTCCCCCAATTCCAAAAAAAAATAAACTATGAAAACACGAAACCCAACTTATAATGCTCTGCTGACGCAACGGAGGGTCTTTGAAAACCTGAAAATGTATATTAATAAAATCTGTGGCATCCTAAGTGCAAGCAAAGGAAAAGGTACAATAGCAAGCATAACACTTAGAACCATTGACAAGGGTACAAAGCACCCTCGTCAATGGAAGTGTCATTTGAAACAATGTGCACATGCTTACAGCCCTGGCCTTGCTCACACTTACGAAGAAACAAAGTCCACTCGGGGCTTTGTTTCATCCATTTTGATGTTCCTGGCACCTATTGGGCTCACTCGATTAACTTGCTCCAACCTGCACCCATGGAGAAAAAATTGAAGCGCAGTGCAGGAAAGTGCAGGGAAGTGGACTTCCGGCACGTGTTTAAGGTGGGCTACGCTCATGAATCGAAATAAGCAGCGTGAACCGAGCATAGCTGGTGCAAGCAGTGTAACTAAAAACAAACCCATTGTTCAAAAAGAAGAAAGAAAAGGGGTGTCTGCTTCTAATTAGCCTGCTACATAGTTTGTGCTTTGAAAAAAATGTACATACCACTGAATGTGCCTTAAGGCCCGTTCACACTGTTGCGACCTCTTAAACCCATGTTCCTTAAAACTTCTTAAACCAGAGAACACACTGGCGCCATCTATTGGGAAGCAGTGTAAACTCGGCGGTCCGGCACATTTTTTTTATTTCTCGCGCATTATCCTTTCTTTCTTGGCTCAAAAACTTTTGTCAATGTTATAAACGAGCCTTTCTATGGGTATTACGCACATTTGACCTCGAAAATCCCGCAAAACCTTCGCTCTTGTGAAATGCAGTTCTAGGGTCACCGCATAGATGGCGCCACAATGCCAGTGTGTTCCCTCATTCTAATAACATTTAAGAAGTTTTAAGAGATCTCGTCTCTCTCAGTCGTACTCGGTCGCAAGAGTGTGAACGGGCCTTTACGAGGTAGAGAGGGTTGTTCCTTAAAACCGAAGGGTTACCCTCAAGGCCTACCCGGCCGATCGTTCCCTAGACCCATAGTGAACCTATGTCGGCTTGTCCCCATGCAGACAACACACGTCCACATAAAGAATGGCAGGGCACATCCCGGCACATCCCGACGACGGCCCCCGGGCACCCACGGCCACACCTACCTTGGTCCTGAAGGGGCGGCGAAGAGATGTCCGGCGAGCAGAAACCGCCAGGGTGGGGTCCGGCACCACCCATGGGCATGGGCCCTGGCCCAAACCCTTCGTCCAGGCACAGCGGGAGGGGCCCCATGCCGGGGTGGCCGGCGTGGGGCGGCGTGCCACCCGCCATGGGCATGCCCCGCACTGGGGAGCACTGCAGGGTGTCCATGTAGAAGCTTGGCCTGCGAGCACCCCACGCCCCCTCAGATGGGCTTCTCGGCGAACAGACGCGACGGAAAGGAAACAAGGTCTGCGGTCGTATTTCAATCTGTCAATCAAATTGTGATGTGCAAGACAGACCCCTTCCAAAGGTCGGAGCGATCTAGTGGCCTCACAAAAACAGTTGGCACAAAGGACAAAGCACAAGCAGAAGGATGGACGGGACAAGTAGTGCTTGTCCTGTCCGGTCTTCTACTGGTCCTTTGCGCCAAATGTCCTTGTGATGTTTAACCAACTAGGCCGTCGACTTATACCATCTAGTCTGTCTATCTGCCGCCGCCCAAGACACAACCTGGTGGTGGGAGTTTGACACAGATGCCATCCCATTAGAAGCTCCTACGCTTTTAATGGGATTTTTGAGGGGATGTTTAAGACTGTTAAAAAAAAGAAATAATTGGAAATACCCGGGTTGAATACGATTGGGCTAGACTCTATAGCCGAGGGTGTAGAGCCATTTCTTCCGTCCACTAATTTATTACGAGCCTCGAGCTTTTTGTGGAACATTGCAGGGACATTTCCTGACAGTTGCGGCGCAGGCTTTCATTAATTAATTTATTCATACCCTTAAAGTGCCCATTGGACTTCACATAAGGGGAGGCAAATAAAATACAACAAATTCAAAACAATAAAAAACTCAAAAGGTTGCTATGTGCTTATTAAGAAAGCTGCAAGAGCAGCTCTGAAGCTAGGTGATTCCTGAATGGTGACAATGCTATCGGGAAAGGAATTTCGCTCGGAAGTGGCCACTTAAAGGGGTGCTCTCACCTCGGTGGAAAGCCCATCTGGGGCGGTCCCCTGGGAGGGCTCATCATGGGGGGGCCCTGCTGGGTGAAGGGGACCCCCGGGGGTCCGGGGGGTCCGCCGAGGAACTGCATGCGCCACGACTCGGCGGCCTCTTTCACGTGCCGCGGGGGCGAGCCCAGCAAGGAGGGCCTCTTGAGCATGTGGGGCGGGCACCCCAAGAACTCCTCCTCCCCCGGCGGGGGCCCCCCTTCGCCCCGGTCCTCCCCGCGCTCCGGGGGTCCACGCGGGTCCCCCCTGTCCTCAGGGGGTCCCATGTCGCCGTCCCCACGGTCTGGCGGTCCGCCGTTGTCTTCTTCCATGCGGGGCGGACCGTGGCTGTTGTCCAGGTACTGCGTCGAAAACAGGTGTGGCTCAGAAACCGCCAGACACTTTCCAGAGTTCAGTCTCGCTACCTAAATACGCGGCTTCTCAAAGTGAGTTCTTCAGAAACCAATCTGAGTAAACTGTTTTGCTTAGAGGCACCAAAGCACCACAGAAGGCACAAATGCCTTCTGTTGTTGCTTGGCACAGCCAAAGCACGACAACAGAAGGTGACGAGCATGTGCTGGAGACATCTTCCTTTCACCTTGGGATCGAAATAATGCTGACAATGTCATAAGCCAACATTTCTTGTAGATAGTGCTTAAATTTCTTCTCGCACATACAGGGAAACACTCATTCTAGTTATACACGGATCGGCAATGTTCCCGGGCTACCCGACAGGTAACGTCAATGTCTTCCCTTGTCGTAAGCAATCACAAGCAGTTCCAACGAGACGATGGCACTTGCCCGGAAGCTCGTGAGCCAGCCCTATTAAGAACTCCAAGAATGCACGTTCAGGAGTTCTTGGAGCTTTTCGGAGCTCGGACGTTGGCACGGCAAGAGGAAGGGAACGCCCAGCTTACCCTGCCGAGGAGGCGCTGAGTCTCCTCCGTCAGAGGCTGGTGGGAGAAGCGGCAGCTGGCGTCTGCAAAGCACTTGGCCCCCGTGTGGAAGAACTTGCAGGGGAACTCCTGGTGCATGAAGGAGCAGTGTTCCCCGCGAGCACAGTACCCACTCAGGTAGAACTTGCACATGTCGCGCTTGCGTGCCTGAGGTGCGTCGTGGGAGAACGGGCACTCGGCCCCCTGGAATGCACGCGGAAGGAGGGAGACACGTCGAACAAGGAAAGCTGTTGATCCTGCAGACACAGGAATGTCTAGAGTGGTTACCAAAGCTACGGTCGGGGTTGTACGGTAAAACATCACTCGAATGAACTTCATTTGGACAAACTTGTTAAAGTCTCCAGCAAATTTTTATAGCATTCAATGCACTCCGTTGAGGGAACCTTCCCTTAATCAAACTTCTTTTGGGGGGTTCCTCGAAGTTTGCTCTAGTGGTATTTCACTGAAATGAGCACAACGTGGCCACCGGTGTAAAATTTTGCGTCCGAAATCCCCAGTGCCTTTTTTTTCTTCAGCTAAAGCTGTGCAGAAGGTCGAAATTCTAGAGTTTCCCTAGGTGGGACGCATAAGACTCCCGGCATCGCCGGCCAGCTTCTCGCGAACGGACTCGGCTGAGATTATTTTTATAACTTTTCCAATCACTTCCTAGGGAATAAGAGCACAGAAGATAAGTGCCCACGCTCTCAACATTAGAGGTTCTTACCTCACCTAAGAACCTGCGCAACTTGTGCACCTTTCAAAGTTACGGACACGGACGTGTCAAGTTTGACAAATTTAAACTTTGGGTGTTTTCATCCCGAACCAACGAAGGGCATTTGGGATAGCCCGGCAAGGGATAAAGAATTAGTAGTGGTAACCACCCAAGCTGAAATGCGCAACCGAAAGCTTCGGCAGCTGACGTGACTATGTCGCTCCCGACTGCTTGCAACAGACTGCGACTCAATGGCTAACCCCAGTCGCGCCCGAAGACGCCTTCCCTGCGTCTTCGGTCGGGGCCCCACGCACCTTGACGCACTTGGACTCGAGGTAGAACTTGCAGACGGAGCGTGACTTGGAACCGTCCCCCCCTCCGCCGCCGCCCCTCTTGTTGCCCCTGGCCCCTCCCATGAGCTTCTTCCTCCTCTTCTTCTTGGGAGGCCCCCTCCGCATGTCCATGGGGTGAGGCTTGCCACCCCTGCCCCTGTGGGCCCCCCGGCCCCCCTGTGGGAACCCCTGGTGGGGGGGACCACCCATCCCCTCCTGGGGACATTCGGGGCCCCCCGGACCCCCGTCGGGCGAGTTGCAGCCACGGGGGGACCTGGGAGGAACGGACACCGCCACAAATGCAACGAGACGAGAGACAAACGGTGGTGGGATCCTGTGCTTAAAAGCACGAGAACTGCCAGAAAGAGAGTTGTGCGAGTACTTTGTGCAGCACACTTATACCAGGTCGACTTATAACAAACTTCCGTTATAACAGACTTCTGTCGTAACAAACTTCAGTTTTAACCAACTTCTGTTATAACCAGCTGCTGTCAAAACAAACTTCTGTTATAACAAAATTCTGCGCTAACACTTATGTAATCAAATTTTTCTTATAACTTCTGTAATAACAAAATTCTCTTATAACAAACTTCTGTAATAACAAAATTCTATTCAAACCAGCACATGGTGGAAACAAAAAATGTTGAACGAGGCTCACCACATTTGAATGTAGGCTCACTTACAACTCCCGATACAACAAGCACAATAAGCAAAACTTAAGTCATAAGTGGGTTGCACCGTATCCCCATCTTGAAAAAATCACGACAAACGGCCCGTAAAATGTCACGCTCAGCATCACAGCATGGGAGGCGTTTATCGCGCAAGAACATTATCTGTGCCCCATCGTTCGCTAAGCTCCCCACATAAAGTGCCAGTTGACCACCTATGCGCCCTAAAGGGAAGTAGATGTGATGACATTGCCACGAGCCATTCAAAGTTCAATGCCCTTGTACCACCTCCCAGTTCCACGCCAACCGATTCACAGAGACACCGGGACAACGGAAGGCGACCGACACCGTGCAGACGGCACCGCATGCAAGTGCGCCCGACCCCGTCAAATGGTGCGTCTTACGTGTCGCACGAACGGGCTCGCAAGAGGTGGCCCTCGTTACGCATCTCCTCTAGCACTAGTGCCCTCAACTGCGCATACGCCAGCCTCTCCTCGCAGGGCAACAGTCTATAAAGAGAAGGAAGACGGGTGGTTGCAGTTCCGAAATTACAGCAGTCCCACCCAGTCTGCCAACGGCTGGTTCGCATGTGTTTGTTTCGAGTGTGATTGACCAACAACCTGCAACCGTTCGCGACGAGACACCACGCTGGCATCATCCATGGGGGAGCCCCGGAATGCTGCCCATCTGCGTACAACTCCACCGGAGGTTTGGCAGTATTTGCAAGACCAAATCTATGCAGTGCCTATAATGAGTGGCTGCTTATGACGTCAAAATCACATAGTGCGCACGATGGGAGAACGACGCATAAAGTATGTGGCTGCCCGATGCCAGTGCCTGAATGTTCTCTCATCAAGAGCAGTCCCAGGCGGTTATTAAGCGGTCTGTCCCACTCAAACATGCGACCCAGCCATTAATGGCGGTTGACAAATACAGAATTCAAGATTCCAAACAAGAACAACTTAGAAGTGTTAGATAGATGTTGAGTGTTAACCGAGGGTGTGCTACCAGGAAATAGGCGAGCAACCACATTTGGCGCGTCTGCAGGCCGCATTTGTTGAACGCCTCTCCAGCGGGACTGGGCTGTTACGGTCCACCTCTGCCCACTCGGCACATTGTTCATTTGCTCGGTGTATTGGGCAAATAAATAAAGGGCGGAAGTTGACCCGGTGCTGCAAGTCGTTGTGTGGTGAGTGCCAGCGACGACTCACAATGCTGGTTCTACACGGCGATTCAAGGAGCGGCCAGGCTCTTTAAATCGACCGCAAAATTCAGTTTCTTTACCTATTGCGCTACGACTTTGTGCAGCTTTGCCCACAGATAGTGCTTTTTTTTTTGTAAAATTTGCAAAGAGCGAACTTACCTGAAAAAAAAAGAAGAAAAAAAAGAAAAAGGCTTAGCTCCTATGGAAACGCAGCAAAGCCACCGGTCTTCAAACCATTAGGCACCTTATAATATGAAGATCGGTGCCTTCGCTGCGTTTCCATAAGAGTTAAGCCTTTTTCTTTTTTTCTCGGGTAAGTTCGCTCTTTGCAAATTTTACACAAAAAAAATGCACCATCTGTAGGCAACGCTGCACAAGGTTGTAGCGCGATGAGTTAAGAATCCGAATTTTGCGGTCGATTTAAAAAGCCTGGCTGCTCCTTGAATCGCCCACTATGTGGCAATATGGCCTCGGTGGGCCACTAAAGTGTAGTTTGCAATCATATTTTTAGGGCACAAACTCAACAACGCATGTGCCCTAAGCATAAAAAAAAAAAAAAAAAAAAATCAAAATGACAATTATGCGTGGCTTTTTCTTTATAAAAAAAAAAAAAAAAAAAAGCCACCAAACATTGCATCATGCTCCTTATCCAAGATCTCGGAAAAGTTGCGTAGCGGGACGTTGGCTCACATTTTCGACAGAGAAAAAAACCCATGCATCATTGTAATTATTTCTTTTTAAGATGCTTAAGCTGCACAGTTTGAGTTTGCCCCATAACCATATTATCTCAAAATAGTAAGTTTAGAAGGTGAGAACATTGATGGAATTATGTGTTACTGAAAGAATACACGCGGGGACGGGGAGATGACACATTTTGCGTGTCCGTCCCTGCGTTTATTCTTTCAGTAATGTATAATTCAAAATACACTTTAGTGCCCCTTTAACACTTTGACTGTGTGACCGCGGGAGGTGTTGCCAATTGTCAAAGGGTTAACTTGCCCAGTAGCTACAGTTGCCGCTCAGAACCTAACGAGACAGAAGAGCCGCCCACTCACTGCATGAAGCCGTCGTCGTACGGTCCCGGGGACCCGAATTCCCTCGGAGGCATGGGTCCACCATGGGGGTGCTGGTGGTGGGGCTGCGGGAGGTGGGGGTGGTGTCCCCCCCGCCCGCCGCCGCGGTGGCCCGGGTGCTGCCCGCCGCCGGGGTGGTGTCCCAGTGGCACGTTCGACTCCGGCGGAAACCACACTGTGTCGTCCACCATCCGATCGTGGTCCACGTAGTGCGCCCGCTTCTGCTGCACGGCGGAGACGGAGGGAGCGGTTAGACAGCCGGCATTCCCGCGACGGTTCCTCGACGTTTCTCCAACGATTTCAGGCTTTCCATGGTGAACATGGTGGAACAGACAGGTCCCACATCAAGCGTGCGTGAGATGCCGGAACATTATTGAAGGTAACATTCCGGCGTCTCACGCACACTAAAAAATTTCCAAAACTGCGGTAACGACTTCACCATGTTGCCCGAAATGTATGTGCCACTCAGCTCTGCTCAAAGGTAGAGGTTCCTAACGTGTCTTCTCTCGATGCAGCCAAACGACGGATTTTGGGGAAGACCTTGATCTCGATTAACCCCCGTTTAACAGGAAAAACTACCTCATTCATCTCGTTAAGAAGTGAATGGTGAATTCCCCTCGTCGATTTGGAGCAGTGACCTATATTTCGGACAAAGCGAGTCGTTTGAACTGAGCACAAATCGCCTCAACCCGAACTTGATGACTGCCCCTCCCATCAACCTTACTGTGCACACCAAAAACGCGTGGAGCTGGAAAAAGTCACGCTCGACAACCCAAACCGATTTTCTGTGTGCCAACCATTGTTTGAGCGAGCTATTTCAACGTGGTGCCTGAAAAAGATTAGCGGAAGACAATGTGGCTCATCCTGATCACTCTGTAGAAGTCGCAACTCCAGCATTATGATGCTACAATCACCTCTAGAATAGACACACACCTGACGCTGACTCTAATGCCCCCGATTCCCAAGGCTCACTATTTCAAAGCAATAACCTTCTGGAAACGCCAAACAGTAAGTAAGCTGCCAGCCCGATATGTCGTGCTCAGACCCCTCCGACTTGGAAACTTACGTCGAAATAGTCGTCCTCCTGAAAGAGAAGATTCAGAGACCTAATGCTAACTGCGTGCCACTTCGATCCGGCATTACCAAAACCCTACTGCCATCATTGGAGCTACACCTTGCTATTGCCGCGCGCAAAGTAGGCAGCGCGGCCGTAGCCTAACGGTTATCGCGCTTGCCTCCCACGCGAAGGGCCAGGGTTCGATTCCTGGCCGCGACTATGCATTTTTGTTAACACTGTAATGTGATGTTCTGGTGAAATCGAGAACCGTCTAGCTGATTCGAGGTCAGAATGTTCTACGCGTCAAACCTTCTACGTCGAATGCTCCAGAAGCCAACGTGTGTACAAAAGCGGCTCCGCGGGCAAGCCGGAGCCAGTCTCGCCCCAGCGTTCGACTCTGCTGCCAAGCCGACTTCGACGCCCGCGACGCTCTATTATTATCTTTTGTACTCTTTTATTTTTGCCACAAGTTCGCCACATTAAACGTTTATTTCTTCCTGTTTATTGTTTTTTAGTCACCACCCGTGACATTTTGAAAAGAGTACAAAAGATAATAATAGAGCGTCGCGGGCGTCGAAGTCGGCGTGGCAGCAGAGTCGAACGCTAGGGCGAGACTAGCTCCGGCTTGCCCGCGGAGCCGCTTTTGTACACACGTTGGCTTCTGGAGCATTCGACGTAGAAGGATCGACGCGTAGAACATTCCGACCTCAAATCAGCTAGACGGTTCTCGATTTCACCAGAACATCACATTACAGTGTTAACAAAAATGCATAGTCGCGGCCAGGAATCGAACCCTGGCCCTTCGCGTGGGAGGCAAGCGCGATAACAGTTAGGCTACGGCCGCGCTGCCTACTTGGCGCGCAGCACTATAACATTATAAACACAAGGCCTTCCGTTCCAGCTAAGAAATACTAGAACATTCGGAGAGTCGTGCAACTCAAGTTTGAACCCAATGCAGCGGCGGGCTTTTTAGAGAGTATGGTGCGGCTGCATGTGACAAACTGGGTTACCGATTTCTGCACATTTCAGGCTGCCAGAGTGACAACATTCGTCACCCTAATGTGCGATACTTGGCACTCTGACAAATATTGTCACTATAGCCCAACAACCAGACAAAAGACACTTGAATGCCAGGGTAACTTACACTCGAATATTCATCCTGAAAACAAGGATGTGCAATGGAACTGTCACTTCAAAGTAGATCCAACATGGATGCATGATTTAGGCTAGTTGGCACAATTACGAAGCACAAAAAAACCTAGCTTGGAGGAATACTAGGGCAGGTAGAAAAAAACCAGCACTGACTTTCAAATAAATGTTTTCTGTCATTTTAATTTTATTTATATGTTCTTCGGAACAAACACTACTCGGTTAAAAATCAGTGTTGTTTCTGTCCATTTCTTCAGCCTGTCCCTATGTTTCTTCATGCCGTTTCCTTAGTTGCTTTTTTTTGTCTATTAAGCAGAGATTTTCATATGAAAGAACCTACTCTAGGGAAACACTTACAGTGGAATAGTTCTCCTACACATAAGAGAGAAAATGTGGAGTCGCTTTGCTTTGTGCTCAACAATATACGGCTACACAGAGTGATTTTGGCTGAATGAACCTAAATTGGAGGAAACTTACACTTGAGTATTCGGACTGTAAACAAAATGATATAATAGAGAATTAGCCATGTGCATCTAAGCACAACTAATTTGAAAGGGTCTACCAGCTGCATCTATCTCCTCTAGAAAAAAAATTTTTCTTTTCACACAAAATCTTAACATTTGCACTCAACCCTTAGACCTGAAGAAAATGTGTATTCCGGAAATCTAATAATAATTTTTATTAATTTCCAATTGGGCTAGACAACCAAACTTTAAGCAAGTTATGCCGTTTTTGCACGCCCACTTCCAGTTTCCACTCTGAGATATGTCGAAATAAAAACAAACATTCAATTCAGGTTCCTGCACCCGAGGCGACTTACGCTGGAGTCGTCATACTGGAAATAAGTTGCGAGAAAGTTGGCTCGCTCCACGACACTTCCAGGCAAGCAAGGAAAACCGGCAAAAAGAAAATTCTTCCGACAACTCACGCTCCAATCGTCATACTGAAAATAAATTGGACGATGCAGGTTATACTAAGCCGAGATACAGCAATAGTAGAGTTAGACGTCACAACAGATAGTAGCACAGGGTGTGAACTGAGCCCTGTGCCTGCGACAACTTACGCTCCATCTGTCATACTGAAAGAGATGGATGCAGTGAAGCCAGAGTCACTTATTGTTTACCCACACCTATCTTTTGCTAAAATTGCCGGAGAGAGGTTGTACCGCAACGGGTGCAAGGATAGCAACTTACGCTCCAGTATCCATACTGAAATTAAGGATACGAGGGAATGACCGTAAGAAAAGGGGGCGACCCCCCTTTTCACTCCTCGGCACGACAGTCAGAGCCGTGGAGGGCAGCACCCACCTTGGGTTCTCCTCCTTCGGGGTCCTTCTTGCGCTTCTTGCGCTTGCGCTTCTCTAGCTTGGGGAACGGGGGGTGCAGGCCCAGGGGGCCTCCCTGGGGGCCTCCCTGGGGGCCTCCTTGGAGGACTCCCTGGGGGCCTCCTTGGGGGGGCAGGGGGGGACCCTTGCGCATGGGGCCCTGGGCCCCCGGACCAGCCGGCCCCTTGGACGCCGCCGTACCTGAAGATGACACCAAAAAGTGACGCATTTCGATTATGCAAGGGACACCTTTACTCGCTTCTGCACGTTTGTTTCTCCATTCGGACGTTAGTAAGAAAAACTGACCGTATCTTTGGCATTTTCCAAAGCTGTTCTAAGTGTGCAGCATTTATAGGGCCCCTTTATGCTCCTTTCATGGGCACAGTAAGGAGGCCGCTAGAGGACACGTTGAGAGGGTTCCGTGAAAATATAAAGCCGTGGCATTGTTGAGGCCCTGTGCCACGGACGCAAAATTTCTGAGGCTGGCCCAATAAATGCTGTCACTTAAAATACTCTCAATCAATAGGTAGACAGAGTTGCTCATTTTTACTAGTCACAAGAGGATCCATGTGTGATAAATGCCAAATGATTATGCCAAAGAATGTTACATGTGCATTAGAGCAGTTTTAAGAGTTCCCCTTTTAGTTTACGAAGTCTAGAAATTCACAAATTATCTTCTACGCTTCTTGCTCCTACATGAGGCTTGCGATCAGTTATGCCCTTTCCGTCTTTTGCATTGAGAAAAGAAAGAAAGATTTGTTGCCCTTTCTCTCCTCGGCACAAAGAAGGGAAAGGGTATAAACAAGTTGTGCGTTTCATATAAAAACAGAACGTGTGTGAGAGTAATTGGTGGATTTTTAGATTCTGCGAGCTAGGCTGATCAGATTAGAGCTCTAAAAGACAAAGTAAAAAATCACGCACCCTCGAGTTGAATATGACTGAAAATCCTAGCCTTAAAGACAAAGTGAAAAATCATGCACCCTCATGCCAAGGATAACTGGAAACACTAGTTATCTAGGTGTTGATTGGATCCCATTTTTAGGCAATTAGACAATGCATCTAAGATGAAAATTATGCATGTGACTGGGTGTTTTCTAAAAACCTAAAGGACTAATAAAAAAATATGAAACACCAATATTTTCTTTGATGACAAAGAGAGCGGCGACTGCTTGCCTTTGGCCGGTTGATCATCGCTGTCCTCCTGACCAGAGTCGATGATCTCTCCCTCCTCCAGGTCGGCCTGAGACACCGGGTCATCTGGATCGGTGCCACCGCTGTAACCAAAAGTTTTCAGTTTCAGAAGCCATCGCCAAGCCGTAGCCATGTCTTAGATTTTCTGCCCATAGTTAGGAGGCTCGACATCTGTTTACCGTCACTCAACGAACGAAAATCAACCCTTTTGCGTACCACTGTGCAAGCGGAAATGAATATGTCAGGACAGTTGACAAGCCACAGGCGGAAAGAGCACACAGCAGTACCCAGGTGCACCAAATGGTCTTAACACGATTTGCACGTGCATTAAATGAGAGTTTGACTAGACAAGCGATAAGAAAACGGTCAGCCAGGCTGTTCTGGTCGTTTCAGCACAATTCCAGTTGCAACGCTGACCATAATAAACTCATGTGCGAACAAGAACTGTTTGCACCTAGGTGAAATGTCACTTCATGTGCATAACAGATTGCTGTGCAAGGATGCAGTGTTCCCCAAGAATTCTGCACATTCCTGTCATCTCACTTAACATTTGCAGCCTTTTACTTTTAAGAAATGAGTACTATTAGTTTTGCTAATCCAGTGATAGCCCCCTCTAAACACCTAAACACTATGCATATTCTTTTGTGACCCACAGTCACTATATCAATCTCATAGAAAACAAGCAGATAAGACATTCACTGCATTTAAATGTCTGCCACAGGCCCTACAAAGTGCTTCTGTCAACGTTGTTAAGGTGCTGACAATGCCCCTAGAAAATGCAAATAGTAAAGGTTTGTGGAGGCGGCGACGACCTACTTTTTGAGCACCACTTCCTGAAGAGTTTTGTAAACTGAATGTATGTGTGATGGAACGCTTGTCTAGTTTCCTTCAAACATGTATTTCCTTGTGGACAATCAACAGGCTTGTTCAAATATGCACAACTCCTCATGCAAAACTAGTTCTTTTTGTTTGTTTTTTGTCTCTTGGTTAGGCATTTTTAGTCTCTCCTACCCACTGGTCCAACTTCCGCCCTTTCATTTACTTAATCTCCTTTTATGAAGGCCTGGGAAGTACAGTGGGATGTTTGCCTACATGGCAGGCTGGAAAGGACATTTTTGTATCATCTACGACGACTAAGAACGAACCTTGCGACAACTGTTGTCATTCCAACAGAAAATGAGGTGTCAATTATTTTTTTTTTCACTTGTTCAGTAAGGGTCTTTTAATCCTACAGTTGATTGGAACACTTGGTTTTTTCACTGCAATTTTTAAAACCACTTATGTCTGTGAATGTGGACAATTTTCGATGTCCACATTCTGAGAGTCGTCTGCTAGAGGGCTGCTAGCAGGGTGTTGCCTGCTCAGAGTTTGCCTGCTGCTAACAGGCTGAAGACACTAAAAGCATTTTAGAAGTTTTAACATTACGACTGCAAAATGTAGCGGCAGAATCAAACTAAAACAGAAAATTTTTTGTCTACAAATTAATTTAACAGAAAATGAAATGATCATAATGGTGGTGCATTGAACACATTAGCAAGCTAATAGTGGGGTTGCACATATGGCACTCTGGTTACCCCAGTTCTTAGCACCCAGCTCAACTAGAATAACACACCCCCTTCCTCTCTCTCAGAAACTCAGCAACAGTTTGGTTTCGGTGGTTGGTGCCAATTTTCATATGGAAATTTTCATATGTCTATGAATTTCGGAAAGAACTGTACTGTGCACTAAGCCCCTTAAAAGATGAAAATAAAAAGGAAAATTTTTTATAAAAGAAATTGGTTTCTCTTTAGTCAAGAAAGATGCAATATGCAACCATTTTTATCTCACTTCTTATTAAATACTTTTTTTTCAAGAGCTTAAGAACTTGCAGTATAGGGCTGATTACTCAACCTTTTTAATAAAAAAATAATAAATAAAGGCGTACACATTTCTAAGTGCAAAAAAATATTTAAACATTAAACGCTGCTACAAAGAAGACTGCTTCTCTTTTGCGCTCTTTCAGGGAAAAAAAATGAAGTCTCATCTGCAAAAGGTCAGGTATTTTGACTCCATAAGATTACAATCTTGAAGGGCAGTCAGCACGATATTACAATGCACTGTAAGTGATGCTCTCATCAGGCTCCTACATTGCTATGCAATGCAATAACAGTGAAACTGTACTAAAACTGCACTGGAGCTGCAATGCCACTTTGTTGTAGAATGCTTACAAACTTTACATCCCACTCCCAACAGAAGTGGTTGCAGCCTTGACTGCATATGTCCAAACAACTGCATTTCACCAAGCTTTGTGTATTTCTGCGATCACCATATCATCTGCTTGCGTCTATATCTGTGCCTCTCAACTAAAACTGACAACCCGAGAAAACCAGAAGCGTAAAGCTGTACGGCAGCCTCCCATAATTTTCTAATTTATTGAGCAATTCTGGAATGACTCTGTGCACTCCAGAAATCGCAGCAAAAACATCTGCTTTTATTTATTTTTTTTGGTGGGGGGGGGGGGGGGTTGTGTAGGATATAAAAAAAGACTAAGAAAATTTCATCTATTCCTTAAACACAAAAACTGTTCCTTGCCGTCTAGAGGGTGTGTGCTACCCTTTTTTTTTCTGTGTCTCAAAACAAATGTTTCTTCAGATAATACTACATAACAAAAGCCAACCCCCCTCCCCCCCCCCCCCCCCCTAAAAAAAAAGCTAAGATCAAAGCTTTTGCTGAGAATACAAAAGAGAAGAGAGGGAGAAAGAGATACTATGACGTCACAGTCACAGTCAGTGCAGGTAAAACTAGTAGAATTAATTCACCGAGTTTGCTATCGCTAGTATCGGTTAACACTGGAGTCAGTAGCATCTGTGATACCTCTTCCTCGCGTTGCAGCCGCAAAATTAAACTCTGAAAACAGCTTCAGCGTACATTTTACAAAAACAAGTTGCCCATTTCTCACATAGCTCTTTTTTACACCACAAAAACCGCTAGATTTCCTGGCACTGTCAGAACCAATTGTGTCTCAACATGATCTTGCAGTTGCATCGCTGCAAGACCGCTGATGAAACTGAAGGTCAGAAAGAATGCCTGGTCTATGACACACATCTGTACCTCCCATGTGCGAGGTATTAAAGCCCAGAGATTTTGAATATGTCCCTGTCACATGGCTACTCATGAAAGAGCAGAACTTGCAAAGACAGACTTTGTGATGTGCAATAAGCTACTGTCAAAGTGCACTGCCATTCTCATCCTGATAGTGAAATATAATAATTTTGCATAAACCTAAAAGAAGGAAAAATAACTTAATTGCATTTGCAAAAAGTAAAGACTTTAAAAAGGGGTTGTAGAAAAAAGACGAAGATATGTCAAAACAACGGGACAATGCCTTCCGCTCGTAAAGAATGCCACGAATAAACTAAATGCATTGTTTGGGAAACACAAAGGAGAGTTGCCAAGGTTCCCTTGCAGCACTCAACCCTCTTGCTCTCTCTCCCTCTTTCTCAAACGACGAATCTTGCAAAAATGCTATACACTATTTCCGCATAAAGCAGACCAACAGCTGGCTCCCGAGCCCTTGGCCTTTTGTGAGGCACAAGATGATAGCATTTCATTTCGAACGGATCGCCACGTTGCGTTATAGCAGCATTTGCTGGAAATTGCGCCTGCAGTTGGACGCATTTCCGAGGTTTCTTAGTGTCGGTCAGTTTTTCGAAAGATGCAGAAGGCATCTTACTGCCGTAGTCTGCCACTCAGCCCAAAAATTGATTTCTGCACTAAGTATTAGCACCTGTAGGGCAACACTTTTCTTTGACGTTGTGAGCTTAGCTCATGAAGGGTTTGGATTCAGTGAACCTACTTTCAGGAATGTATGGTTGATTATGCAACATTCAGAAAATTTCCAGCATGTAAAAAAGTTTTGAGAGAGCTAGTTGGTACACCGTATTAATATCTGGCTTTGAAGGCACTCATCTTTACAATGCAAGCCCATGTGAAAGAGCTGTTTAGTTTTTTAATTACACTGAACTAATCAATCTCCAAGGTCAAACATTAATAAGCAAACCTTCAAAACTTTCTTTGTAAAAGATTGCAACTGTTGCAATATGAGAATATCTTGACTATTCCTATAGTTTACTTTGGACAGAGGGCACGAAATAGCCATAGTAAATTTCGAGAATGCTTTCTTAGCTATCCTCTATTGAGAAGAGTGCAAACTGAGCAGAGTAAATCTGAAGAATAATTTTCAAGCCAAGCTGCATTAAGAGCATCGTCACCAGAGAACTGGGTTTTGCAACGGACATTGAGAGATTAGATATTTTAAAATAAGACTTACATTTTTTTAGTTTGATTTTTACATTCTTCAGTTTACTTTTGACTGTGCAGGTTTCCTGCACATTTTTCTGTATGGGCATTGGGAGCTCACCATTATTTTTTTAGAGGGTAGCATTTTTTAACGTGCTAAATGGCCACTGCAGCACACACATGGTGCTTTTTTTTTTTAATGCAGATATTTAGTGTGGTATTAATGTAACTAAATTTCTATTTACACGACACCTGCCTAGAGCTTTGTAAATAAGATATTTCACTGGCTGCCATAGCTGTGTGCATTTTGCCTGTATCAGCCCGTCAAACTGGTTGTCCTTTACAAAACAGCAAGTTCATAAGTTCACAGATCGATGTACTAACAAAATATGGATACATCCTAGTAGATGTATCTTCTGATATTAGTTTTGTATTATTTCAAATGTTTAAGTTATTTGAGGTAGTAATGCTTACACAAAGGTATCTAAAAACTCTTGCAGATACTTATGCATTAAAATTTGTGGGCACAAGGAGTGCTTTTCTGTTTTCAGATTTGCCCGAAATTTCCAGGAAGGAAATATGGGAGATGACCGATAACTGATCAGGAACGAATCAGCGACGACTTGCGCATCACTAAGAGTTTGATAGTATTAGAAGAAATATTATACAGGAGACATTCTGACTATACCATTCAGGTGGGTGAACTTGTGAAATTTTCACACCCTCCATGGTGAAACAAGTCATACCCAATCAGCATCAATGGGTACTGCCAAATGCCTACTCCTATACAGTCATAAGCGAGGTCCTTTGCTTTCGGGTGTTCATACTTCGTAGAAACGAGAGGCTAAAAATCGGGCCGTTTGTCGCCAATCGACAAATCTGGGGTGCCTCAAAATTTGCATTCATAGATTAAAAAAGAAAAAATTACCCAACTGTCACTTCAAAAGTCAGTTTTCCGAATTTCAACCATCAAAAATTGAAACCCCGCACCCGAGACGATAATAGTTAGTTGTTTTAGCTGAAACTAAAGAAGCCAAACTTGCGAATCTGACAACGGCGCCACTCAAAACATTTCCTCGTTCGGACAAGCGTCAGACGGGCTACTCCTTTGCAACTTTGGCACATTCCGAAGCGCGAAGTGTTTCAATTAGGGGCAACCCCTGTTAATGCCATTTACACAATAATTAAACGAGGGTATGTACTTCACACCTCTTTTTAACGTCTAGGAAGCTAACGCCGCCAATCAGTTAACGGCTCGACGTTGGTTTTGACTGAACTGGTTTGAAAGAGCAGACGACTTAAGGCACCCGTCTGACCCGAAAACAAAGGAGCCCCAATTAATAGCCCGCGTAACTCTCCTGGTCAACACAAAACTACGATCACAGAGAACAGTGCCAATAAATTGCACAATGCACAGTCTAGATGAGCAAACACTCGCAACGCCCCAAAAGGTCGGCAGATGGCTAAGCGAGACATACTCGCATCCCCAAAGTCTCGAAGTCGGGCAGCGGAATTGGCTCCTAAAAAATCGGAAGCCGCTAACTGTCCTCTCAAAGCTTTTCTTTTTTTTCTCTCGTTTTCCGGAAAGGGTTGAGAGGGGAGGGGGGGACAGCGTGAGAGATTTGCGATGGAAAATATATTTAAGGGTAATGTTTGATGTGCGGAACAAAACCAAGAGTTCTCGTTTTGTTTCTTTTCATGCTTTGTTTTGCAGCAGGTTCACTCTGAATCATCGGAGTGTGCACCTGGGTACGTCGGCATGGACCTTCTGTGTCCGAGAAGAACCTCTGTTAAGAAGTCATTGAAAGTGTACAGCTGGGATATGCTTTTAGAATTTTGTGAAGAATCAAGTTTGTGCACGAGAGCTCCAAATAATGGTGGCGTCGCATTAATGTGCCATGCATCCTTAATCAAACAAACATTGCCTGTGCTTTTCAAACTTTTTTTTTTTTTTTTGCCGAGGTGTTTTTGTGATTATTAATAAATAATTTAAAAATCAAAGTAGCAGGGACCTTTTTTTTTATTAACACTAGGTAGTTGTGAAACTTTACTTTTTTTTTTTCAAATTGAAAGCGACTTTTGTAAAAGTTGGTCACTCCTTCCAAAAATTGCTCAGGCTAATTTAAAAAAAAAGAAAGAAAGAAAAGAAAAAAAAACTGCATAGGAGAGGGACAAATTTTTTAGTCACCCCCACGCCCGAAAATTTTTTCAGAACTCGAATTACGTTGCCATGAATGTCGCATGGTCACGCGCGTGAAAAAAAAAAACATATCTAAAAAAAGAATTCAAAATAAAGCGCGTTCGATCTTTTTTTGAGACATTTGCTTATTTGCTCCTTGCGGGAGAGGCAAAAGAACCCTTTCACCTGACACCGTTATTTTTACGGCATCACGTGCTAGGTCACATGACGGAGCTATCGCTCTGTGACGAACTTTTTTGTTGTTGTTTTCTTCTTTAGAGCGAGTGGGTCATATTTTGATGGAGCGATACGGAAATAACCCCGAAATCTTTTCGATCTTCAGCTACAGCGGCATTATCTTCCGAGATAAGCTGAACTGCTGAATAAGCTGAACTGCTGAAAGGGTGCGGAGCGGATTTAAAGATTAAAGCCGTATTTGAAGTGATTGCTCTTCACGTGAAACTCGCATCGAGATCACACGGGAGTGATCACTGGAACTGAACATTTTAAACAATGATTTTGTCATAATTTGATAGCGAAGTTCGGGGGCCCAAACTTCGGGATACAAGGCGGCAACGCCTACACGTCAGTATGCTGATTAGGGACACACATTTAAAAATAAAAACGGTCACGCATATACACTGCAGAAGCAGAAATATAAGTAACGTAACCAATTATGATAAATCAGTGCAGTTAGGCACCGAATCGGCTCCAAATAGCTACGCACAACAAGCTAGCTGGCGAAAAACATTCGATTTTAAAAATGGCTGACAATTTCGACAGCGCTAAACAAACGAGTGCAAGAATTAAGGTGGCGTCGGTTAAAGAAGTAAATGCATCAGTAACAAAATAATAAAAAAATCGCGGCAACTAATCGGCGATTGCTGGTGATCGGTTTAGGCAACACACTCGGCACAAGTGAACGTTTGAAAAGCACAAAAGCCGATCGAGGCACAAGAAAGGTTCTCGCCATATGGACCGCATCGCACGGATCGCAGAAAAGAAAAGAAAGTGAAGCTGCCAACTTCAGATAAGAGTCGAATTCTCGAAAAAGGTGCCGAAGAGGCACAGCAGGTTCTTAATCCATGCACAAATCGGCAAGCGCAAAGAAGAGACGCGCTCGCCGGGGTCCGACCAAAAGCGTCGGTTAGGGTTAGGCCCAAACGCCGCCATGATGGCGACGTGGAAGGTGAAGAAAAGGTCCGTCCCCCACCCCGGAGATGTTTACCTTGGTTGAGTTCCGTTCACTCGGGGATACGAATTCGAGAGCCACACAGTTTAGCCATCTGCCGTACTTTTGAGGGTGCAATGAATAGGGTTAAAAAGAAACTTCGCGCTTTCCAATCATGTAGGTACCCGACCTTTGGATTTCTCCATTCTGTGTGTATCTGTTCGCATGCCCAACCTTAGGGAGAGCTTTTGCGAACACACTTTCAAGGGCCATGTACGCGCGGCCGCCGGCTCTCGGATGTGCTGCGCCACGACTGCAGGAGAGATCGGTCTTGTTATCGGGTGGCGGTTTTCAGCGTGATGGCCAAATGTTAGCGCTAGTCGCGGACATAGTCCTTCGATTGTCGGCGGAAAACACTGCGTCTCGCCAGGGAAACACCACATTTGCCCGACAGCGTCGTCGTCGTCGTCATTGTCCACGGCGGATACGAACACGTCATGTCGCCGCGCTGGAACGCTCTGATTGGTCCGCGCACGCAAGCGGCTACGCGGAATCGCGGACCTCGGGGTGTTAACCTACGTCATCAAACTTTAACAAAAATAAAACTGCTCACGCGTTTCAACAGTTCGGTGTTTTTCTCAGTAAATCGACGAGCTGTAGTGGTAATTTTTTATAACAAAGTAGTTAATATCAGCCTGTAGGTAGCGCTAGCGACAGGATGCTTTTTCTTTTTGTTTTTTTCTTGTTAGTGTTTACTGTTTACGCTAACATTAAGTCTATAATAAAAGGATTAAAGGTTTATAAGAACAGCAAGCAGCTGTCCAGTTCTTCTGCCTCCGGCGTGAGCTTTTTACGTAGAGCGCACGCGAAAGCTGGCCAAAGCACGACGGGAGTAACGGGATTTCTGCAGTGCAAAAGAACAACGATTGTATATCAATAAATATATATATCACAAGTGTGTGAAAGAGTGTGGTGTCTTCTCATTATATATATATATACATATTTTTTTTTTCTGTGTTGCTTGTTCTAAGGTGGGAACGAGTGGTTTGAATAGTCCGTGGCTAAAAGCAGCTCGTTGGGCTAGCATCGCAAACCTGTGCTGTTGCTCTTGCACTTCCGTAGTGATCATGTGATGTCACCTTTGATTCTTTTGATCAAGGTGTGCTTCTGAGCAAGCTGACCACGTCCAGTTTGTTGAGGAAACCATATGGCTCTAATCGTGGCTTTTAAACAAGTAAAATTGATCACTATATGATGAACGCCTCCGCACTAACAATGCACCCTCTAACAGTGAGCACTGCTAGAATAAGTAACGGAGAACGTGCAGGCGAGCTGGTGAACTGGGTAAACTTTCAACATTTTGAGCACCTGAGACTAGGAATAAGAAGTGTATATGCTCAAGATTGTGGACACTGTTGTTCTTCCCTCCACGAATCTACGTGGATCCCGTGAACAACAGTCCGTAAACGTGAATATTGTGAAACAATGCCAGTGATACTATGACGCTTCCATTCGACATTTATATGGAGACGCTTTTTGCCAAATAAAATAATTAAAAACAATTATATTACAATGCAACGTTAATTACAAAAAAAAAAAATGCTTCTTTGAAACAAGCCTAAATAAACACTTGCTAGATGGCGCAAGCTGCCTTTTAGTTCAAAGGTCTTATCCGTACCACCACGGCTCTGGTATCCACTGATATCCACACTCCACACTATTTGTCCATCCATCCATACATTCGCACAAGTGTTTACAGCAAAGCAGACGCACCTTGATATTCTGAGGGGTGCTTTTGATTTCACTACATAAATAATGGAGACTGGCACAAACCAAACCGCACCCGAGAAAAAAGTGGTTTTAGCATCGTTATCCACTGGGAAATTCTTCGAAGTCCCCGACAAGGACATTGTAAGTGGTTCCATTCATGGCGTTTGCCTGATGGTGCTCAGCGAACGTTTGAGCGTCCAGTGCTCACCGCTCTGTGTCTGGTGTCTACGTGTTTTATGATTTGCTCAAAATGATCTCTTAAAACAGCCAGGGAGATGTCGTCTAGTGACGGAATTCGAGAAATTGAATCGAATTGGGGAAGGAACCTACGGCATTGTGTGTAAGTGCAGCGCGTTTTTGAGCCGCGGCTTTTCCAAAGTCCACTTTTCCGTCGCGCAGTGTGTTTTGGTTTGCTAATCGTGCTTGGTCCTACAGACAGGGCGCACGATCTCAAGTCTGGCGAAATTGTGGCCATGAAGAAAGTGCGGATGGAGCAAGAGAAAGATGGTACGGCCGTCTCGTAAAAGCGCGATGTGGCCGCGTGGTTTAACGATCGCTTCTCATTGCTCTTCGTAGGCATACCCGTGAGCGGTCTACGTGAAATCAACCTGTTGCTTAACATCCAGCACGTGAACATCGTCAACCTCAAAGAAGTTGCGGTTGGGAAAAGTCTCGACAGGTGCGCTGCTGCCGAATTGCGTGCCTTTTAATGTGGGCTACATGTGCACCGTTTACCAAAGGCGCTTTTGAGAAGCACCTTTTCAAACTTTTTTTAGGCGCTCTTCAAAAGTGCGCATCATTTATAGACGGTGACGGGTTAAAGACCCGAGCAGATGCTTCACCTCGAATGTGAGCTTTCTGCTTTTAAAGCGTGAGGGGCGCCTACCAAGTTCTTAACCTGTCACAGACTGTAGTAGCTGCTGCACCACTTACCCAAGGTCTTATATTTTGGGCACAAACCATGAGCACATAGCGAACACGAGCGCTGCTTCGGCGTTCAGCTTGAACTCGGGTCTAGTTGGATACTTCAAGCTAAAAGTGATTCCCAAAAAATGGCGATCGTCAATGTTGCTCGATGGGTTTTTGTAAAACTTATTACGAAACAAGGTGTTGTTTTGTGCATATTTTCTTTTTAGCATTTTTCTTGTGATGGAGTACTGTGAGCAAGACTTGGCGAGCCTTCTGGACAACATGCAGAGTCCGTTCTCAGAATCGCAGGTGGGTTGATCTGGCGTTGGTGGCTGGGCACCTCTATAGCACGAAATTTATCTTTTGGAGCGCTTGGAAGTTACAATAACCGGTATTGGTGTTGCACGAGCTTTGGAATGTGCATGTGTACTCTGGAAAATATGAAAGGTAGCAAAGTCACACTGGCAACAGGACACCTAAGAGCCCCTTACCATCACCTTTGTTTCGTCGCTGACGAGACAGACTTTCAGAGGCACAAAGTCTTCTGGAAGCTGGTCAGATTCCAACTTGTGTTTGATTCTCACCCTAGGTGAAGTGCATCATGATGCAGCTCTTCAAGGGACTGCAGTACCTCCACAAAAACTTCATCGTACACAGGTAATACGCTGGGCCTGAAGCCTATCTCTTCCAACAACGAGATCAAGACTTGCAGTGCAACCATAGAAGCTGTCATGCTTTGCAGGCAGTAATGCCCGTGGCATACCATTGTGCAAAAATTCAGAAAGTGTGCATAATGCCTGCAGGCTTGTTTGTCCGTACTGCAATTTGGGTATTAAAACCTTGTTTTTCTATGTTTCTTCTCCCAACATCTTGCAGGGACCTCAAGGTGTCGAATTTGCTGCTCACCGATAAAGGCTGCCTCAAGATAGGTTTGTTTCTGCCAGACTGATGTCATAAGCATTCTACATACTTTTGATAAGTTATATTGGCAATGAAACAAATTGGAATGTTGCCTCTTTTGTTTGATGGCATATATGGCAAGTAGTGGGGAACTCTGCCGTGCTCAATCACGTGGTTGAATCTAAACTGTGGAGCCACTACTTAGAACCACCGTTGCACTACAGGTCACTTCAAGGCTGTGGTGCAAACAAATGCTCGTCGTCGTTTCAACACGGCGAGTGAATCCTGTTAAAAAATCTTCTTCTGCGAAGTGCAAATGTCACAGAGGACAAGCACTTGTTCTGTTTCTTCCGTAAAGTCTAGTCCTTTGCACTATGTGTGTGCTGTATTGTTTGCCCAACTAGACCGTCAGACGGACCATTTTGGTAGTTTTTCTCGGTAGACAAGGATTCGGTTAATTACCCTTTCGTTTCGTCACTGTCAGGATGATACTTGTTAACGTAAATTGGGATATGGGATGTGTACGACAATGTTCCGCTTTATGCGATTCCTCTATTTCATCCCGACGGAGAGAGGGCACGATGATGGCTCACGAAGGGAAACCTTGATTGCCGGAAAAGGTGCCTCGCTGTCTGTGCACATCGGAGAGTGCTTCAAGAGAAAGGACAAATCTTAGGTTCGACATTGCCAGATACTCTTCAGTCTCTTAAATGTACAAGTTTCATGCAGGGTTTCGTTGAGTTTTCTGGATTTGGAGTTTTCGGGTTTAGACAATACGGACAAATACTTGTTGCTGGCCGAAGCTAGCCTCAGAGTTGAGACGGGACATAACACGTTACTGCGAGACGTGCAGTGAGTGGTACGTCAGCAGACAGGGCATTATTGTCTTCCAGCCGACGACATTGTCCAAAGCGTCGTATGTTATTGGACATTGGGCCACTGTCCCCTTCTCACAATGTGCTCACTTGGCCTGCCTCATTTGTAGCAGGGTTGGCTGTTGCTGTTCGGCCGAAGTGTCTAAATGTGTTTCTTTTTCCTTTCTGGCGTCTTAGCCGACTTTGGGCTTGCTAGGAAGTACGGATTGCCAGTGAAGCCAATGACTCCTCGTGTCGTCACCCTCTGGTACGTCGTTTACATGGCATAGTAATGGTTTTCCTTTCCTCTATTGACACTTAAAAGCTGGGTGTGTGCCAATTGGATTTTGCGAGACAAAGGATGCAGGATCTCTCCCGTCTTCTAGGTACCGTGCTCCAGAGTTGCTGCTTCAGGCCAAGACGCAGACGACGGCCATCGACATTTGGTGAGATCCTCGCGTTTCTATTTCTTTTTTATGACTAGATCCAGTTTTTTTTGCTGTATTATTACACTATTATTGTTCGATGCAAAGGGTTACTCTGCTGTAATTCAGTCCACTTTAAAGCAATGGAGGCAGCTCTGTCTACGAGCAAAATATTCATGGTTGTCTTTGTGCTGCGGGTGTTCTGCACAGTTTATTTAGACTACCCTCGAGCAGTAAAGGGTAGTAAAAATATTGACGGATTGCTCGCAACGTGGATCAAGTTTGTTCTGGCTTGCAAGAGAACAGCTTTCAGGACCGACTAGTTTGAAAGAAAAAAAGCTCGAAATAGATGTAAGAGCTAGTACCGTCTGTTATTATCAGTCTTGTGGGCTTGTGTTCCGAGCAAATGCAAGTACAGAGACATTTAATGATTTGCTGCAGAGTTGCGCAGACTATGACGAGAAAAACAAGCATGGTAGTCAAACTGAAACCAGAGGACCAGCGTGGGGGAAGGTTACGTTGGACTCTTCAGAAGTCCCTTGGGCTGGAAGAGTAAGCAAGTTTTAAAATATAATTAGTATGGCAGAACCAACGAACGGTCGCAGGTTAAAAGCTTAGTAAATGCTTCGCCGCTTTGCATAAGCTTCTTGCCCTTGAAACACTTTGACGCATGTGCAACCAAATCCCAATGGAAGGCAGCTGGCACATGCTGGTGCAGGAGCATCTGTCGCGTTTTTAACATGTCACCAACTATAGTTGGTGTTGTTCAGAGTGAAGTCACCGGATCCTGGGAAAGTAGCGCCATGGCCGTCCCTTCCTGCTAGCCGGACACGAACAGATGCTAACATGCAGATGGCCAAACCTCGTGAGGTGATTGGCTGATCGGTTTCAGTCAATTTCGATCCATTCAAACCTTCGAAGCTTCGAAAGAGTCGCTCTAAACCAGTCGCGCCAAGGTCGCAATGGAGCGTCACCGTGCCGAAAGCGTTTCTTGCCAATATAAGCGTCTTGGGGACCGTGCATGCAATCAACTTATCAATCATGCTTATCTGCACAGATCTCGTACAATGGTATTGTCATTCTTGTGTATCTCGAGGCAAGAAAATGATTTTTGATGCCGCCAAGCACCTACGCTGCATGTGGTGGCGGTGCGAAGATGTGTGCCTGCTTTGCCAGCGTGTTGGTAAAATTTCGGTATTCAAAAAATGTTTTTATAAAGCAACCTGTTGCCGGGGGCTTAGATTGCTTCACCAAGAATGGAAAGGCCAAGGAGAAATTGCTCATTCCATGAACCGAAATGCCGACCATAGGAGGAGCTTTACGCTTATTTCTTAGTATCTGGTGACTTTAGTTCAAAGTGTGCCACTGGCTGGGCGGCGGCCGGGGGCGGACTGCTCCAAATGCAGAGCTCATGGGGGTGTCGCGTAAGAGGGGTGGGGTAGAGGAGGGGTGTCATCGCGGCGGGCCACCGCTAACCCTAGTGACACCACTGCTTGTCGGTTTAGCCGGTTTAGGAAAAGAGTGCGCACTTCATACCCGACTGCGAAACTATCAAAGCGTGTGCCACCTGCAATTCTGGCGGGCGTCGCAAAGCGTTATGTTTGTATGGTCTGCTCCTTATAGGGCTGCGGGGTGTGTGCTGGGTGAACTTCTGCTCCACAAGCCACTGTTGCCAGGCCGAAGCGAGATACATCAGCTTGAGCTGATCATTGATCTGCTCGGCACACCCAACGACATGATCTGGCCTGTGAGCACTTTCAGGCTTTTTTCCTGTTTGCTCCCAAAATGGCTCGTCGTTCTAGAGTTTTTGGGGTGTATAGTTTCTCACAAAATTGCAGGCAGAAACTGATCTGCAACTGGAATGTATGCCGCGAATCCGGGAGAAAGAGAAGTCATAACATGATATTTGCTGCCCTCGGTGCACACGACTACAGACAAGAAATGGTCAAAGAGGCATTTGAAGATATATACCGATATAATGAAACTGTTGGTAGTGTAGATTTATTTTTCACTAAGTAACTGGTGTTAGGTACAAAAAAGAACTGCATTTTTTAGACATGAAAGTAAACTATGCATTGCCAAACTCTTGGTCTCCGTCCTGATTGCATTGCTAGCAGTTGGGACCAGATGCCAAAGTTTCAGAACTTACCATTGACTCAATTAAAAATTATGATTGATTTTCAAAAAAATTAATGAGAAAGTGGACCACATTTTTGGTTGTGGATGCCAAACACCCACTATACCGGTACCTTATTAAAGCAAAGAGGCAGTGTGGCACTGCTCCATTCACTCTTAACCTGACAGTGCGGCGGGACCAATGAACCGCCTCCCTTTCATCACTTGACCTTGCTCTCTGCACATGGGTATGAGCAATAGCACGATCACGTGGCAAATGATAGACAGATGATTGGTTCACAGGAGCATGTAGCTTGCATTGCACTGCTGGCTTAGGGGTGAACGGAGTATAATGAATAGTGGAACCGGGTTGGTCTCTTCTTGATGAACTACTCGGTTATAGCCAGCAGTGATGGAAGTGCTGCGCCATTTGCACCAAATTGCGCCCTGAACGAAAGTGTGCTACATCTCGTGCCAATGCCTCATTTTCGCTCATAATTGCGCCAAAACTGTGCCAAGATGGACCTAAAGCAAAATATAAAAATAATTTAATATTAATCGGCCCTAATATTTAGAGAAAGTAGAAGGAAAAAAAAAAGGTACAAATATATTTCTTGGCGTCTCTACTCGCCATATAATTTGCTTCATCTCAGGTCTGAGCACAATCGAAAGCTCGAACGCATACAACCTCAAGCACGCATAATAAAAGCACGAGGCTCGGGGCATTCACTGCACCCGATTGGTTTAGCCGATGAAAAACCACGTACACGGAGATGAATGCCGTGATGTCGCGCTTTTGTGCTGTTTGATTGGTCCCATTGGTTTGTATAGTCGGCTGTAGCGTCGACTTCAGGTAAAACGAAGTATAGGGATTGTTCGTCAATCGCTTTGGCCGGTCGTTGCGCTGTCCGGTTGATCGTCGACATTGTCTAAATTACCAGACCATGTCCGCGAGGTCAGAAACCAAAAGTCTCGAGAAAGCTTTGCAAAATAGTAGGATGGTGACGTAATGTGATAAGACTGAACCAGGATCCTGTGCTCCTGGTAAAATCACTGAATTATCATGTCTGCCACATGCCTTTGTGCCGTGACTTCAGAGTACCGTGGCACTTGCGCCGCTCCGTCAACCTTCACTACATCTCGCCACACATGAGCGTGTATGCGTTGAGCTTCACCGCTTAGCACCGGAGTGCTAGGAGCGGCGGCTGACCTGTTGAAGAGTTAGCGCTATAGACACGGAATTCACTCTCATAATTGTTATAGATCGAACTTCTTTGACTTCATTGTAGATTAATCTCTAATAATAATTAAAAAAAAACAGCAAAACAAAAGATAATAATAAACAAACATGGGTCTCTATTTTGAATAAATATGGTTGTTCTTGTGCAGCTGTCGAATGAACGAGCAGCGAACATTGATTTACCTAACTCTAGTTCAACGCCTCTGAAGAGCAGTTTCACATTTAACGCAGAACTGTAGGCTTTCATAATCTTTGTCAGTGGTTGTTTTTGTAGTTTATGATATTAGAGTTTTGAGTTTGGCACGTTCAAAACACTTGGGGACGTGTTTTTATTGGTTTAGCGGATATGCTGGTTTTTGCTGACATTTTGCAGAAATTATATTTACAGGCCAATTAAACTACCGAGATTAGAACGGTGAGGGAAGGAAGCTTTATCGCAACTGAAGGTTTGGGCTATGATTTATTTTACAACCATTTTTAGCACCCATTTTAAATGGACCCCATTCTGACCAGGGCCTTAGTTAAAAAAAGGAGGCTATCTGTTTCTTTTGCATCCTATTTATTTTTAGCACGAAATGTGATAAGTAATATGTAATATGCTCTAGTATGAAAGAAGGAACTGGCAATCATTATCACAGACAAACTCATTTAGATATGCAATCACTTTTTTTTTTCATTTCCATCTGCTCCAAAAGCATCAGTGGCTGCGCCATACCAATATTTTGAATGCTACAGAACCTGCTACAAAAGGCTCAAATACTGCTTCCATCACTGAGCCAGTATAGCCTTTCTTAGCGCCGTCCTATTCTTCAGTCATTGGTGCCAATTTTCTCAGAAGCTGAAGTTTCACGTCGCTCATCTTCCGATTCCAGGGCTATTCCAAGTTGCCCGCACTGGAGAACTTCACCCTGAAACAGCAGCCGTAAGCGTTTTTCTTGTTTTTTGTATCCAGTGAATTCTGTCACCCATGTGTGGGGCATCTGCTTGCCTTTTTGTGCTCCTTTTGATGTGGAATATGTTTTTGGCGAGGCCAACTTGGTGAGAACATGGGACGCAAAAGCGAGACACAAAAGTGAAGCGTGCAAAAGCGTTACACTTTTGTGATGCTTTTGTACTGTGGCGTTACAGACTCGTGTTACACATGCACCCTCCTCGCCGCATCAGGGCTCCTTCATGGGTGGCACCTCGCTCCCATTGGTTGTCGCTATGATCATGTGATCATAGCGACAACCAATGGCTTTCCAGCTCAAACGGTATATTGTTACAAGCAGGGGTGGAACGGCTGCGCCATTTGCGCCATTTTGCGCCAGACGCATATGTCTGCGCCATCCTGCGCCATGTTGCAGAAACTGCGCCACAGCCAATACCTCGCGCCATTATGCGCCAGATCGCAAAACGTGCGCCAAGAAACTTTTTTATTTTGTCTTGGTTTCGGTTTTATTGACTCGATTGGCAACAATGACCGCGTTCAGCCTGGTCGGCCTTTGCAATCCTTTGTTCTGTTTATTCTCCCTGTGTATGCCGAGTCGGAAGCGCGCGAAAAAACTCGGATTTTAAGCGCCACACCACCTGCGACTGGATTGTTATTCTTCAACCATAAGCGGTTAAGCAAGTCGGCTGAGGTGAGGTCGAGTCGTTAAGCGTCAGATTGCCTGAGGCTCTGCGGCCCGGGATCCGGACGTCAGCCAGTTGAAAACAAATGAGCAAGATATTCCTTTCAGTACTTCATCGTTAGAAGTTGGAACCGCATTCTCGCAAGATAAATCGTGATTTGATTGAACTGAAACGCGGTCCGATCCGAAACCTTGCCGGCCAGCAGCTCGTTTGCGAGTGATAGATCTGCTCGGCGTACTTTAACCTTGCTCCTGCTTATCGCTTCAAATACGATAACTTCGTTAATCGTAGTCTGCTGCTTCGTAATCGAGTTGCACAATAGGATAAACGCGAAATTTGTTGCCCTGTTCCTCCGTGCAACTGCACGTCCATTGCTTGCGCACGTCACGGGGTTCGCACATATAATTACTATGTCAAGCACGTGTGGGTTGTGCGATAAGCAGTGCTGGTTTGCATTTTGAGCAGCTGAAAGCCACTCGGAAAATATCAAGGACGCTATCTTGAGAAACAGGGTACTGGCTTTTTGATTCTCATTAAGGCTCACAAAGTTTCAAGTTTTCGCATCTGTTACACTGTTATCCCATCTACCTAGGTCCCTAACCATTCATGTTCATCTGTTCTGCTAAGTACGATTGAAATTGCTCCCGTGCTTGTCTAGGACGCAAGCTGAAGTGCAATGAAAACTGATCTGAGCTGCTCCTAGCCTGCTCCAGAACGTAGTTTTAGCTGCTCCCAACCTGCTCCAAAACAGCTGTTTCAGCTGCTCCCGTGGCTGCTCCCAGGTACATTTCATGAGTTCCACCCCTGTACAAGCAATAAGGAGAGAAGGTGAAGGAGGAGAATGAATTGCGGTTGCATCCACTTCGGAGGTTGCAGTATGAGTCTCGGAGCATGAACGACTGCACCGAGATTTACTGACCCAGGAACATACTGTACATACAACGATTCTGTCATGTATGGCCAAAGTACTGTCAAAATGTGTTTGCGACTGTGTTTGATGCCCACTCGTTTTTGCATGACTGAACTTTCTCGCAACACAGCTATGTATTGCTGTGAAGCTTTCCTTGGCAGGTGCTGACTCATCAAACTGAGGGCTACCGTATTTGGCAGCTTTAGCTGCCAGAGTATTGTCATGCTTTTCTCTGTGCTGTCTCACCATGTTTGGTTAGATGGTACCGTGCCCGTTACCATGGAAAGTGGTTCATGTTTGAGCTGGCTCAGTTTCCTTGTCAACCGGCTGTGCTCGAACGTGATCCAGACAATTAGAGCCACTTGATAGGTTGCGCTTCAGAGTCATGACGCTTCAGCTATCTAGTGTAAATTGTTGCCAGTTATCTGAAGCTCTTTCTGAAACCACAGGAACCGGCTTTTCATCCTCAAGAAATGTTAAAACAACCCGCAACTGAGCAAAGCAATATTGCCCGAGCTTTCCAAAACTGTATCTAAAGCTCCGGAAGTCTCATTTTTATTGCCAATTGCGCCTGCCCTGCGTTAAAGGGTTGGTGCAACGATATTCGGTTGCAATGTTTTTCACTTTACATGCGCTTGCTGGCACCAGTGGGACCCAAGTATACTCGCACGCAATGCCACTGACAAAGAAACATTTTTGTTGCATCTTAATTTTAAGGATAAAAGCAAGCGTTTTCTTTCAGTCTTGTTTCGCAAAACTCAATGACGTAGCTCGGAGGTCGCAGTGTCGGCGTTGTCCCCCAGTGACGATATGTGAGAGCGGCTCAGAGAATGGATTCAAGCTGGTTGCATGAGTGATCCATTTGGGCTTGACAGCCATTCAAGCTAGCGGCACGTGTCCAATCGCTGCAACGACGGCAGTAGCCGAACCATGACAATGTCTGAAACTCGGCGCGTGTCCTGTGTCTTGCCAACCCCAGCACGTGGTTACAATCAAGATTGGTGGCATATGATTGGCTCCAGATCATATGGCCGCTTGCTCTGGCCGCAAGTTAAAAAGCTTAATGCTGCTTTTCTTCTTTCTTTTTTTTTTTCTCACAATTGTTTGTTGCATGGGGTGAAAAACAAAGGCTTGTTTCATAGGTCAGAAAGGTCGGGGATTCGTTCTGAGCAATATCTGTGCAAAGTGCAAAACTTGTTGCACCGCCCCTTTCCGCACTTAAATGGCGGCGTCCATAAAATGACCGGGGAATGGAATGCTAATAGTCTGAGCATAGCATATTTAGCGGTTCTAGCAACAGCAACTACACGACAACAACAGAATGGCTGAATTGTACTAACCCCAAGCGTACATAGCTTTCTAAGTGGCTCCAATCGTACCCTGCCGGACCTTCTCTGTTTTGCGCAGCTACAACAACCTGAAGCACTTCTTTCCCTGGCTGTCGCCGGCCGGCATCCGGCTTCTCAACTTCCTCTTCATGTACGACCCCAAGAAGAGGTACGTAGAACACGCCCACCATCATTTCTAGAGTCTGGCTGACAAGCATGGCGACATCTCGACGGCTCCCTTTTATCCCTCCAGGGCAACCGCCGAAGAGTCGTTGCAGAGCTCCTACTTCTCGGAGCCACCCCTCCGTAAGTCCCAAGGGCCGCAAATAATTAGGTGTTTTATTTCCGTTCCGGCGGAGCCTCGAAGCGCAACGGGGGAAACATGACGCGCGGAACGCCTTCTCTGAAACGACCCAATCGGTACGCCATCAGCGGTGATCACGGTGCCCTGGGTGCATCGCTGATCGGCGTGTTTACCACGTCCTCGAACGTGGCCCCTCGATTTCCACCCAACGCCGCCGTAAAAGTGTTGTGCCGGCCTGTCGGTCCACGGAAACTCCTGTGGCGACGAGTTGGGACGCCGCGACAACGTCGGGCGGCACTGGCCTGGTCTGTTTTGCCGGAACTTGCGCGACCAAACCGCGAGATTGGCGACGTTCGACGGCACGACGCGCCGGTTCTTGCGACGTCTTTCGTTGCCACTTCGAGACGTCTTGCGACGCACGGACGGTGTGGGAAGCCAAATGCTCCAGTCAGAGATGCTTTCCAGGCACCCTGGTGGTGATCAAAAACCGATGTCTCAGCACTTGCAGGTTGCTTGTGACACCACCGCTTGTGACGTCGTTGAGAGCAATCTTCCGGACGTTGAGAGTAATGCACAGTCGGGCTTGTAACTTCCTCTCTTGGCGTAAATCTTGAATAGAGCCTTTTCGAAATGATGCATAGATTATGTGCGGTCGCCATTAGTTGGCCACGCACTGTGAGACGCTTTGGGCACGAGCGCTTCGCCGGCGTTCGGGATGCACTCGGATCAAAATGCACGCACGAGTGCTATGTTGGTGCTCGGCGCAAACTCGGAACCAATCGCGTGCTTCACGTCGGAAGCTTTGAAACTAGCTAATGGTGGCTGTGCATAATCTATGCATCATTTCACAATTTTGGAAAGGGTCTATTGTTTTTCCTAAATTCGTGAAGCATCAAGTTTGTCGCGTCGTACGCTTGCAACCTCACCGACGTCACGACACTGGCATCGCATCTAAGAAATGCGTTCTCATCTACTGAGAATGCAAAAGGTATCATTTCCCCGGGAAAACAAAACTTAATAATACATTTTTTTTTTTTTGCATTTGCTGGTTTTTTAACTTAAATTTACAACGTATGCCGTTAACAACTTTATTTTTGCAATCTCAATACTTCGCGGATTCGACGATGCGTTATTTTCGGAAATGTTCCGTGGGCATGAAATTTTGTGAGTCAGTTTAGTATACTATGTATTGGATACAACAGGGAAGCATATTTGGAGATTCTATTTTTCTCAAAATGATTAGAGTCGTTAAATTCGCAAAAGATAGATCCTCGCAGAAATTAAATTGTTTACAGTATCTCATAGCTATTGTGGAGTAAATATATTAAGAAAATATTTTATAGGAGGGCTGTATGGCAGTCTTTTCAGTGGCGATGGATGACACTGCTGAAATCCACTTAAGCAGCCAAGTTGTTTTGGCAATAATTTTAAAATTTTATACATTATGAAATAGGGATTCCATTTACTAGTTGTATGAAGATAATATAGTCATGAATTATTAAGGTACAAACTTATCTTCAAACTTATGTTTGAAGAGTATAGGGCATCTGCTGAGAAAAATGAGCCCTGTTTTTCCCACCGCAAAAACAAACTAGTATACATTACCAAAGTTTCAGATTCAATATAAATGTAATAGTGTCAGCTGGGATAAGATACCAAGTTATCGGAATTCAAATGTTATCTGCTTCAAAATCTGCATGGTGGCTTTTTTGGGAGATTTTCAACAAGAAAATAAGATTTCGGTCGCAGGCATTTTTTTTATCTCCATCTGTGGTCACTGACCACTGACTTCGATCACTGACCACTGATCGCCATTTCTTTTATTAAAAACCTGTGTATATGACTTTTAACTTATGAATGGGTAAATGTTAAAACCTGAAACTGTGGTATCTTATCTTAACCGCTGGCGCTGGGTTCAGGCAAAGTCTGAGCATACGACGATGCTGGGCTAATTTTTGCAGTGAAAAAACACGGTTTAGTTTTCTTGGTAGATGCCTTGTAATTTATTCAGTGGGAGGTCAGCTTCCTAACTAATGGACACCTTTTTATTGTTTTTTGCAGCATGTGAGGCCGAACTGATGCCATCATTCCCTCAGCACAGGAACCTCAAACGGTCTGCAATGGCGAATTGACCACAATAGAGGTAGTACATTTGTACTGGAGCCTCGCAACTGTCAATGAAATTCAAGTTTTTCTTTTTTTTCCTCACAGGGACGTCTAAGGAACTCAAGTTTCACTGTGGTTTTGGGGTGGTTTGCACTTGGGTAAAACGTGCAAGCACAATTTCATCATTTCATTTCTACCAGTTTATCTGAAGCAATGAATCCCATTTCATATGGAAAAAGTAAAGAATTAATAACTCTCAACGAAATTTGTTGTTCATTTATAGTTTGCTCCTAAGCTTGCATGTGTGACTCACTGGGTTGTTTCTTCTGGAAAAGATGCCTTATGCAAAGGGTAACTGCATTACGTTTCTCCCCTGCATTTTATGATTCTTAGTACTAAAAATAGAGTCCTTCCTAAAAAACCTGCATTCATCACTGTATGTTGCACTCCGGCAACTAGTTGGCCAGGGAGGAGAGAGGCATGCTTTCGGTTTCGATTGAGACGTTGATAGATCATTCACAGAGCGTGGACTATTAACAGCCGTTGTTTCACATTTCCTCGTCCCGAGCGCATTGTTTTTCGTCTCTAAACTAAGCTAAATAGCCAGACCTCGAAGCTTTAGCACAAGCTCGAACCTTACGTAAAGTTTGTCTTGACACATGCTTGTAGTACTCGAGCCTCCCTGTTAGCGTTTCAAGGTAGGTATGTGGGCAAGCCAGTGCTGGGAATATCAATGCTGTGAAGCTCTGGGACCTTGCTTGTGTGCAAGAACACGCTGTAACAACCAATAAGTATGCATACACTGAGCTCGCACCTTTACATTAGTGTTGCTGGTCAGAAAGTTTGTTACTTGTTTTGTGCGTGCATTGTCGGAATATACCTTTTTGCAATTAGTTTTGCTTACTACGCCTGGGTACATGAGGTAAAACTTGGAGATGTTGCCTTTGAAGTCCCCATCCGCTTCCACTCTACAAATTCAATATCGCGTATGCTCATGGAGTTATCCTGCAATCACATGGGCGTATTTGCACGTACAAACCATTTTTAACAAAGCGGCAGTCGAGCACTTGCGTGAAGAATGTCGCACTGTTTGCCGGACGGCACGTATACGGGCGTGAACCCTTATGCGGTGCGGCAAACGAACTAAATGATTTACAGCGCATTTTACAATTGTATAATGTGTGTGTTTTCTTCCTGACTAAGTATGCCTGGACAATTCCAGACACTGATCTTGGGCGTCGGTAAAATCTCGGCATTTGCGAAAAGTTAATCTCCAATCGGCATAAACATTAAGTGGGAAATATATGATGACACGAGGAAAATCTCAGAGTACCTTGTGCAGTAGTCAGCTCAATTAAATTTATTCCGTTCTCTTAAAAGTGCATGCGCCAACGTTGGGCTCAACAAAGATGCGGCTTGTTGTTTGCCGATGAAGTAACAAGATGCGGATGTTTGGAAAAGCAAAATACATACGTGTAGAGCTCAAGGTGAGCATATTTCAATTGTGATTCACCGGTACTAGACAGGATTAATAAAATTGGGCTCAAGGATACATTCGTGGGGTGAGGCGAGTATACTCTGTTTCATACTTAGTGTACAACGTTGTCAAAGCTGCTGGCGCGAGCATGGGGCTTGATCTCGTAGGTCATTTGCACGCGTTCTCGCGCAAACGAAACCATAGATGAAGCTACGCGCTCACGCCAGTAGCTTTGACAGCGTTGTATATTAAGTTTGAAACGAAGTAGAAGCCACGTTTTACCACGTTTGCAAACGCACGCACAATATCCGGCATGTCGGGGACCAATTATTGTAGATTCGTGGGAAGTCAGATAATCGAAACGCAAGCAGCGCATTCGGTCACGGCGTGGTAGCATGAACTAAAGCTGCTCAATCGAAACCGAAACTTATTCGGCAACTAGTTCCCAGAGTGCTCTGCGTGGTATTTTGTCGCGATGGGGCGCTTTCAATTTTGGATGTCTAATTTGCCATGCACCTCAATAAAAAAATGCTAGATTTAAAAAATTTTGAAATTAGTGTTTTATTTTTAGCGAATTATACATGTAAAAGCCGAATATAAGCATCAGAATTCTTGAAGGCCATAATTTATGTAAAAACAGACTCAATCATATGTAGAGGGCACAAGCTACACCTCAACTCAGAAAGCTTGTAGAGTACGCTTCTCTATTTGGTTTTAAAATTACATCATTATCATCTAGATTCTGTTTGCGGGGTTTGCGGTCAAACGAAAGCGGCGAACTTATCAGCAGCAAAGCTGCCTGCATCTGATTCTCTGGTTTCTCTACTTCCTCCACTTGCAGCTGTTTTTGCTGCGGACACACCTACGATGGTCGTAAGTAATCTAGTATTTTCACCGACCTCTCAGAATGAAGAGCTCGCGTGCTTCACGTGTGTGATGGCGAAGTTGTTTATCCAAACTTGCGTAGTGCCCGTTTCGCACCGATCAGCTTTTACGTGTTTCAGATTTCGGCTATCAAAGGGGTGACGTTCGAAAACTGGTCTAAAACGTTTTCCTGCAAGCCCGAGTACTTGTTTGCTCCCAGAAGCAAAGATGAATTATGTGAGGTAAGTCCGTAGTTATCCGTAGCTGCGTTTGTTTGTCATTCAATGCAAAGGATTTTTTTTTTTTTCCATATTTATTCAAAAGCAGGGGGAATACCTGAACACTGGTGGTCGTGTGACGCACCGCAAATGAACAAATATCGCATAAAAACTCGTACAAAAGAAGATTTCTAGAGGTATGCAATTGCAACTTTTAAATCAGGTGGCGACTTGCGCCACCTAGCCTAGCTTTGGAGTGATGCAAAAGGGTTTTGGTGCTACTTAATACTGAATCAATCCTGCACCCTCCCCCCTTTCCCTTCATACCCAAATAAACAAACAAACATGATCAATCAACAGGTTTCTGTTTGGTTGCTCTTTGGTACCTATGTTCTTCAGCAACATAATGAAGTACCAAATGATGCCTGGCATGAACAGATATGCAAGTTACATAGAGTGTGATTGTAACATAAACTTTGAAATGCTCAAGGGCGTGTGAATTTTTCTAGGCGAGAGCCGCTTTGGGGTTAAAACCATTATGCTTGTAAACAGCAGATAGGCAGTGCGACGGACTTCTGCATGGAGCCTTTGACTAGGATCACTGAATTCATTTGTTTGTTTCCAGATTCATATTTCAGATGCTGTAAATGCCAACATACAAAATGATTTTCAGCATCACTAAAAGTCCTCTTTTTTTCTTTCATTCCTGCCCTTCTGAAAATGATCCGGATTTTTCAGGGAGGTCTCTCTTTTAACTCATAAAAATCTTAGTCATTTCATCATTTATTTGTGCACAATTAATTTTGTGCTCAAATAGTGCTATGAGATGCAAGTTGGGTCTCTTTTCGTCTGCCATCCACCAGGTGCTGGAGTTTGCCCTCCAACGTAGCATGAAGGTCCGCGTGGTTGGTGCTGGTTATTCCCCGTCAGACATTGCATGCACCTCGGATGTGATGATCAGCATGCGCAGCATGGACAAGGTGCTTGAGGTGAGGTAGGTTTCATATTTCCTTCTTTCGTACGTTACAGACAATAAAGACTTTTCTATGTTGTGTACTTCCGTCGTGCATTGTGGCAGCAGAACGTTGTCAAGAAGAGTCCGATGCGCACGCAAACTGTCCCTAACTCTGCTACTAGCTTTTGTGCATTTATTGCTGTAGGCAGAAGCAAGCTTCTCTGCTGGAACGCTGGAGTCTCACATGCAAGAAACAAAGATAACTTTTAGCTTCGCATTGATTGCTTTAGAAGTTTGTTTTTTCCTCAAGCCATATCCAGTTGGTGGTGGCGTTGCGCCGAGGGAAAGGCGGTCGATGCTGAACGGGAAATTGTTGCTTTGGCCGCCGCCATGCTGTGAGCTCTAGGCGGTTTCAATGAGGCGTGGTGCAAGCTCGGGCTATTTTTACATATATTGGTATGCACTCCGTGCGACGCGACTGGCGCGCCGCCGCGCGGCCGTTACCGAAGGTAGGCAGTGAGAACCCCAGAGAAAACGAAACCGAAACCACGCCGCGTACGTCCGTACGCATTGAGGTCGGAGCGGTACGGTTGCGCTGAGTTCACAGCATGAAGTGCTGCCGGCCGGTGCTGCGTCGTTAAGTACTTCAATAGTTATGCGTTGTATCTCGTGGAGATATAGTTCCACAGTTTTTCACCTCGCCAATGTTTTGTGGGACAGCGAAAACGATGGACCCGTGCCGTACGACCCGATAAGTTTGGTCTCCCGATCATGTCTGCCACTGTGTCGGCATGGCAGACATATTCAACACTGCCGCTTTGCGCTCTTCGTTTGTTTTCATACCAGTAACGCCTACATGTGTTAGCGCCGATGGGACGAACTGAAATGCCATCCCACACTCGCGGGTATGCAGTGCCAATTTCGTTGGATGAATGCCCTCTAAAGAAGTTTTGTCCCCATCGTATGGCACGCAATCTGTACTTCATGAAGAAAGATTCGAACGGTAAAAAAAGTGACAAATATGAATCTAAGAAAACCTACAATGAAACTCGGAATCATTAGAGAATCGACGTTTGACTACGGAAGTTTATGTGGTGTGCTTTCTTTTTTGATTAGCCTTCTTTTGGATGTGGAAACGCTGACACTCCAAGTTTTGTAGACAACAATATTTTTTCTCGGCTTTAGAGCCACCCATCGCAAAGTGGTTCGAACGGGAAGTACCGTCCACCGGGCCCATCCTACCTGTAAAGTGTGCCCCTCCCTCGATGAGTGGTATTATCTTGACAGCCTTTGACTGTCAAAGCTGGTTCCCATTTAGTTACGCCGCCCAAACTAAATTTCCGCCTGGTTTCGCTATGCCACCTCTTGGTATAATAAGTGTTGTGTCAAGTTACGGTCATGTCAAAGTACCTGTGTGCCGAAAATCAGCATCTCGCACTGCAGGTTATTTCACAACAGCTGACCACAATGGCCGGCCAAACCGTGTGTTGGCCGACAACTTTGTTTTCTCGGTTTTGGACCCACCTTTCGTAAAGTTGTTTCAATTGTAAGTACAGTCGACTAGTCCTTTCCTACCTGTAAAGTCTCACCCTCCCACGACGAGTGGTATACTCTTGACAGCCCTTTCATGGTCAAAACCGGTTCCCAATGAGTTACGTCGCCCAAACCAAATTTTCACCTGGTTTCCCTATGCCATCTCTTTTGGTTTAATAAGTGCTGTATCATGTTATTGTCAAGTCCAAGCACCTGTGTGCCCAAATCTGCACTTCGCACAGCCCGGTTATAACACAACATTTTGGGTCAAAAATTGGAGTAGCCAGTCTGCCTGTATTTCTTTATTCGTTAGAAACATAACTTTCACACCTGCTGTCTTAATGAAACTTGGCACACTTTGTGCAAAAACTTAGTGAACATCTCACTCGTCTCCAAGTATCATCGTTCCAGCAGTCCTACGTTTATAGCGACGACCGAAACAAATTTCCCACTCAGAGGAATTATGGCGGCGGCCGTCTTGCTTTTCAGAAAGTTGCTCCAACCCCTTTTTCGGCTGCAACTAGAGCAATTACCCCTAATAACGACTCAAACTCAATATATAAGAAGTGAAAAACATCTAGATTCCCTCCTTAGGTCTGCCCCAGCACGCATGCAACGTCACCCTCAACGTATCGGCTCAAAAAGCAAAAGTTTCGTCCGTGCGCGCTTCCATCGCCACAGCTTCGCACGCGGAAGGGCGCCGCAGGCTGCTGAATGCGCCTCACTGCCGGACGCCAGCTCCTCCGCTAGCGGCGCTACGCGCGTTTTTCAAAGCGCCCCCTATAGTTCCCGCACGGAGTGTATAGTAGTATTGTCCAAGAAATAAATTATCAATACATACCTTCAATTACAGGTTTTCTCTTTTATTTTAATCCAAGTGGTGGTAAATTTAATTTGTGTGCCATTCAATTTAATTCAAGTGCCATTCAATAACCTTAGCACTACCCAATTTGATTCCAGGGTCAGTCAATTTCATCCACAATATATACATTCACGTTTTTGTCTTCAGTGGTCGTGTTTCGCTTACACTTCTGATAAATTCGAGTAATTGTTTATTCAGTCAGATTTTGTTAGGGACTACTGATATTTTTATCAGTATTTCAATAACTTGGAGTTATTAGTCGCACAATTGACATATTGACTGCTTTTTTTTTTGGTTACCTCGAGTTACCAGTGGCACACTCGGCTTTATTTTAGCTGACTTGATGTGTTGTTTACTCTTTCTTATTATTTCAACTTATTATGGATAGAGTTCAGATGGTATCAGTAGTTCAGTACAACTGCTATTTGTGGTTACGCTTTTTATTACTTCTTACTATGATAGACACCGCTGACTTAAAAGCGGCTTCCACTTCTAATTACTTTGACCTATTAATAACACAATTTGTTTTGTAATAAAAGTTCAACAAACGTTTTGCTTACTCTCGATTACTTCGAGCAATTATTGACAAGAATATAACTTTGTAGAAGCTAATTTTACATTCTGATTACTTTTTCTTTTTATATTGCTATTATTGACACTAACTTTATAGAAGCCAAATTTTTGTTACTCAGTCGATTACTTTGAGTTATTATTTGCAAAGGCGACTTCATGTAAGTGCAGCTAAGATTTGGTGTACTCCTTTGATTAATCCCACTTGACTTTAAATTAACTCAATTAATTTAGTAGTTACTTTTTATCTTTCCCCGATATATTAATCACACAACTGAGTTTATATCAGCATTATTGACATCTTAATTACTTGGAGTAACTAGTGACAAATTGTACTTTATATATTGTCTAATGGACATAATCCTCATTCTCATAATTACTTTGAGCTTTTATACAACCAAGTGATTTATTCTCAGCTCAGTTACCATTTTGATCACTCTTGATTAGCTCGACTTACTTTTGACCCAGTAGAGTTTGATTTGGCCTAATTGACGTCATGATTACGCTTGACATTACTTTGAGCTAATGATGGACTAACTGATTTTATAGGAGCAGAAGTCACATTATGATTGCTCTTTTGATTGCTTCGAGTTACTATTGACCCGATGAACTTTAATTCATCCTAATTTTAATCTTGATTACTTTGAGACAATATTAAACTAGCCTACTTGGCATTGTGTTATATCTTGCTTCGTTGGAGTTACAATGCAACCAGTTGATCTATTATGAGTTCAATTCAGATTATTATTACTCTTTTGACTATACTTCGAGTTACTTTTCATCAATAGGCTTTAATTTAGCCTAATTGGAATTATGATGACTCTTTAGAATACTTTAAGGTAGTATTCAACTAAATTATTTAGTATGAGCTTGATTGACATTTCACTCTTTTGATTACTTTGAGTTTGTATTGACCCAATGACTTTATTCAACCATATTGACATTTTGGGGAGGTAGCCTCCTCTCTTTAGCATTTGCTCCACTAAAGTGGAAAGAGGTGGGAAGAGCTTCCGTTTCGTTCTTGACCTGTCACCTACTATAGAATGCTACGCCTTCTTTCTTATCTTCACGAAGGTCAACAAAGAAAAGATGACTGTCAAGGCGGAAGCTGGGGTCACTCTGAAAAGGCTGAACGAAGTCGAACTGGCCAAGAACGGACTCGCCCTGTCAAGGTGCATTCCCTTCCTCGAAAGTCTCGCGCCGGACAACCACGGAGATTTTTTTTCTCCAAACTCTTGTCGGGATGTGTTGGCTCAGTGTTGTAGCACTGGATTCAAAGTGGGAAGACATGCCTTCGTAACAATTTTTTCCGTAATACGACGCAGTCCTTCGAGGAGGCCTTTGGAAGGATAGCCGTAGTCTTCATGGCTCTGGACTTTGCATTCCCACAGATGTTTTGGTAGCTTTTTTGTGGAGGAAAGGAGCGGAAGTTTAAAGGCTGGTCTAGATGGTTACTTTTGAGCGCGCTCGAGTGCTCTACATTCTTTTATAATCGCTTAAGACGAGAGAAGACAATGGCACCACCTATTGGGTAGTACTGGAACTGCTCATAAGTAGACTGAAGGTTTTGCAGTATTTGTGAGATCAGATCTATGCACCGTTTATGAGAAAGGGCCGCTTATAACTTCTTCAGAATTATCTCGAGCCCACAGTGAAGGAATAATGCATAAAAAAATGAAAATGATATATGCAGGTAGAAAGCGTTCCAGGACTACCTGAGGGACAGCGCCAGTGTGCTCTCTCGGCCTAAGCAATTACGAGGGAACATTGCGCACTCGGGCGCACTCGAGCGGGAATCTCCGAATCGTCCTGAAAGCACTTTTGAGGAGTTTTGTCCGTGTACAGAAACGTGAGTGCCTCGTGAGCTGTTTGTTTTCCGAGAATGGAAATCAGCACGTAGCTATAGCACATCATTACGGCACAACTTGGCATGTGCCAAAAGCTACGACCCCAGTGAGCCAGTCGAAGCGAGGCACGTGACGAGCAATCATTGACACGCATTCTTCTCGTGGCGAGCTGCTAGGTGCTTAGCTCATCTCCACCGATTGGCCCTTGAAGGCCTGGGTGCTCACGTTTTGCCAAGTTATGGTGTAATAAGGTATGTCTTTACATTTGCCAGGGGGAAAAAAGTGCTTACGAATTTGAACAAAGGCACCTCACATAAGCAACTGCTAATGCTCAGAACTACAAATGTCACATCTATAAAAACCAAGTTTACACATATTTATTAAAACGAGTCACACCAGTCACGGGACCTAGTAAGGGCACATAAGTGGTCTTTCAAAAGACCTTGTAGTACTAAAGCTATGATAGGAAAGGAGATAACGGTGCACCTTGAAAATAATCATGTGATTCCTGTTGATGCCTAGTAAGCGAGTAACTTAGTCATACGCTTCTATAAAACAACACAAAGTTTAATGAAAAGTGCTTTTTTTGTTCCTTTTTTTTTTGCTTGTTTGAGATTTTCTTATTATCATTGTGTAGTTCATATACAGCACTCTGTTGTTTTTTCTAAGTACTGCACTGACTTGTCTTTATTTTTATTATTTTATTTAGACATAGTGTTTTCTCTCTGTTGAGAGCTGAGGCAGGTGAGGGTTGTCACAAGTTGCAGGAAAGGGAAAAACACCTTTGTTTTTACATACAAACATGTGGTACCATGGCAATGCACATGCTGGAGTAGAATAAAATGATTGGATATCACAGCAAAGTACATACTGACATTCAGTATAGGAAGGCAGTACATAATGACAGCATCAACAAGAAACAAAATATAGCATGTTGAGATTAAATGCTTTAAAATATATTTTTAAAATTATTTATGCTTTAAAATATATTTTTTAAATTATTTGAAAATTCTACTACACTCTCACAAACTGTGACCTTTTGCGGAAGCCGGTTCCACTCTTTAGTGTTTTTTTTCCAACCTCTCTTCTTGCTGCAGTCTGGGTGCCGTGTCGGAGATCACGCTTGGCGGTGCAATCGCCACCGGCACTCACGGATCGGGACTCAATTTTGGAATCCTGTCAACGCAGGTGACATAGCAGTTTGGGAAGGTTAACTTTCCTAAACCCCAAAACCTTAGTGGTTTTCGTCAGAAATCTAAACAAGTGTCACTGCGGTGCCCCAGTGCCGTAAACATATTGGTTGATACACGACTATAAGCATGGTGTCCTTCCCCGTTCCCCATCCTTTCAAGAACATACTATCGCGGACAACATGAGCTGAACAGTCCTTCGCGCTTCTTCAACACACCTACTGTAATGTTCCGGAGGATAGCCCACCTAAAATCGAAAGCAAATTGGGTGACAATAAGGAGCAGGCTAACCTTCGGTGTGTGATGAAAAGAGTTGAAGAAATGCTAGTTTTCAGTTTTGTGGCCTGCAAAGCTTGGGACCACAGGGAGGGGCGATGAACCAAAAACCAGTGTCCTTCCCGATCAGCAATGTTCGCTTACCTCCCAGCATCGGTAACACCATGTTTGCCAAAGTCGGCATTGGCCAGGGCCCTGCAATCACTAGAAACGGGCTGTATTTTGATTTTTCTGAGAAAAATATCAAATCGGGTTCAAAATAGGGGGCGGGTTATCTTTTGGGGGTGGGGCATCTCCCGGGATATTACAGTACCAGGTTTTGAAAGAGGCATGGTCCGATCTAGGAATGGAATGTGAGTTAAAGTCCCATACTTCCGTATTTTTTCAGAAATTGAGGAGTAATAGAGCTTGTAAGGACCACAGACAGAATAAGGCCGAATTGGACGTTTTAGCTCACATTGTCTACGGGATTACACCGCGCGACACCGTCGGCGTAGACACAACACCTGCAATATTTTTTAATATCATCTCGAAAGATGAGACATCAGACTTATCACTTAGATCAGTGTACTAAGTTAGCATTTTCCTCCACGAAAGTAGTTTTGATGAAATGCCTAAGATTTTAAAAGAAAAAGATCAAATCTAATGATCGCCTGTTCATGCCTATGGTGTTGCGCAGTGCACAGCGTGCATGAGATTGTGGCTTTGGCAGGCCTGCAATTGTGTTTGATATATTCAAGAACAGGAATATGGCTGTGGTAGGAACAGTATGCTTGCAATCATCTATACATTTTGCGAAAGGTAAGGCCGAGGAAGCTCGGGCCAGGCAAGGACGTTGATCTCCAACAGAACGAGAACAGCAGATTGTGTTTTTTGAACGCCTTGCAATACTTGCGGCCTTGAGGTTAATTTTTCGCGCTGTCATCGGAAGGGTTGTTTAAGAACTGTCGCTTCAGTACGCTCTTTAACATGTTGCGTAGGACATGCTCGAAGTCCAGTGAGCACTTTGCGCTTCCGGAATGTTTGCCGCCTCCTCTCACTCCTTTTCTTGTTTAATTTGAGTATCCCTTTCTTTCTCAGATGAGAGCACAGAGAGCTGTATGTCTTTGCCCCCTATTTTCTACTTTGCTTCCCTCGTCACCCTCCACAGTTAAGGAGGAAAACAAACGGGATAATCTATGTTGCAGAAAGTAGAGTTTGTCCGTCTTCTTTCCGAAAGACCGTATCTCGTGTTTGTCTCGTGTCACCCTAATGAACTCGAACTTGAATTATATTAGAACAAGTTTGTGCCGAGGACGCCGGACAAAAAGCTTCCAATAGGAAGCTTGACTAGGTCCGGTGTCTGTGTACATGCAGGGCACGATACAATAATATAATAAAACAACAACACTATTACCTAAACAAAATGGTTTCACACTTTTTTGTAGTTAAGAAATTAATATCACTGGTGGTCGAAGATGAAGTTGTTAAGAAAACAGTGCATAATTAGTATGAAAATGGGTAACGATCCAGAACTCCTGGCGGCAAATACTGATAATAGATTTGCGTTTAGTCAAGTTCAAAAGGTGGAGACAAAAAAGCAATACACTCCGCACTTGAGAATAAATACGCCGGCAACTTTAATGATATTGTAACTAAAAAATAATGGTTCAGCATGAGTGTTGTAGGAAACATTTGCAGTGATATGCAGTACTCTTTTTAGACAGTCATTAGTTTGTTTATATTAGCTTTAGTTGGGTGGTAGCTCAAACCAAATGGCAGTGGTTAAATTGTGAACCAAACAAAGCGTGATAAATTTGAACCTTAATATTCATAGGCAAAAGAGAACAACAATTACCAATTATGCCAACTATTTTTGCCAGTTTATGAACCAAGTATCCTACATAATCATCCCATTGCATAGGTTCTGAGAAAATGACACCTAGCATTTTGTGCTGGTTTACTATTTCAATCTGGCTGCTACCAATGTTTAGAGCATAATTTTTAACAATGTGCCTATTTATAAATCTAAATCTCTCAAAAAATATTTATGGGTCTTTTTTTCTTACACAAAAATGGACTATGCATCGCCAAATGCTTGTTCTCCGGCCAAATGTAGCGCCAGACGTCCTAACCAGATATTAAGGTTTCAGCCCGAGCCGATATCTTATTCAAAAGTTATAATGATTTTCGGAAAATATCAATGGGAAAATGGCGGTCGACATAGTTCTCGAATACATGGAGTTCTATATATGGTGCCAGAAACCGAAAACAGGCAAAATGGGCCCCATTCTCCGATTGAAATTTTCAGAAAATCAATCATAACTTTTAAATAAGATATCAGTTGGTTACATGTAGCAGAACACATTGAATAGAGTACAGTTCACACAGAAAGAATAAAAACACTAAAAATAAACGAGGGACAGACACTCACAGTTCTTTCAACGAGCAACAACATTCACATGATGCCCATCACACTGCGAAGAATCACTTTGGTCACAGAGAAAATTAAGGGAATACGAAAATACTAGAAAGAGATACTGGAAAAAGATATCTTCATCTTGACTTAATTTTCTGTGACCAAAGTGGTTCTTCATAGTGTAATGGGCACCATTTAAATGAAGTTGCTCGTTGAAAGAACTGTGTGTGTCTGTCCCTCGTATATTTTCAGTGTTTTTATTCTTACCGTGTGAACTGTACTCCATCGAACGAGCTCTACTACGTGTACCACTCCCCCTTGTTTCCCGCTTTAGTTTAAAAAGAAATGATTGTAGCCAGTCAAGATGCGAACACTGTCTTTAGTTTGATACCATATTTCAGAAAGCATAATAAGAGAGTTTGGTTTTCAATTTAGTGCACACAGATTGTTTACTGTAATGACTTGAGCCGAACACATCGCGGTCTTGGTTACGACTGGTAGGTTTTACTCTTCTGATCCGATAACAAACAGATAACAAGGTTGACAACCAAAACACGAAGTCCGCTAAACATAGCTAAAACAGTGAAACTTGTCACTACATTACATCCCTCCCCTCTTAGTAAGGAGCACAGTCTCGTTAGTTTAATACACATAAGGTCCCAATCTGGAGACTGGTCGACGCAGTCTTGATGATCTTCGAGGAGGAGGACTTGTCAGCTGGTCATGGACCTCTGCATTTGGTGAAGGCACTTGTTCCGTTGGCTCTTGACGACAGGTGATGGGTGGCAGCTGAACAGCATTGTCCCGGCTCGTTGGGTTGATGCTCACGTCCAGCCAAGCCTTGCGCAGCTGGTCACGGTGGTGTCGATGAGTCTCGCCGTTCTCCTGCTGCACTTTGTACGAGACTGGGCCCATTATGGCAACCACCTTTGCTGCTTTCCATCGCGGGCCAAGGGTGAAACTTCTCATGTAGACCGCATCTCCTAGTTGGAACTTCTTCACATTTAGGTCTGGTCTCTCCGGTTCTCTAATCCGATCCGGATGAAGCCTGTCCAGTGGGGAACGCAACTTCCGTCCCATCATGAGCTCAGCTGGTGTCTTGCCGGTCACTGAGTGGGGGTGGTGTGCTGTTTGAACAGAAATCGCGAGGTTCTGCACTGGGTATCTCCTTCCGACTGCTTCTTGAGTGTCGCCTTCACCTCCCTCACCATACGCTCTGCCCTGCCATTGCTTGCAGGGTGGTATGGAGCTGTGTACACAAAGCGGACAGCATTGAGCTTGAGGAAGTCTTGCATCTCTCGGCTGGTGAATGCAGTTCCATTATCGGACACTATGACGTCCGGCAACCCATGTGTTGCAAAACACTTGCGCAGGCTCCTGATTACGGCAGTAGAAGTCATCGATGGCATGATCTCTACTTCCACCCAGTTGGAATATGCATCGACGATCACCAAGAAGACCTCGCCCTTAAAGGGGCACTGACACCCCAAAGGTCGTATTTATTTTTATTGTCTAAAACGATGCAAGTTGCAGCCATAGACACGCAAAAAAAACCGCATCGCGAAAAAAATTTTCCCGCGCGCACGCGCGCCTTTTTATTTTTGGCGTTTGATTTTCCCGCCTCTCGCCTCCTCGCTTCTTTTGATCGGTGACGTCAAAAATCAGGAAATTTAGAAGCTTTGTAGGCGGCATCTTTATAACATTTAATGACGGCAATCCTAAAACATGTTTTTTAACGCAATTGCGAACGCACTACGGCCCTTCTTTTTGAAATACCAAAAATCGGGAGTTCGTTGTGGTGCCGTCTCCTGGATTTGTATCCTCCAACGGAAAACAGGCGACACCGCTCAAAACCGGTCCGCCGCAACGCCGGCGCTAGCCGGCGCTCGCTCCTTTCCTCATCGCTTTGGGTCGCCATGGCAACAGCAGGGAGTGGTGACAGGAAAGGGGACTCTCAGGTCTCCGCAATTTTTGACGTCAAGGCACCGGCGCCGATCGCGCGGGAACTTCGAATTCGGCATTTGGAAATTGTGTTTTTACTTCACGAATACTGAATTCCCAAATTTCAAATTTTGAGGGTAATGTCCCGGCATCGTTTTCGACCGTTTCGGATAATAAAAAAAAATATGATTTTGATGTGTCAGTGCCCCTTTAACTGGGCCTGCGAAGTCGGCGTGCAACCTGCTCCAGGGCTGCTCTGGTTTAATCCAGAAGTGTACTGGTGCCTTGGGGTCGCTCTGACGGTTGGCTTGGCACTTGTCGCAGTAGCGCACAAACTCCTCTATCTCTTCATCGAGTTTCGGCCACCAGATTAGGCTACGAGCCATTGCCTTCATTGCCGTCATTCCAGGATGATTTGCGTGCAAGAGCTGTAGGACTTGGCTCCTTGCCGCCTTGGGGATCACGACGCGGTTACCCCACAACAAACAGTCTCGATGCACTGACAATTCTGTTTGCCTCACCTCGAATGGTGCGAAGTCTCCACCAGAACTGTCATTGGGCCATCCGCTGAGCACCCACTGCTTCACCCTTGAGAGCACGGCGTCCTTTTTGGTCAAGCCCGCAATGTCAGTAGCCAGAAGTGGGGGGTACTGGACGGCTTCAAGCAACAGGATGTCGCCGGGTGGTGCTGGTTCGTCAACATCTCCAGGCAGTGGCAGCCGGCTTAGACCATCCGCGTTAGAGTTGTCTTGACCCTTCCGGTACTTGATCTGGTAGTTGTAGGCACTCAACAGGAGTGTCCACCGTAGCATTCGAGGTGAAAGGACCTCAGGCATGCGCTTGTCTGTGCCGAACAATCCCAGTAGCGGCTTAGGATCTGTTATGATCGTAAAACTTCTTCCCGCCAGATACTGGTGAAAGTGTCTAACCCCGTAGACAACGGCAAGTCCTTCTCGGTCGATTTGTGCATAATTCCGCTCGCTCTTGCCAAGAGTATGTGAGGCATATGCGATAGGAAGCTCATTCCCGTCGTCGTCTTGGTGTGCCAGCACTGCTCCAACCCCCACTGGTGAGGCGTCACAGCATAGCACCAGAGGACGACTGGTGTCGTACTTCACCAGAAGAGACTCACAAGTCAGCAGTTTCTTGAGGCTCTCAAAAGCGTTCTGGTGCTCCCTTGTCCAGGTCCACTTACGTCCGTCGTCTAGTAGGTGATGCAAAATCTCTGCAACCTCTGCCTTCCCTTCCAGGAATCGACTGTAGAAGTTCACCATGCCCAAGAAGGCCTATAGTTCTTTTTTGTTAGTTGGAGCTGGGGAGCGCTGTGGATTGCTGCAACCTTGCTGGCACTTGGGTGAATCCCCGAAGCATCGATCTTGTGTCCAAGGTACTCTATGCTTGTCTTGCCAAACCGGCACTTGTCCTTGTTGACCCTCAGTCTGGCGTCTTGTAACCGTCGCAACACAGCCTCCACACGCTCGTTGTGCTCTTGTTTTGTTTTTCCCGAGATGATGATATCATCCAGGTACGCCACAACACCAGGGATTCCAGAGATCAGACTGTCGACGACACGCTGAAACAGTCCCGGCGCTGCCGAAACACCGAAAGGCAGTCGTCGGACTCTGTAAAGTCCTTTCAAGGTGTTGATTGTGAGGAGCTCTGCAGACTCATCGTCCAGCGTCAGCTGCTGGTAGGCCTGCGCGAGGTCGAGTTTTGTGAAGATGCAGCTGGTGCCTATTGCTGCAAACACTTCGGTGGTGGTCGGTAGAGGGTAAACATTGCTTTTCACTGCCTTGTTCACCGTACTTCGATAATCCCCACACAGTCTCAGGGATCTGTCTTTTTTTCTTACAACTACCAGTGGCGTCGCCCAGCTGGCATACTGAGTAGGCTCCAAGATGCCTTGCTTCTGGAGGCGGTCCAGCTCGTTGTTGACGTCTTCACGAAGGGCAAATGGCACTGGACGACACTTGAGGAACTTCGGCTCGGCAGTGTCTTTCAGTTCAATGTGAAGGGGTGCTCCTGTGAATCCTGGCAAGTCGCTGCCGAAAATCTCCTGAAAAGCTTCCGTTGGGTCCTCTTCGGAGCTGCTCAGCTTTTGGATGCCTTGCACTCCAATCCCCAACGCTGGAAACCAGTTCCTGCCCAGCAAACTGTTGCCTTGCCTTCCGACCACTAGCAACGGTAATGTTGCAACGTGATCTCTGAACATGACGTCCACCATCGCTTTACCGAGGGTCGGCAGCGTTTCACTGGACCATGTGACCAGCTTGGTGCTCGATTCCACGATAGGGATCTCCTTTCTTGAGCTTGCTTCAATTTTCCTGAACGTGTCTTCGCTGACTATCGAACAGGATGCACCAGAGTCAACTTCCATGGTGACTTGCTCATTTGCAACGGAGATCTCGACCATGTACTTCTTTGGTGCCTCGGTTAACTCGCAGATGGAGAATAACTCATCCACTTCGTGCACCTGTTTTGCGTTTCCACGCTTGTTTCCCGTCGCTGGCTTCACCACCTGTTTTTTTTAACGACACGCTGCCGCGATGTGCCCTAGCTTCTGACACTTATAACATGTCGAAGTCTTGAACTTACATGAAGTTGGAAGATGCTTACCATTACAACGGTAGCAACTCTCTCTCTTTTCGCGAGGCGAGCTCTTCTCTGCGGTTGCATGCACGCTGGCGTCCCCGTCCGCGACCGTCTTTCGATCCTCGTTGATGTCCTTCAGCTGCCTGGCTGCGGCTTCCGCCGTGAGCGCCAAGTCATACGCCGCGTCGAACGTCAACTTGTGTTCGGCGAGCAGCCTCTGTTGTATCGCCTCGCTGCGATACATCCTCGTCGCCAATTGTAATGACTTGAGCCGAACACATCGCGGTCTTGGTTACGACTGGTAGGTTTTACTCTTCTGATTCGATAACAAACAGATAACAAGGTTGACAACCAAAACACGAAGTCCGCTAAACATAGCTAAAACAGTGAAACTTGTCACTACATTACATTTACCTTCTAAAACAGTGGTGACTAATTTTTCAGCGCATCTGGTCAATGTTTCAGGAGAAAGCCTCGGCACATATGGCACACTTTTTCGTGGGGCATGGCGAATAAGAGCTATCTTGGATGCCTTCGAAGTTCCATTAGAGGGTTTCACTGGCTTACGGCATGTGACAGTGACTAAGCCCTCGCCATTCACATTGTTTCGATGAGCGGTCCCTTGTTGCGCCATGGAAGCAGGCAGAACTGGTTCAGGTCAAACGGTGGCAGCTTTCAAGGAGTCACTATGCAGCGCTTTTTGAGGCCTCTGTACACTCTGCTGTTAGGAAACCCGGGCAGAAATGCTGCAGCAGAAGCATATGAAGGTAGGATTTGAACTACCAGCTTTGTCGGGCGAGTTTGGAGGGTATTGACTCATGAACGGGAAAATTGTATCGTCCAGGTGACGTACCTCTTGGCGAAGCGATGCGTCTTCCACCTTTAGGCAAAATTTAGGCAGAATTACATCTTAAAATTTGATTCAAATATTAACATGCAATTCTTTCTAGCTGATGCTAGCAAAGAGAACTGCCGCGTTTTCTCAGTAACAAAACTCTGAGCGGAGTCGCCCTTTAAGACGAGTCGCCCCACATAGTTACGGTGCCTCTCGCTTCAAGGTGTTCCCCCCCTCCCCCATGCAATTCCAGGTGTTGGAGCTGGAGCTGGTGACTTGTCTGGGCAAGACACTGGTCTGCTCGCGGGAGAGCAACCCGGAGGTCTTCCTGGCAGCCGCCTGCGGGCTCGGGGCCATCGGGGTGGTCGTCGCGGTCACCGTGCAGTGCGAGCCAGCCTTTCGGCTCCGCGAGTCCCGCTACTCCTGCGCCTTGCAGCGGGTGAGGACGTCCGGCAACCCATCTTGGGGGTGAGGGGCAGGCGGGACCGTGGGAAGTTTCCACCATGGTCGCTAACGGCATGAGGACGGCGGGCAGGAGCTTCGGTCGTCCCGCCTCCAGCACGAGGTTTCTATAGTCCGTTGCAACCCCAGAAGGTAGGGCGAGGGTAAGAGAGGCCGGGGAGGAGGTAGCAGACGGAACGCTAAAGAGAGAAGGAGGTTTGCCCCCTCTTCTCCAGCGTTCCGTCTGCTTCCTTCTCTCTGGCCCGTCTTACCCTTGCCCTACCTTCTTGAGTTGCAACGGACTATAGTTCCCACGATGCTTAGGTGTCTCGTGCACCCCGAGCGCGGTCGTGCAGCCAAGGCGGTTCAAAGGCACGGAGCACGTGCTGGAGGTTGGGCGTTTTGAACACGCCCTTCTGTTTTCGTTCTGTTGGGGACTTTAGGGCCACGGTGCAAGCCATACAGTCCATGCGGGACCGATAGGGGGCACTTTGAAAACTGCACGCAGTGCCACTTGCGCCATGGCTAGCGCACAATATTTGAGTGGTAGGAGACGACAGCGGCTCTTTGCTTCAGAAGCTGCAACGGTGCAAGTGCTCGTGGTTGGAGCGTTAGTTCTTCGAGCTGGCTTTAAAGATATTATAGTGGGATCGTTCTTCCACGATGCCACTACGAAAAAAGGAGAAAAACGTAGTCAAATCGGGCACATTTTTGACGTCAACAAATTGTTTGCTATGGTCACGTCGGTCTTGAAGGCCGAATGTGTGCGTCAGGTGTGTGTCTTGTAAGAAGCTTACTCCATAACGATTGAGGTAAGTTGTCATTCTTTCATGCTCAGAAAGTGATTGGTGCGTACCCACTACCCGTATTTTTGAAAATTATGGAAATTATTTAGAATTATCGACGGCCTAGATGAAACCGCGGCGAGTGGCCTGGTGGCACATTCTTTTGTTGCGACCGTGGCTTCGGGTCATGATGGGTCGCAGCCGAGTTACTGCGTTTCGCGCAATGCTTCGCTTAAATTTGTCGCGCGGTGTGACAACATTTTTTATTGTTTATGTTGCTTTTCGAAACAAACTTTGGCATGCACTTGTGTCATTGCAGGGTTCGCAGAGCTTACTTATGCGGTCTGGAAAGCCGGCCTTTGTTTTACAGCGAAGCTGCTTATGGGTAGGGTTCCGTGGATTTTTCGTGTGCAATGACTAAAAATTCTGCGCTCGCACCGCCGCACGCGCACGTCTTGCCCGTATAAAAGGTTCAAAGTAAATAACCAAAATAAAGCGTTGACGAACGTGCATGCAAGATGCCATTTGTTTTAGGCTTTTGCTTTAGAACAGTTACTGCTGCAGACGCCAGTGCCGCATGTGCATGCCTTCCCTGTATAAAAGATTCTAAGTAAATGGCCAAAATAAAGCGTTGACGAACACACTGCCCGATGTCGGGGCAGCCGCTGCCCGACGAAGCATGAACGAGTTAAGGAACTGTGCAACGTCTTCCCTGTGGGGCACGACGTGTACCTGTTGCTACAACCGACCATGCAGCAATTCATGATGCCAATTAACAGTGCGTTAACGGCATAGGAGCGCACCGCAGCGGCAGGATTGCTATGGCGGCGGCGACACGGCGTGGTTTCCGTCTGCTCGGATTCTCAACAGCAGTCCTCTCTGACGGCCGCGTGTCGGCGTGCTACTTGCCGCGCACGCAGTGTATAGGCATAGGGTGTCGACGCGTCATTCCCCAATCGTCTTCTAGGCGGTGCCATTTTGTTACCTAGTGCGGTTGTGAGTGGCGTCGCGTGTTTCAGCGCTCGTCTCGGGGTCTTTGCAAAAGTCGGACTTCGGTTGCGGAATGTGGAGACGGAAATTAAATACAAAAACATTTTCGACATTTTTATGTTTTTGAATTTGATAGAGAGCATAAGAAAGAACCGCTGCTGGGGGGGTCACCAACCTCGCAGAAGGGACTTTTTTGCTTTCCACTTTGCTTATGATTCAATGTAGATAAAAAATATTTGCACTTACTGTTTTTAATCTTGGGACACAGCGCAAACAACAGGCGTGGACGAAGAAGAAACACACGGGATGGGCGCTGACTATCAACTGAATTATTTTAATAGGAAAACACATGAAAACGACCATTCATCTTTTGCAGTTCACCCCCCGTCTGCGTATTACGAGACACTTTCATAGCGGCATGTTGGCACGTGTTGCTATCCCAAATTCAAAAACGCCACCTCACTGTCCAGCAGTGCCAAAGACGGTTGGCTGACACACGAGGTTGCCGCCCTTTTTATTTGGTATGCTTCTACTATCTCTCAAGACACTTGGTCCCTGTGTCTGAACAAAACTTCAGTGTCACTGAATCTCGGCTCACAGTTACAATCGCGACAATGCATTGCAAGATGAGAGTATGCACACCCCTTCAACAAACTCTGTTAAACGGATGTTCAAACAGCGCCCCGTTTGGCCAATATACACCCGCCCACATGAAAAAGGTATCCTATACACTGCTCCAACGGTGCATGAAACAAACTGTGTGCCATGCTTTACTGTGCAACCATGACTACTCGGATTTTTCCGCCTACTAAGACGCCTTTCTATGGCGGGGCAAATCTGGCTCAGCTTGTTTTTGGCCGAGAAAACGACACCCACACCGTATCTTGCTGCGATCCCCTTTAACCCGTGCGAAACGCGGTGAACGTAAGGAATGGAAGCCACCTTCTTTTTGCTATTCCCAAGATGTCCCAAGATGAATTCCCACCAACTCGCCCAACTATCCATTCTTCTGTTTTTAAAAAAAGTTTTTGCCTTGGCACTGAGAGTTTTACGAGGCTATTCTTGGCATTTTTTTCTGGCGGTGGGATGTTTTTCTTGTTTCTCGACTGTTTTGGTAAGTTTTTCATGAAGAGAACATTGAAAAATTAGAGTATTTAACGATGTAATTACGGCGGACACCCTTTCAGCTGGTGATGCCGTTTGCTCAAATATGGTAGGATGGAAAGATGGTCTAGCTGGTATGTCGCAGCAGTACTGAAAGTGCCAGGGAACAAGGACGAGAAGGCGCTGGTTGTTTTCTTTCTAGTCCTGGTTTCCTGGTGCTTTCAGTATTCTCGCTAATATATAATTTGTATAGCCGTTGTAGCAGTTTGTCTTCCACGTTATGATAAATGGTGCTCGCTTCATATTTCCGTCAGGTGCTGGAAAACCTGGACGTGCACCTGAAGAGCTCAGACCACTTTCGCTGCCTGTGGTATCCGCACACGGACACCGCCGTCTGCTTTCATCTGACTAGGACTGATGAGGTGAGGAGGTTTTCGGTCACTGCACCTGTGGAAAAAGTAGTTGCACCTGAATATTACGGACCTCGATATATAACAAACCTCTGTATAATGAACCTTCATATAACAAATTTTGTCGATGTAACGTAGCTCGTTATAGAAGAAAGTTTTTCATTGTATTCTACTTCTGCAGTGTTTTAAAGTGAATCTTCTCAAAACCTCGGACATCGTCATCATCGGCATCATCATCATCTTCATCATGTCTCTTTATTGTGCCCATAGCCGACCAGAAATCTAATGCGGCACTGGTATATAAAAGTTAAGAAAACAATCATAGGTACACAACATAGATGCTAACAGGTGCAGTGTCGTAGAGTATAAGAAACATCCTCCGCTATGTTTAACTACTTGAGCTTTCCTTATTTCACATCCTCCAAAAGGAGGCACCATCGATAAGAAAAATCCACATAAAGAGCTCTAGGAATAACATAAATGTTAGTGTCAAACACTCACGCAGCTTTTTAAGGCTTTTTTTTTACTTTGTCTCCTATTGATTTCTTAAAATGATATTTGGTAGGCGTTGATGAGTGTGTTTGATGAATACTGGGGAACCAATTTTTAAGTGCTTTGTAAATTGCATGCATTAAAAATTGCTCAAAAGTTTGTGAAAAATTCTTCTATAGTATCTGCATGCCAAAAGTGTGTTTAACTGGATCAGTCGCTTTCACTGGTGTTGCGCAGGCAGTTACAAGTCTACCCCTGTTACCGAGGGCGTGGAAGTGGCTGATGGAATATGCGTTTGGCTACTACGTCATGGAGGCTCTCCTATACCTCAGGTCAGGAAGTCTCCAACAAATGGTGCTATGCCTGAGGTTCAAGGCACTAGGGTCATTAAAAGGTTAGGTTTCCGATTTAAAGTTATGTCAAAATTGGGAAATTTAAAAGGACACTAAAATAGAGAAAAAAAATTAAAATTTAAAAAAACTTAAATGAGACATTTTGCATTCTTAATTTTTCCTGAAAAAAAAGAAAAAAAAAAAAAAAAGGAATATTTACGATGTTTGGCACAATTTAGGTGGTGCTTACCACCCGATCCATTACTACTAAATTGGCTTGGCTACTAAACAAGTTTGCAAGCCTAGAGCCTCCCTGTCATGACGTCCGGTGCGTCTAGTATGCTGGGTGTCCAAACAGGACACTGTTGTTCGCTCGCCACCGTGCGCGGGAAGACGCACGGTGGCGAAAGGCGTCGTCTGCTATTAGAACACACTCTACTACCACCCATGGAACGCCCGTAAAACACAACCATGAAAACGGCGCGTCTGCGTCCGCTGTCCCTTCGTCCATCTGCTGTTCCGCCCCCGTCGAAATCAGTGTGCGACCATCACAAGACAGAACCGTGAAACGGCGTTTTAGTGTTCCATCATGCACAAACCACGGCTTAATACAAGCGCCCGCCACCATCTGTCGACGTGCAAAAAAAAAGCAACCAAAAAAACTTTTAAAAAATTCAGTTTTTTTAGTTTTTTTGTTTTTGTTGTCTTCTTTCGTAGTGTACAGGAGAAAGGTGGGTGAGCATCATAACAAACGATTAAAACGTAACCTAAAAATATTCGTTTTAGCAAGCCAGGTGCACCGCTCAAAGTTTGAGAGCTAAGGGCCTTCCAAAGTGAAATGACGGAAGCATACCTGGATAGAAGGATGCGAGGTGAACGCCCGATGGCTTCCAGCCAGATGGTTCGCAAACTCTTACGTGTGTAGGTTACCTCTCGGTAAACTACAATAAGGACACTATTTATATAATATGTTTCTCAAACATAAAGAACAAAGTCAAATAAAAGTCTACCGCAGCACAGAGAAACAATGTTACAATGAACATTCGCAATCATCTCTCTAACCAATGAGAGCCGAGAAATGGAGCGTAGCCAGCTACATTCCTGGGTGGGGCCAAGAGTGGGCTATCTCCATCTGAATTGTGTCTAACATAGTAAATATTACGTAAAAAAGAATAAAAGAAAGTATCTGTTCAAAGTAAGTCCTTTAAAGGGACACGGACAGGGTATTTTTGCTCGCCAAGGTTTTTATTTGTACATGACATATGAGAGCCTAACTACTCAGAAAACAATTTGCAGCTCGAAATTCGTTTTCTTTCTGCCCGAAAACTGCCGTTCAAGAACTGGCCGGTTTGAGTTGCGCTTGCTCTCTTCTTTGCCGTCACATGCCGTTTTCTATGGTTCAGACACAACCACCAAATATAATCTAAGTTGTGGGTCATCGAAGGCACACGCACAATATTAAAAATAGAAAGCAAATATGGTAGCCATTTTTCGTGCCTTCTAAAAAGCTGCAAAAAAGTTGATTGGAAAGAAGAAGCTGCACAACCACGTGACTTCCGGCAACTCTCTACTCCTCTATATTCCTTGTTCCTCCCCAGTCCACTTTCGGTTTCGTTTTTGAGCAGTTGCGTTTTTGGACTTTATTAAAAATATATGTGACCCTGCAGCAAAATATTGATTGGGTGGTCTTCTGACACAAAAATAAATCGCCTGGCAAAAAATAAAAAATACATTTTGGGGAGTGTCAGTGTCTCTTTAAAAAAATGTTGAAGGGTAGATAATGGTGTTGGCTGTGCACTGTGACAGATGTGGGTGTGTCCCGAAGTTTGACAACACCATTATCTTGGCCCGAAACCGAAACAAAATGACAAGGGAGATATCCAAAGCTTTTTTCATATCCGAGTGCGTTGAAGGAACGTGTGTCAGCGCCCCATCTGTAGCCCTGTTTGGCTCTGAGGTGGCGTTTTTAAAATCTTTCGTAAAGTAGATGGCGGACAGACGAACACTGATTGGGTGATGTCGCATTTCTGTAGTACATGTCGCGATTTCACGGTCTATATATTTGTGTGTTTTCTGAGAATAAACTTCAGTTGCAAGTAGCGCTCTGTGTTGTTTGTTTCTTTTACTTGTCCATTGTTTTTAGCGCTTTTACCCTCATAAACATAAAAAAATGTTTTTTGTTTTAAATTTCGGTGTCTTTTTAATGGAGCTTATTTTTAGGAGAGAGATTTAGGACTATTCGGCATTTATGTTTTGGCAAGTATCCAGCACGCAGTATAAATGTGAAGTTCTCGAAAACAAAAGAACATTTCCCCAAGCGAAACAGCACCCAATGTGTTTTCATTTTCTGCTTCACAATGTCCTTCTCTCAATTCTTTCTCGCTCTCTCCCATACTCCTTGCCCGAAAGAAGGGTGTTCCTCCTTTTTGGCTGTGTGTCCGACTTTAACCAAAAGCGAGGATGATAAATAAAATTGGTCGGTGCATAGGTTTGCCTGTATTGAACTCCGAGCCCGTGGCTCGGGGTCCGGTAGAGGCAAATGTGCAGCGCCCCACGCCACCACCTCCGAGACACGCGTGCGGAATTGCGTGCGATTGTTTTTATTGCTTTGCGGAGTCGTGCAAGAGAGTCGCATGAACTGCCCGTGCCGCAGAGCACGCGAGCTCGGCCGCTCGGCCACTGCTCAGAGCGACGAGCAAAGATTGTGGAATCACGGCTGCCGGACCGGCATCTATCGCCGTTTCAATCTGGCGGGAGCACACTGCATTGAAGCGAACAAACAAGCGAGCTAGCAGATAAGAAAGGACGCGCGTGTGCACTGCGCAGTTGGGACGTCACTTCCGTGACCAAGTTTTCGTGACATAGACCTCACAACATTACACCTCCTTCGAAGCGCAGAGAAAGATGAAGTTCTGCGTCAAAAAAGTTTGGCAAGGTTCGACACAAGAAACGCAGGGTGTTTTGCGTTCACTGCATGGCAATTCTTAATGGTACCAGGTCCCATGGTGCAGGTAGCGAGCGTTTGACTTGTCGTGCAGTTGAAAAGGTTTGTGGCCAAGAAAAAGAGCCGCAGATGTTTTCCACAATTACGTGGTGAAAAAATGCCGCTCATTTTCATTGGAGCTCTCTTCTCATTCGTAGAGGTGAGATCAGCGTTAGCGGACAACGAATTTCGCTGCTTTTTACAGTAATTGAATGCTGAAAGCTGCTGCAAAGGGGGCTAAGAAATCTCCGGATACTATCAATTAATGTGACGCAGGATCACTCAAAGCAACGAGGAGGTCTGGCCCACTTTGCTGATCGTCGCAGAAGACACTGGTGTAGCCCAAGGTTGTAGAAAAACATGCAAATTGGGCAAACTTCAATAGTGAAGGACGAGCAAAACCAAAAAAAGCAGACTGCTGAAAAAAAGAAAAGTCTCTGATGGTTGAGATTTTTGAGAAGCACTCTTATACCCCCTTTTAGTGCAGTCTTTTCTTTTTTTCTTTCAACACCTTCAACCTTTTGCACAGCGTTTTATCATTTACAGTGATGTGCTTGGCCCGAGTCATTTTGGAGCACGTTTTGGAGTAGCCAAAAGTCCATTTTGAAGCAGCAAAAAGTACTTTTGGAGCGCAAGCACATACTGCATTTTTGTTCATACCACTGCAAATATTATATATGTTAAAGGGACCATGAAATGACCTTTTTACTTTTTCCAGATAACTTTAACATTAAACCGTCAATGTTCACTGAATGCCGAACAGGCATCCGTTTTCGTCTCGGTTTATTAACTTCTACACAAAAAATTATTGAAATATCGACTTTTTCATTCTCTCCAACTGACCGCAAAAGAAGCCGTGACGTAGACCGTTTCCGGAACCGGAAGTTCTCTCGGCAGTAGGAGAATGGGAGTGTTAGCGGCAACGAGTTGGGGTGCGCCGGTAGGTTTTACTGCGCTGATGTCACTGACGTATTTCCTGAATCGGCGCCTCTCATCGCCGCATCGCAGCTGAGCGAAATTCAATGAGATATGTTGCGCTACAGCGACAGCATGGGACTAGTCCCATACGCCGGTATGCCTGTTGGGAAGTGCTGCGAGTCTTCCGGTGAAGACTCCAGAAGTCAACCACCCCGTCATTGTTGGCAGAAGGGCCGGCCCGTGTCAGTCGTTTGCAAAGCGACGTAGATGGCGTTTTTCGCGGCCTCGGAGATGCAGGAGCAAGCCGACGTTAAAAAAGATACGTTTGAACTACGAGTGTCAGCAAGAGCCACGTAAATACCTGTTTACACTCGGAGCGGACGCGCGCGCTTGATGGAAGTCTTGTATTCGCGCTGTTAGTAAGCGCTTCGGGACCGTTCTTTTACGATTGCAACTCGATACTGACGCGACACTCGGCAAAGAAAGGTTGGACCGGGGTTGTACGTATACCTCCCACGAACTGTTATAGCTCGACAGTGACGTGCAGTCTGTCAGAATAAAAATGGCATACCAATAACAAAGTGTACATACCGTGTTACGAAGGTAATCCATACGGCGTTTATTTCAGCTCTATATCACACAAAACAAGAAGATAGAATCGACGAGAGTCCCTTTTCGACGAGTGTTCGTCAACACTGCCTCGGAAAACAAGGGGAAGAGATTGACCTCACCTCTTAATCTAGAATTGAGGTCAGTGATCAAACTATAATACGGGAAGGGTCCACAAGGGTCGCGCGGGCATATTCCATTTAGCACGCCAGCCGATCGTAGGCAGACGGTCTTGCGACGAAGCAACGCAGCGCCGAATCGGAATGCCTGCTAGGCCTATACGCTTCGTCGGAGTCGGTGGATCCAGCGTTCTTGTTCGTCGTGGTCTGTTTTAAGTACTGTTTTCTTGCTGCTTGAAGTCGGCACGCGCGGGAAGAACACGTAGAAAAATAAACGTTCAGTCAGTCAGAGTTTTGAGAGGAAGAAAAACAAAGAAAATAAATGTTCGTCGGTCGCCGTCACCCAAGTAACTGTCGGCCCTGCCCTACTGCGCACGCGCAGTAGTTGCTTCGTTTACCACACGATAGATGGCGCTTGGCTCTCAGCATTATCAAATTTGGCAATTTTCGCCACACATCTCTAATTATGCTACAAAATGTGGATCTGAATATTATTTAACAAAACTTTTAGGAAACATTCGCCGGCTATTTATTGTTTACGATCGCGGTGCTGGTGAGGTAGGCTCTTACCCAATAGGCGACCTGGATTTGGCTGACGTGCTCCATTTCCGCGGATGCATCGTAGTGAACAGGCGAAGGAAGGAAGGCGCAAAAGAGTCCAGTTTTCTTTTAAAAGTTCTATAGCAAATAATTTTTTTTGGCTCCCAATTTTTGTGTTTTTGTGTTTCTTTTCACACCTTTTACGACGTGCGGTGGATGAAACTCGATTTTAAAATCATTTCATGGTCCCTTTAAGTTTGTTGTGTTGGCCTATCCAACTAAAAGACAAAGCCTACTTTACCCTCTCACTTCTGTACAACCTTTTGTTAGCATAAACTGCATGTGAGATTTGATTCCTTAAAACACAAATATAGCTGTTTGGTTGCACGTAGTATACAAGCACTAGGCATGGCAACACCGTGCTCATTGGTGAAAAACGGTAGAGACTGCTGCAAATAGTTGTTTTACGTATGAAATAAAATGTAAACCAAATAGTATGTTCCTCTGAAATGATATTAGAATAATCGTGAGCATCTGGATTGATGTTTCATTCAAGTTGTAAAAGTTGTAATACAATGTAAATTCTTAATTCAGATAAAAAAAACTTTCATCATTTGATTATAAGCATATATGACGTTTTATACGTAAAACTTTATGATAACAAATATTGAATCCAGCCGAACTGGTTAAGATTATTCCCAAGCTTCCTTCCACTGTTTCATCTAATTTAGTTTTAATTCATTCTATTGACTGTACCTCAAACGCATAATACCCTTATAAAGATGGTAACTAAACAAGATAGTTAAAATTAAGAATAAACCTATAAAGTAGTTCATATGAATTTGTGTGCAAGTACCCTTGCTAACTATCGAAATTGGAAAATATATCGCCAGAATATTGCAGTCCAATAATAGCTGCAGTTTTATTCAGAAATTTTTCCTGCAAATGAGAATAGTTACATTAGCACTCACCATGTCCTTTCCGCTTTCTTTTTAATATACCTGACGCCTGCGTGTTTAGCATATCCCGCTTTTGGGGAGTTCTTTCCTCTTAGCATGCCGGCGCAGTGCGGCAAAGCAAAATATGGAAAATCACAATGCTCACTTCGCGGTTGTTTTGCTGCAGTACACAAGAACACGGTGAGAAGTGCACTCAGCAAGGCTAACTTACCCGCCAGGGCAAGCTGCAAGCATGACTCGATAATGCGAAAATTTTGAGTACTGTCATTGTTTGACAGAGAGATCAAATTTTATAGGACGTTATTTGTGGCGATAATGGAAAGTTCTGAATATTCACACAAGCCTACCATAATGATCTGGACAAATAGCGGGGCCTCAGCTATTATATGTTCAGTATTAATGAAGTGAAATCAAGTTTTGGTGCGATGTTGGCACAGATTCTTCACATTTTGGCTAAATGTAGCAGGTTGTATTAGGGTAGGCCCTTTGGCACAGTTTGGAGCAAATGGTTCATCAATCACATCACTGCAATTGCACTCAGTGTTCGCTTTATAGTTTAAATGAAATCAAACGCAAGAGAATCTGTCAGCATGTTGACTTGCTTGCTGCAGAAATTAAGAAAAATTGGGGCTCTACTCAGATGCTCGGGAAACGTCCTGGTATAGATAAGAGCAGGAAACAAAATAAGGGGTGTGGTCCTTGAAGGAAGAAACAGCCTCACAGACTGCTCAGGGCAGGCTCTTTTCCTGGTCAACAGAAAAAACAAAAGTTGTAGATAAAAGTTTCTTTTCGTCGAGCTTGGTGTTTTTTCATTCGAGGACAGCTGGCCAGTTTGGAGTTTCTCAGTGTTTACAAAAAGCATGAAACCGTAGTTCTTATTGACTGATTTCTTACGTGGTCGGCAGACAAAGAACAAATGTTTACACGAGCGTGATCGTGCTGACAAAAACCCTGAAGCACAAAATGTGTCCCACACAAACCAACTTGTACAATCTTGTGCGCAACAAAGACAAGGACAAAAGCAGAGAAGAGGACACAACAAGGCGCAACTTTCAACTGAATTTTATTGAAAACGTGTTCCGGTATATATATAGTCTCAACCATCGTTACAATGACAACAAAAAGACAAAAGTAAAGGAAAAAACACCATGACAGAGCATAACTGGGAAACAACACTCTCTCGTTCTCAGGAAAAACAATTCCTTCTCCGATAATGCGATCGACGGCATAGCAACACACATGTCTCCTAAATAATCAATGTGCTCGGCTTCTATGATTTCGCGTGTTACCGCTGACTTGCATTGCAGGACCGGTATGCAAGCACGCATACCGGTCCTGAGCACATTGATTATTTAGGAGACATGTGTGTTGCTATGCCGTCGATCGCATTATCGGAGAAGGAATTGTTTTTCCTGAGAACGAGATAGTGTTGTTTCCCAGTTATGCTCTGTCATGGTGTTTTTTCCTTTACTTTTGTCTTTTTGTTGTCATTGTAACGATGGTTGAGACTATATATATACCGGAACACGTTTTCAATCAAATTCAGTTGAAAGTTGCGCCTTGTTGTGTCCTCTTCTCTGCTTTTGTCCTCGTCTTTGTTACGCACAAGATTGTATAAGATGTCAAACCAACTCGCCCAAACAACCACTCTTCACACAAACCAAGCTATGTGTGAAGTTTGTGCTAGGCCTTTTTGGCTCAGATGAGCCAAAGAGGCCATTTATTTTAAAGTTATTATTAAACTTTGGATATAACCCTAACGCTGTGTAATGCTTCTCCATCATGCTCATCTGTGATGCTTGTTCGTGGCGATTTTTTCATTGAAAACAACCCATACAACATATGGTATGTTAAAAGCCTCGGACTTGCAACACAGCTCGTCTCCCTGTTGTTCTTGCCAGCTGTTGGGTGCCACCCCTGGTGCCATGGCTGAACCGACTCTTCCTGTGGGCGGTGTTTGCGCCGCCGAAGCAGCGGGTGGACCTGAGCCATCGGGTGTTCAACTACGAGTGTCGCTTCAAGCAGCATGTCAACGAGTGGTCCATCCCAAGGTGAGTCTGCTTCGATGCTCTTGTGGACAAAGCGCTGTGTTGCACTGGATACTGAGCAACAGTGGTGCATTTGATTATTGAGCCTAAGAACTGTTTGACGACAGGTGTGTGTAGGTTGGGCTAGGTTAGGTTAGGTTTAAGTTTAGCATCCCAAGGTGATCTGTTGACGAAGTCTGGTACACCGTGTGCTGGGCGGCAGTGGCGCATCTTATAGTGAGCCTAGAGAAGATTCGTGTGGTGACAACTGCATGTAGCTTAGACTAGATCAGGTTAGGTTAGCATAGCTTAGGTCGATTGCTTAAGTTAGATTTGGTAAACTTGGGAGGTTTTTATTAGACTTAGCTTATGTTTGGTGAACTTGTGTTAGGTCTGCTTAGCCAAACACCTTTGTTTATGACTTTAGCTTTTTTATTTTGGCAGTTAGTAAGAATTACACCAATTTTTTCTGTCGAGACCAGTTATAACGAAGTCAACGGGAATCGGAAATCACGTCGCTGTATCCGCTATTTCGTTGTAACCGAATTCGGTTTACGAAGTGCAAAACGGAATGGGAAATCGTGATTGCTTCGCTGTAGCCGCTATTTCGTTATAACCGACTTTGTTATAACCGGTCTCGGCAGTATATATTTGTTTATTATAAAAACCCCATAATGCCCTTCAGAAATTATAGTAGGGAAGGGCCAAAAAAAATTGGTGGCACGGAGGTACAATGAGCAAAGCGTACACTGCCTGCTGCAGATCACAAAGCAGGCCAAACCAGCGTAGAAAAATACTCTGAACACATGATCATGTACCAAACCAGCAATTTGTGGAAAAATTAATATGTCCGGCATGTTAACTCTTTCCTTACCGTGCCCATAGGTCATTGATCACCTGTGATTGACAGATAGCGCGCCGCCGATATTCAAATTTGCCGCGCTGGAACATGTTACTCCATCTTGGGGGTAGCCGAAAAACCATAGTTTTGTTTTCGATGTAGTTTCTTTTTTTCACGTGAGGTAGCGAATTATCAGCAATAAGTCACTGTCACGAAATAGAACCTACTGTTGTCAAAAAATGGCGTCGGGTGTGCATCGGGTGCTTCCAAAAAAGTGTTCTAAATCGCGTGATTGTCCTGCATAGGCTGCGGAATTTTTGAGTGAAGCGAGCAGTGAAGAGTTAGTTTTAGATGATGATATTGAATCATCTGATTTTACCGCTGATGGAACACAGCTTGTCAAATCAACCCAGAACTTCAAAAGGCGCTCGGAAGTGAGCCCCCTTCAAGCATGCATACCGGTCCTGAGCCAGTGCACCCGTTCTGTGTATGTTGACAATGCTTAATTTTATTTGCTTAAGGTCTTGACAACCTATAGACATTTTTCACAGGAGCGCCGCCATCTTGAACTGTCGTCACTTCCAGTATGGGCGACGAAAAAATAGTAAAACGTTTCAACCTGTAACTAGTAAAAAAATTGAGGGGAGCCAAAACGAAAATATGTGACGGTAAGGCTTATGTCCTAAATGTCTTCTATTGGCATGGTGACGGCAAAGTAATGTTTTCGTCCATACTGGAAGTGACAACAATTCAAGATGGCAACGCCCTTGCGGAAAAGGTCTATAGAAACAATATTCTGCCACCAACTCAGCATCGAGTGACGCTTTCACCTAGACTGCAGCCAGGGAAGTATTTCGGCATCGCGCTTCGTAGTGGCCCACACAGACTCTTGAGAGCACTGGATTTCTTCTTCCTGTCCTTCACCTCCGAGGTCCTTGAAGGGTTGTGCCAAGCCATTAATAAATATGCTTGGATGCATGTTCTTGAAAAACCAATGTATGCTCGACCGGACGGCTCCTGGGCAGGTGTGACATCCAGTGAGATGCAACAGTTTATTAGACTACTACCGTAGAATACCGCGCATCTGCCCATTCCACATTAAGCACCCATTACCAAATTTGTAAGATCTGAGAAAATATGGATAGTACATTTATATGTGAAGTTGATGACCGGAAAAGCGCCCATCCCCCATTTTTTTGTGATTATCTTCAAAGTATGAGTGGGCGCTTGCCTGGTATTTTACGGTAATCTACATGGGTATCATGGAGGTTCCTCGGCTGAACTTTTATTGGAATGTGGGGGCCCTCTTTAAAGGTCTTCTTCTTCCATGGGTGATGTCTATGGCACAGTTTTCTTCATTACTCGAGATGCTGCACGCGTCTGACCCGGACAATGTGCGAGTGTCAGGAGGCAAGTTTCGGAAAGTGTCTTGGCTGCTCCGTCACATCAATCAAACATCAGCAAGGCACTTCCAACCCCATCAGGACATGTCCGTCGATGAAAGGATGGTAAAGTCAAAAGCCCATTCCGGAATTAGACTTTCTCCGGGACAAAGAGACAAAGTGGGGCTAGAAGCTTTGGGTGCTGGCTGACTCGCAAACTGGATACACGATCGAGGTTTTCATCTACACTGGCAGGCGTGAAAGGCCAGGACCCAATGGTTCGGCTTTTGAGGTCGTCGGTGAGCTTTATGCTGAGTACCTTGACCAAGGCTACAAAGTTTTCATGGACAATTTTTATACGCCTACGCACCTTTTCGCCCACCTCCTCGACCGTCAAGCACTGGCTTGTGGAACAACGCGTAAAGGTCATCGAGGCTTCCCGGCGCAGCTCAAAGATTCAGAGGTGGGTGAGGGTAAACATTCTTTACCTCGAGTGGAAGGACACACGTGTGGTGAACATGATGAGCACTGTCCACACAGCCAGCAAGCACGTCCCTGCCCTGCGGAATGAGAAGTGAGGATACACATGGACTAGGTAGAAGAATTGTTAGGAAGCCCCCGCCAAATCGTGACTACGGTGCTTCGATGCTGGGCGTGGACGAGTCCGACCAACTCACTAGGTCACACAGTGGCCTGCGTGAACAGTTCTATTATTTTTCAAGTGCACCGTAAAGAACACCCGGACATCCCGTAGCTGACTTGGCCGGTGCCCGGTTTGACCAGCTGGCTTTCAGGGAGGAGCTGATCTGGCAGCTCTTTAATCGTGATGATGAGGAGCGAGTCTGCCCCGCCCCCAGGCCACCTGCAGCACAAGTCTGAAAAATTTGAGAAGCGGAGAAACTGCTAGGTGTGCTATGAAGAAACCAAGATTGAACATAAAATGAATGTGTCTTGCAGTACACATGTGAGGTGTACCTCCGTTTCACGACTGCACACAACTGCTTCATGGAATGGCTCAAGTGCCACAAAACCTAACTTGATGACTGAGCAAAAAAAAAACAGTTTCAGCTGGAGCGATCTAGCTTACGGAATCGGTACCTGGGTGTATGGGGCAGATTTCGTATATTCCGAATTGTTTTTATTCATAGTAAACTTTGATGTAGCCACACATTTTAAAACTTTTTTAATGTATTTATTTACAGTTTCAATTTTAAGTTCAGACATTAATATTTCCAGACCTTTGTATTCTATAACTTGGCACTTTATTTTATTTTAAAGGGAAACTAATTGGCTTCAAACCTTCAAAATGTTTTTTTTTTTTTTTTTCACAATAAGGAGAAAGTTAAAAGGGTACTACGACAAGATTTCGGTGCTTATTGCTTGGTCTATACGTGTTCATGGGAGGAGTACCACATCGGACACACCAATCTCTTGTTGAAAAAGACACGAAAGGGAATTTTAAAACAAATTAAACGATCAGCAAATGGCACCTGGTGGATGTTGCTAAAGCCTTGTTTGTGATGCCCGTCTAGGAACACCGACGGGTAGTGACGACGCCCGTCTCGCTTTGAACTATTTGTGACTTGAACTTTCGGCTACCACGAGAGAAGAGGGGAAGGAGGAACTCCCTTCTCTCCGGGACCCTTTTTTGTGTGTCTCAGACTTGCACAGACGTCGCTATTGTCCCTCTACTAGATTGTTGAAGATTAACCCGTCACTCGAAATTCATACAAATACAGCTTTTTGGTTAGTTGCGGTGGAATTGCCTGCGCATTAGAATTGGATATGAAACTGAAATGGGGGCACATTGGAATCATTCATCTTAGGCATAAAAACTGGATTTGAGTTAGAATCGGGTAACTATGGTATTTGAAAATGTCAGTTTTAAATTTGAAAGGCCTTATCTCCCAAGAGCAATTTCCAATAAACCTGCGATCACTCCATGATCACTTGACTTTTAGTTTCTCTTTAGAATGCTTCATTACGTGTCAAAACCGATGTGCCTGTTATTTCTTCTGGGAGTCTGCCAGTTACGTTTCTCTGGATCTCATCTCTTGTTGGTTGCTTGCAGGGAGAAGACTGCCTTGGCTCTATGGAAGCTCAAAGAGTGGATTGACAACACACCGGACACGTACGTGCATATTCCAGTGGAGGTTCGGTTTGTGCGCCAGGATGACATCTTCCTCAGCCCAGCGTGTGGACGTGACTCGTGCTACATCAATGTCATCATGTACAGGCAAGTTGGGATCAGTTCGACGAGTGGATTGATTATAATTGATTAATCCGTGTCTTAGCGCTTTCCCAAAGAGCCAAACGACCAAAGAGGTTGTGCAGTGGCTTGAGGAGGATTTTGCTGCTTTTTCGCAGAATGTGATGTGATGGTGTCATGTGATATCACTCTGTTACATGACGTCACACTGTCATGTGATATTGACGTCTCGCGTGATGTCACAGTGTTACATGATGTCCTGGTGCCAACATAATGTCATGTGATGTCACTGTCTCATGATGTCCTGGTGCCATATGATGTGATGTCAGTGTCACATGAGATGTGATGTGATGTGATGTTACGGTGTCACAGGATGTCCTGGTGCCACATGATGTGATGTCACAGTGTTGTGTGACGTGACGTCACAGTTTCCTCGCTATATTTAGCGGGGAATATCTACCTTAAATTCCAATAGAAAGTGCTGCTTGTTAAGAGCTCCATTTAACTCCATTCACAGTTTAACTCTGAAGAAAAAAAAATCTTCTGTTGCCTAAATTAGTTATTTTAACAATTAAAGGGGCTAGGACACAAAAAATCAAAAGGGTAGATTATTCTTGAAATGGAATGCTCATAGGCTAATTAGTATATTTACACCAAGCTTCACGATTTTTAGAGTTCTAATAATTGCAAGAATCAATTCACGAATTTCAATCATGTTCATCTGGCGACCAGGCAGCGCTGTCTAAGTTAGTTGCACTATGGCGCCCATTAAGAACATGATCATGAACGCTCTTTCATTCTAGGCACCCCCATGATCGCCCAAGCTCGCCTCGTCACGGTACAATCAAAACCTCTCGCGTAACTCAGCTACTCAAACTTTATTCTTGCTCTCGCCCTTGGCCCTTTGACCTTCTACCCTGTATGCACCTGCGAGATCGTCACGGATGGATGCGACCATGGCGAGTTTGTCAGTGACTAATCTTCTCTGGAGCTGGTCCCCAGCAAGGTCGCAGTCAAAATTACCAGCTTCCAACATCTCAATAACAATCAGTCTCATCGATGCTGCCATCAGTGTCGAAGACTTCGACGAAACGAGCGGTGATGTAATCGTCAGGAACTGCATGCTCGAAACATGAAAGTTAAACGAGGAAGCTGAAGCTTGAGACATCAAGAGAGACAAGTCTGTGAGCGCGTGCAAAGGGACGGCACGCGTTGGGTTGAGGACGTCGCCGACTCAACAGCCACCGGCCTTTTCGGACATGGCGAATCCGAGGGTCTCTGCATATGAATTGTTTTATCCACGAAACTATTGCGCCAGTTTCAAAACAAATTTAGCAGAAATATAGGAACATACTATGCGTCCTAGCAGTATACTGGTTACCATATTTTCTGGACTATAAGTCGCACCCTTGTATAACTCGGACTTGCGTAAATTGAGCCGTTTTCGCAGAACAGTTTGTATTTAAGTCACACCTTTATATGAGTCACACCTCTTTGCATAATTCAAGGGATAAATTAGTTCGTTCTGCTCGTATCGGTATTCCAAAATTGGAGTTTGGTACAATCGGCTAGTTCACGCGTACAGTTAGATGCGCTACAACTTCGACGTTTTGGCTCATGAGAAATGTCTAAAGCATGGCATCGTCTGCCGAGAACAGTCGAGTGTTTCATAGCAAAAGGAAGTGAAACATGCATAATGAGAGGGTAGTCGACTTTATTTGAGTGTACACATGCTCAGCGAATGAAAGATTAACATGCCAAACACTTGCGAACCAACCTTTGGACCACTCGGCCTAACCTATAGGCCAAGTCATGGAGACGGCACAATCATCAACGCGTAGGCAGATAGATAAATTATGACACAACCGGTAAAAGATCAGCTAGTCGCAATCCTTCCTTTTACATGTAGCAGCACAGTTGGAGCATGGCAGATAAAAACTGTTCATCAAACGGAAACTAATAAAGACACGAGAAAATTTCCTGCAATGCGTGCGTACCAGCCAGCTTACCTGTCAGTGTTACTGGACTGAAGCAAAAGAATACAGAACCATGGTTGAATTAGGCAACGTCAATCACATGCTGTATGCGCTTTATTCTCACTGTCTTGCCTATCGAGATTGAGCCTCTTCGGAGAAACCGTAAACTTTCTCGCTGTCCGAGCCAGTTATGAAAAGTGTAGAAAAGTGCGACAACAGCAGTGCCTCCTGGAAGGGGCAACACCACCTATGACTACATAGTTATGGTGCTCTATGAACGATGGCGTGCAGCGCATGAAAAAACGTCGCACCATGACTAAAACAAAAACGCATATACCGTAATATCCCGAGTCATCGCCCATCCCCGAGCCATCGCCCACCCCATTTTTTGGGCCAATATCGATTTCCGAAAAAGCACCGAGTCATCGCCCACCCCTTCAAATACCTCAGCGTGGACTCTCCGATTTGCGAACACTCATCCTACCCGAATGACGCGGCCGCGGACCTTACAGTTGGAGGACGTCCGTGACAAAGTAAAACGAAGGAGGGAAAGACACTTCTTTTTGTTTACGCATTTTTCATGAGCTACCCCAAAGTGGTCGTGTATCCGTGCGAGAAGAGAACGATGGAGATAACAAAATAAGAGTTTGTTCATGTAACCGCGGAGTGTTAGGTCAAAGTCTGTCTCCGCCGAAGTAAGGTCACCGCGAACCCGCTCCTTCTTCCCGCCCTTCTCGACAGCGGTTGGGCAATATTTTAGGCAAAGCCAACACGTAAATAAAGCTTTGCTGGAACGCCCTACACAGACGTTTGCAGAGCGTCCCAACCGTGCATTGATAGCCCGCCGTGCACGGATGCACGTATGTACGCACCAAACAAGAAAGTTGCGCATGAGCTTGCAATTGACAAGGCGCCCGACTTGGCCCGACGCCAAAGTATTTGCCAACGCGACCGCCGGCTTTCCCGCTTTCCCAGCATTGCTCTTGGTCGCTTCTTTGGTCCGCTCGCTCGCTCGTTGCGCCTGGTCGGTTTTTCTATTTTCTTGTAGACTTTTCTTTCTTTTTTTTTTTGACTAACTAGGAGAACATAGTGGTGACTTTCTTTCACGGAACAAACGTTCGCGCTATATGCAGATCGGCGGTGTTTCTAGCGCGTATGCAAGTAACGGACTTCGTTATAGTAAAATATTCTTTCGTGAGCACTTTTTTTCTATAAAACAATGAAACTAAATCGAGTTTTGAGTTTGATGTATCTCTTGTGCATCAGCGCTAGATACGCAGAGAAAAATAGGCGGTTTTTTCTGCTTTTTTTCAAGTGTTTGTGCTCACCCACCGAGACATGGCCCACCCCACTTTTTTAATGAATTTCAGGCGGTAGGGGGGTGGGCGATGACTCGGGATATTACGGTAAGTCGCATTGTTGTATAAGACGCACCAAGAAGAATGTTTGAAAAAAACCGCAATGCGTACACCGGGAAATATGGTATCTGATATTTTATTTTTGCCGTGTCCTAACCCCTTTAAATAATACTGCAGTGAAACCTCCATAGGATTTTCTGAAATTGATCTTCTCCTTGTCAGTTGGAGGCTTCTCTTAGCGCGGCTTTCCTGAACACGGGTGAACTTGCTGTAATTATAAATGGACTGTAATATATTAGTTTTCTTTTTAACTAAATGCAGGAGTCCTTCTGTATATCGAGATAAGGGTTTACTTTGCACATGCCTCGCACTAGCCTCACCTGTAGAGTCCCCAATCTCGTAGCGGGTTGTGGAGAACATAGCGGGATGGCAGAAACTATCCGTGAAAACTCCCTAATGTGGGCACTTCGCTCTGATTCTGAGTGAGCTGCACTACCCCATTCTGTCATGGGATTGGCCAGAAACGTCGATCGACAATTAATTTGTTGCTACAAATATTTTTTTTTTTTTAGAGGGCTGCTCGAAAGGTTTGCCAACGTTAGAAGTGTCGAGCTTTCTTTAGATGCCAAGCTTTCTAACTTGTTGAGCCGACGTATTCCGTGAACTTTGAGCCTTTTATGCCATCCAAGGGCTGGCTCACATATTAGCGTTTGAGATCGAGCGAGTGCGTCGTGTCCGCACGTAATCGCCGCTCACAACGGCACCACCCGACAGGCAGCCCTGGAACAATTCCGACCTGTTTAAAACTAGACCGAAGGCTTCGTAGTATTTGCGAGATCAAACCACACACTGTCTACAAAAAATGGTTGCCTATAATGTTGTTTGAATTATTTGTGGTCCACGCCGAGGACGGCGCGTAAGAAATTGGGAAATATCTGCGCTGGTCGGAAGTGTTCCAGGGCCAGCCCATAGATGGCGCCGGTGGGCCAACGTGTCCTCTCGTCGTGAGTGGTCGTGAGCGAGTAACACGCACCCAGTCACTCTGAAATGCAAATTTCACGTGGGCCATATCTCGATCCAGGCCTTACGGTAGGACGGTCCCCCACGAGCGTTACTGGGCAGCCTACGAGGGAATCATGAGAGGCCTTGGTGGCAGACCTCACTGGGCCAAGGTGAGTGTAGTCTCCTTGCACTAGCCGCGCTTTCCGGCGACCGTGAAAGGTATGACTGCCCAACCAAAGTGCCACTTTCACCCGCAATTTCCTTGAGTGGAGGAGCGGGCAATGAAGATCAAATTTAATCTGCTCTGACCGGTTCTGGAATTTCGGGCAAATTTAAGTCGTTACATGGGCAGAGATTGAGGGTGAGGAGAAGACGGGTGTGCGTGGGGACGTCAGAACACTGACCCCCGGTTCGAATGATTAGTGGGTAGATGTAAAGTTAGCTGCCTTTGTCCCCACTGCACCCTTCAAGCGCATAAGAACATGGAATGCCGGCATCTGGTGTTTGCGTTCAAACGTGTTCGACGGGTGCAGTGGAGACAAAGGTAGCTGGCTTTAGGTCTACCCACTAACCATTCCAACCAGAGCTTGGCATTCTGACGTCCCCGTGCACACTCGTCTCCTCCTCTCCCTCATTTTCTGCCTGCATACTTAGGGTGACCAAACGTTTCATTTTAGAGGTTCATACTGGCCGTCTTAACGGGATACTGAACCACAATTTGGATTTTACAAAATAAGGCCGCAGAAGCGTTGAAGGGGACGCTACGAAGTCTAAAACATCACTCATACATTGATATCTCAAAGATGGCCATACTTTTGGATAAGAAGGGCGCGGTCAAGGGAGGTCTTTGACGTCATTGTCCTTTGGGAGAATTTGAGAATGAGGGGAAGCAGCCTCGCTTCTCTCCTCCCCGCTTCGGTTCACCAGCTTGACGGGACGTAGCGAGGAGGAGAAGGAATGGGGGGAATTGTGACGGGACTTGTCTCGTCGGCCGTGTTCAGTCGCGCACTTTTTTTACAAAATACAGCGATCCGTTAGCGATATCGCTGTATGAGTGATGGTTTTGGGTTTTGCAGCGTCTCGCCTATCCGTCCAGCCTTGCTTTGTTAGCTCGAAATTTCGGTTCAGTATCCCTTTAAAGCCGAATGTCCCATATGCGAGGGAACGTGCAAAATCATTGTCACGCGAATGGAAGAAAAAAAAAAAGCTTCTTCATGACAGTGTATGAAATAAATATGGTGCCAAAACGTTATCTCCAGTAGAGCATGCTTTTGGCTTTTTTCTCTGGCTTTACTGGCCAAAAAGTTTTGTTGCACAGACATGTGCATGGGGCGCTCTTTTATATTACTAAATTTGGCATGCTTGGGGTCTGCAGAGTGGGTGAGAAAGGTGCTTGTGTATTGAACTACTCAACGAAAAGCCCCAGAATAATGTGCATTTTCAAGGTGTACTGAGTAGTATCATAGCTGCTTTTTTCTTTCATCATCCTTCTCCCCCCCCCACTCTCTTTTCCCTTTCCTTTGATGTCCCGTTTTCTACTTTAAAGAGCATGGTCACCGTACACATACTGGTCATTATATCTAGGGTTTTATACCTAGGCTCGAGCCGGTTTTATACACAAGCGGGAGAAAACAGGTAATCGTGAATGAGAAATATTTATGCTTCACAGGAAGTTATCTTTATCTACAGCTTTATTTTGTGTTGATCTGGAACACGGCGTGTGCTGTCGGCGAGGCTCCTTTCTTCGGAACCCCGTGTTCCTTTATCATATCTCCTTTTTTTTTTTTTTTTTTTCAACATCAGATTTGATAAATGCCTTTTCTACATCTGACAGCGAAAAACACCAATTGTGTGGGGAAGAAAAAAAAAAAAAATCTCCAAAAGACATCGCCAAATTCAAACTCCTTTTGAATTTGGCGATTGTCCTTTTTATCCCTCTTTTGTTCGAATTACTGCAATGTTCCAGATGTCTCGAGAATCTTGTTGTTTCTTCGAGCTCGGAAACTCCTAGATACCCACGCGCGTACTAAAGGAGTTTTGCATGGCTGCTTGAGGCTGTGTCCTTCCGCCGCCATCAAGTGTGCATGGTCTTTGTTACTTTACTTTTCTCGGCACAAGTTTGCCGCATTAAACGTTCATTTTTTTTTTATTTGTGAGTGTATAATAAAGTAAAAGTATGTGGAACCAGCTTGTGCAGTTTTTGCAGTGAAAGTTTGTAAGAAACGCGCAACTGTGAATTTTCCGCATTTTGATGCACTTTCGTCATTAAAAAAAGAAAGAAATTGTAATTTTTTTTATTTTAAAGCACAAAAAAATGTTGTATATAAAAATATAAGAAATATAGGTTCTTATTGTGTAATGAAGTAGTAGTATGTGGAGCCAGCATGTGCAGTCTCTGCAGTGAAATGTTTGTAAGGAATGCACAGCGGTGAACTCTCTGCATTTTCATGCTCTTCATAAAAAAAAAGTTGTCACTTTTCTACCTAAAACACGCAAAAAAATGTTTGATTTATGTAATAAATTCTTATATTTAATTTATGTAATAAAAATATTAAAACAAAATTCGGTTCTTCGGTTCGGGAGATTTATTATTGTATGATGAACTTGGTAGTATGTAAAGCCAGCTTGTGCAGATTTTGCATTTTGTGCAGTTTTTTAATTTTCATGCTCTTCATAAAAAAGAAAGTTGTCATTTCTTCAACCTAAAGCACGCTAAAAATATTTTTGATATTATATTTTTATATTTGATTTATAAAATAAATTTTTATATTTAATTTAAATGTTAAAAAGATGTATATAAAACAATTTTGGTTTGGATGATCTATTATTTTTTTAACGAAGTAGAAGTGTGTTGAGCTAGCTTGTATAATTTTTGCAGTGAAATTTCGTAAAGAAAGCGCGGCTGTGAACTTCCTGCATTTTTATTCCCTTTCGTTATAAAAAAAAGTGTAATTTCTTCCACCTAAAGCGCGCAAAAAAGTATTTGTTCAAAACATTTTTTATTGTATTTTTTTTTCATTACCACGTGGAACACACATTATTACATTTTTCAACGACAATTTTTTTCAGCTGCAGTCAGATCTCTCGTGCGGTGTGGGCACCGTTACGGGCTCCATGCGCGCGCTTGTAGCTTCGGCTGCGCTCGCACCAAAGCTGAAACGAAGTATAGTTGAGTTGCACCAAACTCTGGATGTAGCGCTGGTAAAGCCTCACCGTCCTTTTCGGAGCACAAAGCACTGTGCGACTCGCGCGACTGCGGTGTCTGCTCCGCGGGTGTCGCTTCTCTGCAGCGCGTTGGTGCATGCCAAGGAGCGCACTCAACGGGTTAACTCGCCGTGATCCGATCGTGACTTCGCCAGCACATCGAAAATGAATCGGAATTTTTGGAGCGAATATCAGATACCGCAATATTTGAAGCTGCTGCCCGAAAGACAACTCTAATCTGAACTAAAACATTTCACAACAGTTAGGGTCGTTAGATGCTGCTGCCGAACGTTTACCTTCAACTGCTGTAGATACCTTAAAAGAAGTGCAGGCTGATAAAACTAAATATCTTGTACCATCAGAACTCAGTGTGACATATTTAATTGTATTTTTTTTATCTGACGAGCAGATGAACTTTATTTAATTTTTTTTTGTGTGTTTACTTTGTTGAATTTCATATATCCTGTCTTAAAAAGGCGACAGGCGCTGTGTTCCAATAATGGAGATGGGCTTTATATAGTAATGCAGCATTATTTCATTTTCAAGTAATATGCCAACGTATGCCGGACCCTGCTCCAAAAGGGCCACTACCTGCTCCAAAACAATACTTTGCGTGCTACAAGGCCTGCTCCAAAAGGTCAAATGGCACTTCCATCACTGCAGTCTATCATTTAAGAGATAGAGACATTCCTCATGTTCGAAAAATCTGGTGATCCCTGGTCCCAATCACCCTTTTTGTCCAAGAACACTGCAGTCGGAGGGCATCTCGTCGGAAATAAAGCGAATTCTAGGAGGTGTGCGTTAGCTATTATGGGGAAAACGCGAGGGACGATCTTTTGGGAAATTCATTTTGTAGCTTCGTTGTCGTAAATAATTTGTATGCATCAGCGCGTTTATAGCTCACAAAACGGCTCGGCTTTCTTCTTTTTTTTTTTTTTTTTGAAAAAAAAAAAAGCTTCGATGAATTAACAGGGGTGTTTCTTCGTGATATCGATGGAGTTGCCTTCGGAATATTAGTATTATTTATAGGGATGCCGCGAACCACCCGAGGTTCGATTTCGAAAGGTTTCGATATTTTCGAACCGAACTGATGTTCGAATTCGAAAGGTTTCAATATTTTCGACCGTACGGAGAATCGAATTCGAAAAATTCGCAACTTTCAAAAATCGTGGAGTTTCGAATTCAAAAAGTTTGAAGCTTTCACGGTTTCTAAAAGTTCGGGTTCGATTATTTCGAACATTTTTTTACTTGAGGTTCGAGAAATTCGAAGATTTCGAACTTTCCCTAACTTGAAATTCGAATGTTTCGAATTTCTTTGGATCTGAAATTCGAAAAATCGAACGTTCGAATTTTTATAGACAAAGTTTGATAAATTCGAAGATTTCGAATTTCTTTCTACATAAAGTTCGAAAAGTTCGACGCTTTCACGGTTTCTAAAAGTTTGGGCTCGATTATTTCGAATATTTTTTTACTTGAGGTCGAGAAATTCGGAGATTTCGAACTTCCCTAACTTGAAATTCGAGAGATTCGAATGTTTCGAATTTCTTTGGATCTGAAAATCGAAAAATTCGAACGTTTCCAATTTTTATAGACAAAGTTTGATTAATTCGAAGATTTCGAATTTCTTTCTACATAAAGTTCGAAGGTTTCGATTTTCTTTTAGCGCTAAATTCGAAAAAAAGAACGAAAAAAAACTTAGGTTTCGAATTTCTTTCAAGTCCAAGTGAGCAAAGTTCGAAGTCCGGTTTTCATGTTCCGCCACAGTTTCAGTTTCAAATAAAGGCCCGTTCACACTCTTGCGACCTGGTAAGACCGAGAGAGACCAGACCGGTTTTTAACCCTCTTGCGATCTCTTAGGACCAGCTCCGCCAAAGGCTTAAAAAACGGTCTGGTCTCTCTCGGTCTTACTCGGTCCCAAGAGTGTGAACGGCGCTAAACGTTTTCACGCCTCACTGGTTTTCACGAAATCAGGTTTAGAAATGTTCGGGTGTGATATTTAGACTGCGCGAAGTTGGTCAGGCAATTAAATGGGACGACGAGTGTCCCGGATGTGCTGGATTATTTGCCAGTGCAGAGTGGCATGTGCAGATCAGTAATTGTGACCGCCAGCCCGGGGGGGCGGGGGGGTGGGGGGGGGGGGGGGGGGGCAGAATAAAAACACCCTGTATATATTATTTTTTTTTCCTGAGTTAATTTATTCCTCAACATGAAAATAACAATATATACATTAATTTGTATTCTGCAGATGTTAATGATATGTACTGTCCGTGGTGTTAATTTAAATGCGATACCTCAAACAATTAAGACGAAAAAAATTACCAAGTTTAGGGCATAATTGCCCATAGATACATGTTTGGATATTTCTTCGAAACTCGTCTTGAAGAATAGGAATCATATCTTAAGACTACACTTACCTAGGCTATACATACATCATTCTTAAAAAGTTTAACATCTCTACCATAAATATCTTCGGCTATAGCGCGCTTCAAATATGGTACAAACGACACTTGTCAAAGACCCGTCGTCCTTCTCCTTCGGGAATCTATTTCTTTAAAACCAAGCATGCCAGACGATTGAAATAAACGGCATTGTCTTTCGCAAGTAATGCGGCGCCACATGTAAAAATGTGAGAAAAAAAAAATTACAAATGTACTTCACAGCTTGAATCCAAATGAAACCGCCCGCCCGTCTTTCGCAGTTCGTCGAACTTTTGACTTTTCAGGAATCGGAAGTTCGACAATTTTCGAATTCTTTAGATTAATAATTTCGAAAGTTCGAAAATGATCGAATTTCTTAGCGTAGGAAGGTCGAAAGTTCGAAAAGCTTCGAACGTTTTAGTGCAAGAAAATCGAAAGTTCGAAAATCATCGAAATTTTTAGTCTATCAAATTCGAAAGTTCGACAAACATCGAAGTTTGCAGCGTAATAAGTTCGAAATTTCGAAAAGCGTCGACCTTTTTACTTTAGCAAGTTCGAAAATTCGACTTCCGTCGAATTTCTTGATATGGAAAGTTCGAAAATTCGAAATCTTTCGAACCTTTCGAACCGCTTGATTCGATCATTGAACTTTCGAATCGGAAAAAGTTCGCGGCATCCCTAATTATTTACGTATTTGTATCATAAATAGAGTAGAAGGACAGGCCGAGGCTGCACATATTAAAGTGCTGGATATTACAGTTCAGTTTTAGGTACCGCAACCAGAGGCGTAGCCACAAATATTTTTCGGGGGGAGGGGTTGGGGGTGGGGGGGGGTGCTGGGATGGCTGGGGTGTCTATGACGGAGAAGGGGGGATGGGGGGTCAAAATGCATTTGTATAGTATAGGGTCGGCTAGATTTTAGGCTCCCTTCCATGGCTACACTCCTGACCGCCGCCCTCCGACCTTGTCGCAATTTTTGGCTTACTGTGCGCTTCCCTTGACAAGCCTGTGCGCTCCTATTTGTTTGTGTACTCCTTTTCAGTTCGACTGCGCGCGCTCTTCTCTTGGTCTAAAACGGTTGCCAGCGGCGCGCCATGTTTGCGTGCGCGGCCCTATTGGTCTGTCGTAGTTGCCGGCGTCGCGCCTCCATTTCTGGATCTAGCGCATGCCATCATATCCAAGCGCGAAAACGCAATCTCTTGCCGTTTTTTTTTTTTTTTTTTTACGTCGGCCTATTAGTTTACTTGTTTGACAGACTTTGTTTTCGAGATTCTTGCTTGCCATGTAGCGCCGTTTCTGTTGTATTAAATCCCCGGTTACTTTCGGCCTTCAATCCGGGAGTGGAAAGCTTTTGCCTGGGAGGTAGTCACACTTGCGCGTTTTTCTCGTTCCAGGCCCACCACGTGACTGGGAAGGAGTTCCACTCCATGTACCGCAACTTCGCGAGATGGTGCGACATTCGCCGACAGATGGACCCACACGACATGTTTGTCAATTCATACGTGGAGAGGATTTTAAGCTCGTAGTCTGCTCATTTGGTCATTGAGGGGTTAGAGACGTACAATCGGGTATAGGAATGAAAAGCGAACAGCGGAGCGCGTGGCCTTCGATACACGCTGCGCAACCTAAAGGCAACTGGAGACAATCGCAAGCATGGCTCCTCACTGGTGCCCCGTGCGTGCAAGCATGTGCAGCGTGCGCGTGAACGTAGCTTCGGAAAGCTTGTAAATGCACGCACTTGCCAGCATGAGCAGAGACATGGCGGCGGCCAGGTGCCCCGCTTGCAGTCGTCTATGGGACCAGGGCTGTGAACAGGAGGCTCCTCGGTCGGCTGCTAGTTAGCGCCTTTAGTGGCAAAAATGGGCGACTTTGGGAAGGCCTAACCACCGAACGATTGGTCGCGAGCTCTGCGTCAGGGTTCGGCAAGGCACTCGGACTTTCGAGCTCGAGATCGGGTCCAGTGATTGCGGCGGCGGGCCGTCTCAGAGTTGCAAAAAGCCTTCATAAGATGGCGCCACCTGTCGAACTCTGAGACGGCAGCCAATTGACTACTTCCATAAAGCCCTGCATGCAACACGGCGCGCGTTGTACTCTGGGAACTAGTTGGCCAGAGAGGAGGGTGGCATGGTTTCGGTTTCGATCGACACGTCGACAAGAGATGGTTTTCTGGTCCCGAGAGCGTCATTTGTGGTCTCTAAACTAACCTAAATGGCCAGGCCTCGAAGCTTTAGCACAAGCCTGAGACGTATAGCTTGTCTTAACACATGCTTGTTGTATTTTTGTACTTGAGCCTTCCTGTTAGCGTTCCAATTGAGGTATGTGGACGAGCCAGTGCTGGGAATCTCGACGCTGCGAAGCTCGGGGATCTTGCTTGTGTACGATTCAACAAGCTGTAGCAACCAATAGGTATGCATACATCGAGCTCGCGCCTTTACATTAGTGTTGTTGATCAGGAAGTTTGTTTGTTTCGTGCGTCCATAGACGAAATATTACTTTTTGTAATTACTGTATTTCATAATATGCCTGAGTATGCGAGGTAAAACTCGGAGGCGCCATTGAAAAGCTCAATTTTGACACACTTCTTATCTCTTATCTGTACTGACCCCTCAACACCGCACGAAGTGAAGTCCCCACTTGCTTGCATTCCATTGATATTCAACACCGCGTATGCACATAAAGTTATCCTGCAATCATATAGGCAAATTCGCACATACGGACCGTTTTGAAAAAGCAAAAGTCGAGCACTTGTGTGAAGAATGTCGCACCGTTCCCCGGAAGTGCGCCGGACGGGCTTGGACCCCCATGCGCACCGCATAGGGGTTCATGCCCGTCCGGCGCGCGGTGCTACATTCTTCATACAAGTGCTCGAACGAATTCAGAGCGCGTTTGACGGTTGCTAATGGCCATAATATTTGTTTTGTGTTTGTTTTTTTCCTGCCTGAGTATGCCGAGATAATTTCAGACACCGTTCAGGCGCAGATCTTGGGCGTCAGTAAAAGCTCGTCCAAAAAGGCTTAGCGAGGAGTAGGGGACGCTTGTTAGGGCCTCCGTCGTAGCTAGCCGATCTCAGCGTTTGCGAGAAGTTAATCTTCTACCAGCATAAAATTCGAGTGGGAGATATATGATGACACGAGGAAGACATCATAGTAACTTTTGTACAGTAGTGAGGTCGAATTTATTGCGTTTCCTTAAAAGTTCATGCGTAAACGCTGGGCTCAACTTCGATACCCCGTGAGGATGCGGCTTTCTTTTCGCCCAATGAAGTAACAAGAAACGGACGTTTGGCAAACAAAATACGTATAAGGCTCCAGATGGACAAATTTCAGTTGTAGTTGACTGGTACTAGACGGGATTATTGAAATTGAGCTCAAACATGCACTCGTGGGGTGAGGTGACAAAGCCACGCCTTACTACGTTCGCATACGCACGCACACTATCCGGTGTTTCGGGAACCAAGGAAAGTGCCCCGGTCTTCGTTTTGTATCGCTCGAGAATGAGTGTATTGTACGTTCGTGAAAAGTCAGATAATCGAAAACGCAAGCAGCGCGTTCGGTCGCGGCGTGATAGCATGAGATGAAGCTGCTCAGTCGAAACCGAAACTGAGTGGCCAACTAGTTCCCAGAGTGCACTGCGTGGTATTTCGCCGCGATGGGGCGCGTCGGTTTTGGAAGTAGTCCATGCCAGAAGCACGAGAGCTCGAGGTCGCTGCTTTGAAGCGTTCTTCCGCAGGACGAGCGCTCGCGCCATAAATGTGTTTCAAAGCCTAGAGCGCGGGGTAGCTCGCGCTTGTAGCATTGGCTGCAGCGCGGACTTTAGGAACTCATAAAACTGCGTAGTAAAGAGAGACAGACGGAAGAGGCGGCCAAGGCGGCCAACACCTGAGTAGGCGCGCATCCTCGCAGCCCCCTTTCCACGATGCATTTTTTTTCAATTAATTCTTAGCTGCTTTTAGGTAACGCGAACATGTATCGTAGGCCACGCTCTCCGCTGTTCGGATTGCATTCGTACTCGATAGTATATCTGACATATAATTCCTGCATCTGAAGGCCTTATTCATTTCAGTTTTTTTTTTTTTTTTTTGGTTATGCTTTAAATATTTTATTAATCCCTTTGAACTGAACCCTATTGGGTCCGGCAGCAACCATCTTTTACTTTTTGTTGGTTAAGTTATCGTTTTTCCCCCAAAATCGTCATATTATTGTATGTGTGATGCCAATGCGTGGTATGCAGAACAAGGTCATTCTTGGCAGGTTGCAATTCAAAACGTGTGCCTTGATAATAATTTCTTAAACATTGCTGCACTAACATTTTCTTTCTTTTTTTCGGGGGACATATTTTGAGATTTTTTCTTTCTTCCTTTCGTTTTTCCGTCGTCACCGCAGTCTCGGTTACTTCTGCAATGATGAACCTACACCAGCTCACTTGCGCCCTCACGTTTTGTGGTTTTAAAGGTCTGGATATTTCCTGCCGGTGCCATGTAGAATCTACTTTCCAACTCGCTGAAGTATCTTCTGAAAAGTATTTTTGTAGAATTTGTTTAAAGACCCTAGTATGGTGACGTCAACGTCGTGTCCAAAAGAGTGGGAACGTCGATAAACGCCTTTAGGTAAATACTCAAATAAAATTGTTTATACAAAAACGTCCTTGTGTTGATTTAATGGATACTGGTTTTCAGTTCCTGTTGGCCGCAGACTACTATGGCTCAAATTATCTGGCTACAAGTCATACGGGAAGGACGCGCAAGACAAGACACTGGTCACGACGATGGTGAAGAGGAACATCCCGGTCATAGAGCACGAAACCGGGGTATCCACGGTTGATCACGTCCTGATCGAAATCATATCGCACGAAAAGAAAGACAGGCGCAGCATCTTCGTCTTGAACGTTTACAGCAGCCCCTCGAAGAGGCCCAGATTCGCCTCCCTTTTCAAGGCGACTACGAACATCGCAAAAGGGCAGACCCTTCTTGTCGCGGGGGACTTCAACGCCCCACACCCGAATTGGGGGTATCAAGTTGAAAGAATCAAAGGGAGGAACCTGTGGAACGACTCGCACGAGTACGGCCTCTCTCTCATCACCGATCCAGACCAACCGACGCGGCGGGGTAACCACAGAAATCAAGAAACGACCCCAGATCTTACTTTTGTAAAAGGCACCGAAGACCCTCTGTGGTCCAACACGTGGGAAGATCTCGGGAGCGACCATTTCGTCCTCTGCATCACGACTGCAGCGGGACCGGCAAAGCCGAAAGGCAAGCGGTGCAAGATCACGGAATGGGACGCGTTCAGGGAAATACTCAAGGAATACGGAACCGAAGACATTGTAAATATCGAAGAGTGGTCGGAAAGCCTTAGAGCGGCAGCCGAACGGGCGACCAAGGTCGTTCCCGAAGAGGCGAACGTGACGGTGGCGGACAGCCGACTGCTACACCTCTGGGAGGCAAAGGCGAAGCTGGAGCAGAGACTGCGAACCCAGAAGGGAAACAGGAGCCTGCGCAGAAGAATAGCTCAACTCAGCAGGACCATAGAGGCGCATGCTAACCAAGTCACGTCGCAGCAGTGGCAGGACACGTGCGATGGCTTCGACGGGCAGCCGAACGTGCCTAGGACGTGGAACATCTTGCGCCACCTGCTCGACCCGGAGGGTAACAAGACTGCGCAGAGAAACAAGTTGTGCGAAATCATCAGGAGGCACGAAGGGGGAGAGGCGGACTTGATAGAAGACGTCCGGAAGCGATACATCGGCGACTACCCGAGAAGACCGCTAACAACCTATCGTGGAGAGGCGAACGCCCTCCTCGGCGAAGACATCACAGAATACGAAGTCGCGGACGTCATACGCGGCCTCAAGACCAAGTCGGCCCCCGGTCCCGATGGCGTCACAAACAAGATGCTTCGAAACCTGGACACGGAGGCGGTCGCAGCAGTAACGCGATTAATGAACAAGTGCTGGCAGAACGGAAAAATACCCAGGCAGTGGAAGGCGGCGAAAGTGGTCATGATTCCCAAGCCGGGGAAGAGGCCCCAGCTTGATGCGCTGCGCCCCATCTCCCTCACCTCGTGTGTGGGAAAACTGATGGAGCACGTTATCCTAAACAGACTGAACAACTACATGGAACGAAAACAACTCTTCCCACACACCATGATCGGATTTCGACCACAGCTATCAACGCAAGACATCATGCTCCGGCTCAAGCATCAGATCATAGACGGTGAGCAGAGTTCGCGCCTAGACACGAGAGCGATACTAGGGCTTGACATTACCAAGGCCTTTGATAACGTCAAGCACGACGCCGTTCTCGAGAACCTGGAAATGCTCGGAGTGGGCGCTCGCACGCACGATTACATTCAGGATTTTCTCAACGACAGAACGGCGCAAATCTCGATCGGAGGCGCCACGTCAGACGACATCATGCTAGGAGGAAGAGGTACGCCCCAGGGCTCGGTCCTTTCACCGTACCTCTTCAACGTCGCCATGATCGGACTTCCAGAGAAGCTAGAAGCGATCGGCGGATTACACCACAGCATTTACGCCGACGATATTACGCTCTGGGTGACCGGCGGCAGCGACGGTTTCATACAAGACACGCTGCAAGAAGCGATTCGGGCGGTGGAAAGTTACGTCGAGCCAAGGGGCCTTGCCTGCTCCCCGCAGAAGTCCGAACTCCTCCTCCTCAAGCCGGTCCGTGCCCGCCAGCTGCCGTCGGACATCGAGCTGTACGCCCAGGGTAACAGAATCCCCACGGTCAGGAGCATACGAGTCCTAGGCCTCAGGATACAAGCCGACGGAAACAACTCCGAAACGTTAGCGTCGCTAAAAGCAACTGCGTACCAAATTACGCGCCTCATCTCCCGAATCGCCGGTAGAAACTATGGCATGAAGGAGAAGAACCTCGTGCGCCTAGTACGCGCTTTCGTCGTCAGTAGACTGGCGTACGTCCTCCCTTTCCTAAGACTCGGCCTCACGGAAACGAACAAGCTCAACTGTCTCATCAGAAAGTCATACAAGAGAGCACTCGGCATCCCGGACACCACCTCGA